TTCACAGGCGGAGAGAAAATGCTCATTACTGGCAGGTTTGCATGGCTCTCACTTTGTCATGGAAAGGTATGCGCGTTGGTACCACTCTTGCCTCCTTTAACCTCATCATATCCAAATTATGACATGTCAGGCGCATTCGTGAATATCAAAGTTTTAATGTAGCTCCATTAAAACATCTCAACTACTTTGACTGGGAATATTTCTCCATTTTATGGCTTTTTATGGACCAAACAGTCAATTCACAATTTTATTTGCATCCTTAGGTTGAAAAGAACCAGGTCTGGGTCCCAATCCAGTTGCACTCAACCAGGTTGGGTCTAGTAGTGATGGGGATTTATGGGTGTTCACTGCTCTAGTGTGCAGTTCCTTGGCTTTCCCACTTCTCCATGTGTACTGTATCTATAGCTATTTAATCTGCAAACACAGTGTGGCAAAGATGACAGCTGCAAGTAGACACACTGGAGCCAGAACATATATCAGCCTGCCTTGTTAGTCATGTTTGTCTTGTCATTTTCTTCAGGCAGATTTCTTGGGAGTATGTCTTTGACTTTTAGTGCTAATGTCACTAAGTTATCAGTACAGTGATGTAACAAGCTAGTTACTCATGGGCCCCTTGTAGCTCGGAGGGCTGTTGCTAGCTGCACAGGCTAAGATGGCACTGTGTCATCTCTGGCCTGCAGGACTAGTTCCCCTCTGACTGTGAGCTGTTTCTGCTGACCAGCAGCAGGACGATTAGCCCGGGGCAGGTAACACCACAATCACATTGTCAGCACTCAGTCAACCCAGAGCCAGTTTTTGCCTTGCAAATTTGCAACCGAGCTCCATTCCGATGCAAACCAGCTTTTTCCGACTCAGTCAGCCAGTCATTAGTCAGCTTGTCTGACGTGTGCGTCCTTCACTGGGTGTTAGATGTCAGCCAAAACACACCAGAAAATGCACATGCACCTTACATCTCTTCTTTCATCGGAAACATTTAATTAAACCAATTTCTATCCTGCAGTTTTGTTTTAAATATATTTCCCATAAAATACTGACTTGAAACTTAATACTTGCTTTATAGGAAGTTAAAACTGTTTGGCAGGTTTAGCCTGTTAAGATCAAACTGTGACATCAGCTAAGAGCTGGGTAAATATGCAGCACTGGCTAAAAAGGTACATGATTTCTGAACTTTCATAACAACATGCATGTAATTCCACTATGAAGACCACAGCTTTACGTAGCTTGCATCATAATTATCAATTCCTCAGGATACAGATTCATATCAAACACTTATGTAAGCTGGGGGGAAAAAAAGGGTGAGCTATAATTCTTAATGTATAAAAAGAGTTTGCTGTTCATTTGTTCTGTCACAAATTATCCGCTTCATGGCTATGTCCAGTACTGAACTGAAACTTCCCACTTTCAGCTTTTCCAAAGTTCATTAAATTCCCATGATTTGACACGAGAGGGAAAGTCATGAGATCGACTTCAGGGCTAGATATTTTTGAAAAGGTTGTGTTGTGCTGTCTTCTCTTTGACTCTTGGTGGTTCATACTGATGTAGATATTTTTTATAGTGCTATCAGCCTCATATGGCCAAACGACATTTTACAAATACCAAAAAAAAATAATTTGCAAGATAAATGAATAGTTGTGCATACACACTGCCCACACTTTATGTAGACAAACTTTAGACTTTGCCGCTGCGGCTGAAACCAAAACAATGAGCTGAAAGACGCTAAAAAGCTCTGTAATGTCAACAGAAACTAGAGTCAGGTGATATTTATCTGTGGGTCCATGACTACGAGTAACGTCCTTCACCTTACACATAGTAATTTGATCCATCGTTACTGTAATATAAATATTGACACAGGAGGATCTAAATTTGTTCAGTAATTAAAACGTAATTGAAATACGTCTACAACTCTCATATTACTGTATTTGATCTTTTCATTTTAAAGAAAATGTGGAGTGAGTCATTTAACTTTATTACTCCACTGTCACAACACTTAATAATCCATGTTCTGTCACAGTGTTTTTATCTGAAGTGCCAGGAAGGAAATAAACCTATTCATATTCATAATTAATTCAAAGCCGGTCCGTCAGAGTGAGTTGTGTCAAAGGGTTTAGGACCATTTATTGCAACAAACAGATACGCAGTTGTTTGGCAGAGGAGGCTCTGAGCTTCAGGATGCTCCCCAAACGAGTCTGAGCTGCCTGCAAGACTCTGAGGCAAGTGCATTAAAAACACCCCCAAGGGTCCAGAGAGCAGAAAGCAGCAGACGCATATCGCTGAGACGTGGAATATACATAATGCAGAAGGCAAGAGATGCCGCCGCACAACAAGAAAACAGGAAGAAGCTGATGGTAGTGGAGGGAGAATCCAGCAGAGCGATCAGGGGATTGAGAGTTGGAGCTTGTCAGATGATTATTGACCTGCTCGAATGTGACTAGTAACTGTAAAAGTCCGCTGATAGTGTCCTCGGCGCTCGGCCCCGGACTCCATTAATGTGATAGTTCCCGATGCCCGCTGGGAAATTACCTCCTCTCTTGCTCCCCTCCTGGAAGATAAGGGACACTTCAGGTGGGTGGGTGCTCTGCAGAGCAACAGTGTGTGAAACAGGGTCCTCTATTTAAAGCACAGCCTGTTGAACCACTTGGGCCTCTCCGCCGCCCTGGATTGCACTCGGCGTGGTATACACCACTTGGATTTTTTCACAAGTAGCTGTGAACGTGTTGGCGGTCCCTCTGAAAGTGTAGTTGTGGGAATTGTTACAGCCAGGTTACTATCAAGCCCACCTGAAAACACAAGAGATAGTTTTTATGAAGAGAGCAGAGGGCACTCAGAGACAAGAGGATGCTAGTGTGAGGTTTGTTCTGTGTGTGTTTTAGCTGACTAAACTCACCTCTGGATCTTTTTATGTCACGGCGCACAGCAGCAGACCTGTAGAGGGATAATTAGACGTCTTGGGATAGCAAAGTCAGGCTTTGTTGCTTACAGTCTTTCATGCAAAAGGAAAAAAAAGGTGACCCAAACTGTGATGATTAGATTAGATTAGATTAGATTAGATTTATAGCCTTGTTTGTGAGGCAGCTTGTAATATCATATATCTCAGCAGGTCCTCGTCAGATCTGTTTGTGTTATAAATCGATGCTAACACTAGGAGTACACACCGAGCATTTTTATTGGTCCCACGAGCATTTTTCAACCCAATCCCCCCTTGGCAAAGCCCACCTGGACTTCTTAGCTCATTCCCTCCAGGACTTTGCACAAAGATATATGAAGTCCCAGAGCATAACTAAAGCTTCTTACATCATAGTTGCCTGGCCTCACTGCAGCTTGAAAATGTTCAGGGCTAATAGATACAAAGTGGTTGATGAAAACAAATGATTGCAGGAGCTACGGCATATTCATTTTGTCTGGAGGTAGTCCATATCTGCGCCATAGAGATTAACTGTCCTCCAAAAAGATGAAAAACACATAAGTCAGCCACACTGCTGCAGAGGATGATATGATTTTAGATTATTGTACAAAGCAGGGTTCAAAATTTGTAAGCTTTGATTATGTCGGCAGTTCAATACGACAGAATTAAATATGCACATCCATCTTCAATTAGAGCAAAAGGTCGGATTGCAAAGTGACACTCAACAAGCTCAGAAGATTGTCCTAAAGTTAGTATATTCCAATATTCATTTTTAATTTTAAAGTAATTTTTTTTGGACATTCATGCCTTTAATAGGATAGGGACAGTGAGAAATAGACAGGAAAACTAGGGGGGAAGGAGAGGGGATGACCCGCGGTGAAGGGCTGTTGCAGTAAGGACTGAACCATGGTATGTTCTCGACCAGGTGAACCAGCAGGGCGCCCCGAAACCATGTATTTGTGACTCATTTTTACATTTACATTCTCAGCAGGAACAAATGGACTTGGGGTAGGCAAGTCAGAAAGTCCTTGGAGTATCGTGTGTGTGCTCGTCTTGCTGTTCTCATGGGTTTTGTTGACAGGAAGAAAAACGACGACTAATGCCAAACTTATGATTTTAATGAAGTCTCGCTGTTTGTTATTTGATTTCATCTGAAGACACGGCATTTGTAATGAGGTGTCGCTGCACTCAAAATGTCATGATGCGGCGCACAATTTGCGTGACACTAATGAACATGACATTATGCTCTCAGCCAGGACTATAATTCGTCGTCTGTTGACAATGCGTATGAATGCCAGTCATCCAGATATGATTTCCATCCACATTTTGCAGTTTCCAAGCTGATTCTTAAGTCGATGTTGTTCAAAGATTCAACTCAAGGAAAAGTAAAGGCCTACAGGGTCAGAGAGGTAAGGTTAAAACTAGAAACTGTTTTGTCTCGTGGGCACATATCCTTGCTTTTATTCCACAAAGAGATACTGTGTCCTCTACCTCTGTTGCTCTCTTTCTCCTTCGCTCGCAGACAAAACCCATTCAAGACTCAGTGATTAATTATTTACCCAGGCAATGAAATGCCAAAGCCTAGAGAAACACACCACCAGGAAAGAAAAGGTCACTCCAGTTCTGCACATAGATACACACTCTTCAATACGCGCTCACACACAACAGTGATGGATGGCAATAACATCTTTATCGGTGCTTCGGGCAGACAGAGTTTTCATCCTCGTGTCCAAACACCGTTGAGACCAAGGGCAAAGCAAAAACTTGACTGATGAGGTGAAATCTTCAAGAGAGCCCTGAAAAAGCCCTCATTTAAAAACCACTCGCATGTCAGGGGTGGTGAACCGTCCGATCAATAGCAGTCTCAGACTCTGTCAAAGTGTATGTGTATCATTGTACAGACCGATGGCGGTGGAGCTAACTGTAACCTTTCCTTGATGAGTGAGCTCAGACACTGATGGGAGAATGTCATCCGCTGGAAACAACTTGTGCATGTTTTTAAAGTAAAGTTTTGTCACAGTAGAGTTTGTCTGTGCTGTTTATTCAAAGGGTGTTTGCGTGATTAAAGTTTAATTGCTTTGTTAATGTCCCTCCACAGCTCCTCCACACAACTGGCCAAATGGGGTGCCGATGCTGTAGGATGATAAAAAGGTAAGATGTCTGACTCTCCCTCTCGCCTCTGGTGAATATTGTTAGGACATGATCGAACAATGACTTGTTTCCAGTGATTTAAAGGATCGATTCACTGAAATTACCACAACAACAAAAAAAAAAGAAGATTTTCTCACTTGTATCCTAGCGACTTCTAGTTTTGCGCTATACCACATGTCCAGTCAAGGAATGTGGAGTTGAATGGTTTTTCATTTATGGTGCTCACAATATAGAAAAAGATACACCAATAGAAACTGGTGAACTGGTAGTTTTCCCATCTTGTGATCAGGTTAGTCAGGAGACAGTGGCCTAAACAAAAGCCACACACATTAAATATATAGCATGTGCTGTGTGAAATAGATATTTCACACTTTCCCCCTGAAGGTAAATATTTTAGGACATAGATTTAAATGTTATTTGAGATGTTCTTTATTTCAACTCAGAGGGTTAGGGTGTTCACTATAAAACACTTGGATGGTAAAGATTAATAGCATCTTGAAATGACAAGTAAATAAAAAGAATAAAACCAGAATAGAAAATTACTGGTTCAGTAGCTTTACATATATATAACATACAGTTTGGCAGTAAGAAAGTAGAACCAACTTCACCCTGAGTTGATGTGCAGCTTTCATTTTTGTCTCTTTGTTGAATCTCGTGATATTTAACTTTATTTTTAGCCATGCTAGCAGCGTGGTCAGTGATATTGCCATTATCCTATTCCTTAATATGTATTGAGAGCTAATTAGCAAGTGTTAGCATGCGAACATGCTAAATTAAGATGGTGAACATTGCACTGGCCACACATCAGCATGTTAGCATTGTCATTGTGAGGCTGTTAGCAGGCTGCATAAGTGCAGCCTCACAGAGCTTCTAGCATGGCTGTAGACTCTTAGTCTTGTTATTTAATGAATTGCTTAAAAACAGATCAATTATTTATTCATTATTAATATTTAAATTGTTTAAAAAAAAATGTTTCTTGCCATTCTGATTAATCAACTAATATTTTCAGCGCTAATTCAGTGTTAGCTGCTCTGTAGCTTAACTATGTGGTTTGTTTGTCTCTCACTATTCTTGTATTAATTTTAGAAACATTACAACATTTGTTTGCCTTAAACTGCTGAACATAAAACTACAAAGTCCACCTCCTCGGTAACAACCTCTCACTGTAGATTTCCTTATCTGTATGTCAGTGCCAATTCAAATGTCTCCTTGGCCACATAATGATTTTTTGTCTTGTTTCATGCAGATAGTGAGAGGTCCATTTATAATATGTCTGCACTCAGCCTCACGTGGGCTCTTTGTACAAACTGTGAGTCAATATGCCAATAGCCATCACCCTTGGTTACTGTATTTCCTTGCAGGACTGTCTATTCATTAAAGGCCTACAAGACGTCGTTGTCAGGGCTCGACATCACTGTGCTTTTTGAGGTGAACGAGGAGACAGAACAGGGCCGGGAAACGAGATTTTGATTGCAGATTAATGAAAGTGCATGCTGAGATTCACATACCAGAGTTGTAATCCCCCTTCACACCGTTTTTTTTTTTTTTTTTTTCCATGTCAAAGACACATGTGAATGCTTGTGACACACACACACACATACCTCCCTAATTGTCTGGAGTGTCACATTTCTGGGCTTAGCGGTGTTTGGGGTTTGGCAGGGTGGGCCTGTAGGTTACTGGGTCAACAGTATGGCCTCAGTGTCAGCAACAACCCTGCAGCAAACTGGTCACTGTAGGTGTGACAATCCTATGCTAATCTCTTATTTTGTTAGATAGATAAGGCTTGGTTTTACTTTTAAAATAATCTATGGGAACAGGAGCAACTGACAAGTTTAAGGGATCGCTTGGAAAGTGCATGTAAAAACAGCCAAGAGAGCTTTTTAGGTTGTTGCTCAAATCTATATCATTTTTATCATTTACACTTTAAACCAACTTGGATTTCATCTGGTGTTCCTTCCATTACATACACAGCCTCAAGTTATTTAAAAAAAAATTGCAATATGGCGCAATGCAATTTCCCACTGTTCCTACAGGTATTTCAATAAAGAGACTTAACTAGGGGCTGTCCCTCTATATGTGCAGGTGTCTAAATCAGCATTTTTAAATGACGTAGGATACAAAAGAATTATAATTTCTTTGTCTGAGAGCATCATGTGTACTTCAGCAGTAGCTACACATTGCACATTACAGCTTTACACCTTTTTTTGCTCCTGCAAGGTGGAAGTTTCCATCCAATTAAAACGACAATGTGCCTTGCATGGGGGAAAAAAAAAAAAAAAACATTAGGATGTTCATCACAGGTCTAATGGTGTTGGTGGCATAAAATCCATATCCACCACTGCACCCGGCATTGTATTTTAGAACAGATATAATCAGCTTAAATCCTAAGTGAGTTGGTATTGTTGTCACATACTGCAGGTGTGTGCGTTACCAGTGAAGAAATGTTTTCCGATACCTTAATTGCAATCTGACTTAACCTCACATCAGCTAACCAGCATCTTGTTTGGTGTGCCATCTCAGTTCAAACATATGCAAAAGGATGGCTTCTTCCAGGATGGAGGTGCTTCCTAAAAACAAAACCTCACAGAAAGGGAATCCCAACAGAGAGAGGACAGCAGGGACTCCTCAGAAGCAACTACAACAACTTATATGCAAAGCTGCTCCTTTGCTATTAAAATCTGAGCTTCATGCTGGAGAGTTGCTGCTGCTCTCTTTCTGTGTGACTTTTAATGCCAGGGGAGATTTGCATCAGCTGTTTGATTTAAGTCTGATAACCAGATGAACATTCAGAGAAACCACAGTCTTCGTTACATAGCTGTGAAATTGGTCTTTTTTTAATTCAGTGTACCCAACAATGAAGACATTTTGTCTGTCTGGTTTGTCTCTGTCCAGTTCACCAAAAAAGAAAAACAGAATCACAGCAACAAGTTGTCGATTTGTTTGGGTCTGCCTCCTTGAAAATAGCTTGGAGATGGAACCGGTGGCCTCCTGTCGTTGATGAAAATACAGTTTCATTTTCTCACACAGCTTTTGTCCAGCTTTATGAATTATTGCTCCTCTTTTTTTTTCTTCTGGCAAAACACCTTCTGTGTCTCTCGCTTTTCTGAAAGCAAGCCTCAGATTTCACCTTGGCAGCCGGGACACAGTGGCGGCGCTGCCCAGGAGCGAGAGAAATGGAAAACATTCATTTTCTCAGCTTTCCACTGTGAAGGGAGACGCAGGGTAGGATGCAGGGTGAGAAGAGAGGTGCTTAAGTCAGAGGGTGACCGTGTGTGTGTGTGCGTGTGTGTGTGTGTGTGTGTGTGTGTGTGTGTGTGTGTGTGTGTGTGTGTGTGGCTTATGACTATAAATGCGTGGGCAGGTGAAGTTTGCATGTGTCTGCTAACCACGAGGGGAGAAAGAAGCCTGTTACTGAATCGATCAATATATTAGAAAGTTATCTTCTCGATTCCCTGGACTTATGTTCTTGTTAAGTTCATGAATACTAAATAGTGTGAAGTAAAGCCAAAAGGGGGGTGAGATAACAGAAAAAAAGAGTGAAGAGGACAACTTGAGAAAGAAGAAGGAGGAGGGGGTGGGAGGGAGGAAGCGAGACAATAGATGGAAAAAGCTCGAGGGAAAGCGCTCAAATCAAGGAGAAGTCAAGTGCAAAAGGATAGTAGATTAGAGAGCTGCAACTACATTATAGTGACGCTGAAGGAGAGATGAGGAGGAGGTTGTTTTGAAGGGGGAGAGGCACCTGGAGAGGTGATGAGACGGAGGGAGCTCTGCTGGGGTTACTGGCTGGCAGGGTGGAGGGGAAAACAAATGAAAAGAAGAAAAGATGTTGTGAAAAACACCAGGCTCTCGCAGCAGGTGATGTCTGACAGCCTGTTACACTGCCCACAAAATAAAGCCCCCCTGCCAACACTCCCGACACCCGTCTAGGTGTGTGTCAGAGCGAGCCGTCTTGTACTTCTACCCTTGTAAGAAAATCCTCCAAAATGGTGGCATCACACGATCATTACAGCCTTCAGGGGGCTATTTAAGGTTTAAAGCTTAAATGAGCATTAATTAGTCTCAGACCTTTATCGACCTCGACTACCCAACGAGGAATTGGGACAACATCGACAAATCTCAGGCAGAGCATGTGGCAGACGAGAGCAGGGATTCATCAGAGACGTCTGATGGAGTAGTGAACAAGAAATATATCACATCTATGCTAAATAATGCATCAGTGTTATTTGTCATTCACTTTGTCTGATTGAGAGAATACACTCTTATTATGCTGTTTTTTAGGTGAAAATATTCTCTGAGGCATTTGTCACTCATTTTAATGAGCTGATTAAGGTCCTCTGTCACGCTGGCATAACTAGGACTCATTATTTTCTGTAAAGACCTACAATAAAAACAATCTGAATTTATTGCTTTTTTGTGAGTGTGAATTTATCATTTATTTATTTATTTATTTCACTGTCTGACTGTCTCACTGAACTTTTGCACAAAATCAGCAGCTCGTTTGTGTTTCTTCTTCATTTTTCTTTGCTTCCCATTGCCAGAAGTATTTTCTGAGCTGTTCTTGTCACAAAAGGAACTTGTTTACTGTAATTTGGTGAACTGCATCTTCTTGCAGCAGAAAACATTTGAAGATAATTTGAACTTGTGGGGACATTAAATGCAGGTGAAAATGTATTTAAAGCAATATTTGGGTCTTTTTTTAGAAAAAGATCTGTTAAAAGATTTTAGCTGTAGCAATAATCTTGTATCATTAGCTTCCTCCTAGAAAAAAATAGCAACATGGCTATCATCATCAGCATCTTAATGAAGCATACTTCAAAGTAAGGTTCAACGTTTTGTTAAATACACTTATTTTCTTCCTTTTCAAGAATTAAATGAGTTTGATTGATACCACGTTCATGTCTGTGCCTTAAGTATGAGGATAGAGCCTGGAGATGGTTAGCCTAGCTTAGTGGAAAGGCTTCAAACAATAGTAGAACAGCTAAGCTAACACTGTTCAAAATGTATTTATTTACACATTGTATCTTGTTGTATCTCAGATTTTAGATGAGCCGGGCCAAACGGTTTTACCACGCTACCAGTCCTTAAGCTAAGCTAGGCTAATTACCTCTTGGCTCCAGCTCTGTTCTTAAAACACAGACTTAGAAATGTCATCCATCTTCTCAGCTAACTCTCAGTAAGAAAGAAAGTGAGGGGATTTTTTTCTATTCCTTTAAATGCTACAACCTGTGTTTTTGTACATTCTTTGTTTGCCAAGTTTCATTTTACTTTAGCTTTTGTTAGCTTCACTTAGCTTCCTCATTACTTTCCAGCCTTGTTTGCTGTGACTTCCTGTCTGTTTGCTAGTACTTCCTGTGACTCGAAATAAGCGCTAGACAAATAAATCGGTATCGGTGTATATACCATTACATAGCTTGTCCATCAGAGAATACTGACAAATTGTTTTACACTGTAAAATATCCTGTTGAATATGAATCTTGGTCATGATTTTTTTTTAAAAACCAAAACAAATGTGAAATATCTGTATCAAAAGTATTTGTTGATGTTTTAAAAAAAAATACTATTTTCAATGCAATGTTATCAATTTTTTTAAATACCAATATCAGCATCAACCACAAAAATCCAGGATCTTTTGGGCTTTACTCAAAATGTGAATGAGTGTCATTGAGAAACCGGTTTCAGGCTAATCGGAATTTCATTGGTGGGCAGCAAGAGTCAAAGGTCAAAAGCTACACTGCTAATTTATATGTTATTAATGTTAGTATTTCACGTTTATTGTCAGAGAAAGAGTAAGTGTAACCATGGAAGGTTCTGAGAAGTATAGCCTATAATACTACACACCTTGGTGCTTGTGTGTGTTGTGTGTCAGTGTCTGTTTCTGTTTCTGTCAGCTTCTGATTCTTCCTTTTCACCTGCATGTCTTTTTTCCCTGCCGTTCTCTTTCCTCTCTGGAAGTTACCAGCACAAACAGAACAACATAGTAAAAGTAAAAGGCAGTATTTTGCAGTTTGAACCAGAGAGAGGAGTGAAGTCAAAGGCCTGCCTAAACCTCCACATCCTTGTTTCTCCCCTCCTTCCAACAACTCTCTGCATAATATAACTGACATTCACATGAGCAGTGCAAATATTACCACAGCTCCGGCTAGCTGTACTCTGTGTAAACATCAAAGTGCGTGTGTGCCTTAGCTGTAACGGTGGCATTTAGAAAGTTGCATCGACTGCACAGGGAAGAATGTTACTGTCAGTGTACAGTATGTGAGGGTGTTTTTATCGATTGTCACGGGAACATCTGACTCCTGGAGCTCAGTCAGATAGACAGAAATAGTCCTCTCTGTCTGTCGCCTCACTGATCCAGGAAATGAAACGGTGAAGCTAAGTCAAGTGTAACTTTTTAAACTTAGAAATATATTGCAAATTCTTCTTTCATTGTATTCGGCTCTGTAGCAGTTTTGATTAAAAGTCATGTTTGTGTTGAAAGTAGTATTTAAAATAATAATTTATGTGAGATTATATTTTCTGAAATACCTACAGCTGCAACTGCTGATGGTTTTCATTATATCTAAGCTATAACATGTCAGAAAATGGTGAAATGCTTATGACTCTTTCCCTCTGTGACCTCTTCAAATTTGTGTTTTTGTCAAATCAATAATCCAAAACCACAAAAAGTCTGACGCATTGCAGCTCTGTGAGTCTGTTCATCATTCTAATAGCTGAGGCGAATGAGATGATCAAAGTTTTGGACAAATCGAAATTGGGAAAAGAGTTGGGATCACTAAAAGTTCATCTCAAGGGGGGCCATGAACATCTGTACAAAATGCCATAGCAGTCTAATCAATTGCTGTTGAGACATTTCACTCCAAATCCATAAATGTCAACTTCATGGTTGCACTAGAAGAAAGGTCGGAGAATCATCGAATTCAGTAGGATTCCTCCTCTGGGGACCTTGAATTTCATATTTCAGTTTGGATTTTTTATTTCCCCTGTTCCCTAGTTAATGCAATCTCCAAACCTCCTTCATGGTTACATTTTGTGTGAAAACATGTCCTCTGGATGTTAAAAGTAGAGTAGCTGTCCCTTAATTTGTCAGCTTTTAATAGTAGATTTTTGTTGACCCAGCATAACATATCAGTACGGTGAAGAAATGAGTGGAATATGGAGTATGACAACATTATTAATCACTCTGTTGTTGCACTGATTCAAATGCGCCTGAGCCTTTATTTGTTTGTGCTGGCCACTATTTGAATACTTTTATATGAGAATTTACACCCTGTCTGTCTGTCTGTCTGTCTGTCTGTCTGTCTGTCTCACAGCTACATCTACGACCCCTCAGTGGCTGTGGATGTGAGGAAGACTGACTCTGCAGGCAGCTCGCTCTACCAGCCCCACCACCTCTCAGGCGGGCCGCCCGGCAGTGACCCACTCAGCGGCCACAACAAGCAGAAGCAAGGCTTCCACAACCTGGGCTACAGCAAGTCCAACGACAGCACTCTTAAACTAGAGGTGGACAACAACCACGTCAACCACAGGCTGCATGCAGCACCTTCACCTGCAAAGGAGCTGCACCAGCAGGGGAGCGCACCGCCTGCAGAGGGGGATCTATACATCATCCAGCCAGAATCTCTAGGACCAAGATGGGTGATACAGGAAAAAACCCCAAGCCAGGTGCCAGTTTACCCCAATATACAGGAGTACGAGAACCAAAGAAGCTACGGTAAGCAGGAACACCGAGAGACAAGGAACGGGTGGGACAGCTCCATCACTGAGTGTGTGACTGGCAGAGAAAGCCTGTCAGCAGACGAGATTGAGATAGACGAGGGCGTGGGAGGGACGCCGGAATATCTGTGCGACACAGGGGACGAAGGGAGCATCCTGTCGGTGGACATCCACACCAGCACCACCAGCCTGTCCTCAGCCGACACCAGGGACGAGCTTAGACTGCCAAAGACTCCGGAAGTTTCCACCATGGAGAGCGGGATCTCGGTGACAAAGAGCGAGGACGAGGAGGAAGAGGAAGCGAGGAACGCGGACGAGGAGGTACAGAGCGTCACAGACTCAATGGTGGCCGAGGCTCTTGCTGCCCTCGAAGCCGCCACTGCCGGGGAGGACTGTGAGTAACCGACCTCTGCGCTTTCTCTCGCTTATCACCCAAAACCATTGACTTGGACTTGAATGCGACTTGACAGAGTGTTCAAAACCACCATGAAACTTTGCCACAGTTCTGAATAACACCTCCTGTGTTCTTTATCAAAGAACGTGGAACAAATGAAGGAAAACTCTGTTTACAAATTAAAGAACAGATTTATTTTTGAACTTGAAGTCTTGGATATTTTTTTATTGTGGTCACACTGACAGAAGATAATGTCTGCCTTGTGAAAGAGGAAATGTTTCCAATGTTGCAAGGTTTGCATGAAGCCACAAATGAAGAGACATCAGTGTAGACTGTGAATACCGCCTGCTGCCATATCAGCCAGTTAGTCCTTTTGAATAGTGTATTTAACACTCCACAGTCCAGATAAGCCTGTATACGCTCATTCACTGCTTTGCCATGTCCATACTGTGCTTGTATTAGTTAAGACACTATATGTTGCTTTTATCATATTTTGGAGCATAGCTGTGTAAATTGTTAGCCGACTTCCTTTGTTTATGCACAGTCCTCGCTAAATCTTGCTATCTCTTCAGGAATCTCGCCCTTGTTGCATCGAGCAGGTGAAAGAGGAAAGGTCACCAGATATGTTTTTTATATGCTACCCATGTTTTTGTTCCTATTTTATCTTCTCTTGTTATTTATAATATCTGCACTCACATCCTTTTTGATTTATTGTGAGAAGAAAGTGGGCGCTGCGAAAGTCCGGAGAAGAAGAACGTGAGGTAGGATACAGGAAACAGTCCTTATTTATAGCCTTTCCACTTGTGTGTCAGCATTGATTTCATCAGAATGAAACTGAATTAATATGATATGTAATTGGAAATGTAGAAATTAGTTTACACACTGTGCTTACATTATCAAACACATGTACACTCACAATTCTGAGTGATTGTTTTTGTCAATTAATGTGTAATTTCCATGCACAATATTTGTGTGAGTCGATGTCATGTGACAAAATATCAGAGGATCTATGCACGTTTCACATCCTGAGCAGGTTACCAAAGGATAAAATGGAAACTAGCCACCTGTTCTTTTCACTGATACCACCTAGTTTCTGCATTTTTTTCAATAAGACCAGGTAAAGTCAAATCACTGTTGAATAAACCACAGAGGGGCCATCAATTCACCCCACTTGTTTGTTGTTTGTTTTCTGTTTAATAGGTCAGGTTTCGTGTTTCTAGTCCGGCCTATGACATTAGTTCAACTCGGACGTTGCCTACGTGCCTAATAATGAACCAATTGAGGCTAGACGGTGAAGAGGAAATGACACATACGGCTTTTTTGAATGTGTTCAGTGTGTTGATGCAAAATAAGCTGTTCTCTCAATGAAGTTCTGAATTTGTTCCACTGCGACTCCCCTTTTCAAGTCACTTTGCCTGCCAAATCATTTCTACTTATTATATATTTGTATTGTAAAATGAAGAAATGTACTTAAAAGTTGTAAACTGAGGTACTTCGTGTGTCCGTCTGTAATTATTTACTCTGATGTTGCTTTCTGATTTCAGTTGGGATGTTTTCTAGCTAGCTAGCTAATGTTAGCCCTGGAGGAAGACACATGTTGTTCATAAAGTTTACAAGGGAAATATGTGTTGCCACAAGCATTGTGTTTAAACACTATTTGAGTTGCCATTTAGCCTTTTAGAGACCTGAGGAATAGTTTGGATGTTGCAGTAATGGTCTTTTGAACTAAGTTGCTGTGTTAGCATAGTAAGCTAGTGGTTAACCAAATTGTAAATATCAGTCATATCAGCTCTTTACACTACATGTGAACTTGCCTAGTCAGTGTGAAGTTTACATGGATTTTTGACATTGTCTGCCATCATAGTATATCTTTAAAAGGATTAGAAATTACTTTCCTAGAGATTCTGTGTTTCTGCAGGACATCATGCTTGTTTACGAGGGACACTGAGGGACACTGAGGGACTTAGCTCACCATCACAGCAGTTTGAGTCTCGGCAAGACCCCGGGGCCTCGGCTAATGAACACCTCAGGGCTTTTTTTTTTGCTTGAGCCAGGAACAGACACTCACACAAAGACATACGCACATGCACATACACACACACACACACACACACACACACACACACACACACACACATACATACACACAGTGAGCCTTGGAAACCTCCACAACAAGCATGACTGAAAAAAATCCTGAGCGGCTGACTGACTTAGGCTCTTCGTGGCAGGAGAGGCTGTTAGTGCGTCTGTCCCCGTGTCTCGCAGCACAGGAGGTGGGACAGAGCCATGACGATACCAAAATAGCCTTTTCTTTAGACATTTATCTGTTCATCTCACCCACCCCTACCATCTTCAGCCCTCTTGCACTTTGCTGTAATTGCTCGCCATGGCTCTCTCAATTACAGTGTGCCCTTTTTAAGACTGAAACTTCAGACTGTGGTTGGACTTTGACATGAAAGGGTCATTTGTTTTGCACAAGATCTCCAGCTTTTTACATGTATTGATTTATAAAGAAATCTGTGATTTGAACACAGTCAGATTGCTTGTTATGACCAGCAAATACTTAACCATAATCTCTCATGTTTCTGCTGTTTTCTTGACATTTCACTTAAATCCCTTCATGTGTTGAGTTTCAAACACAACAGCGAAACCGCATGAAACTGGAGACAATTTCATGTCACATACCGCATGATGTCACACAGTGGGAGAGATTACCAGCCTCCAGGCTAAGCTGTGGCCTGTGTGTGTGAATACGTTCACAGTTTAGCCAAAGCTTTGATCCAGAGTGACTCGGAGCAAGTGAGCAAGAAAGGTATGTGTCTTTCTAAAGGAGGTTTTTTTGGTTTTATTTTTACTTTTCCCCCCCTGAAGGACAAGATAACTTTTGGGTACAGCGGGTGGCTGTTTAGTCAGCAGCTCATACAGAAGGGAAATCACAAGCTGAACTAGTTTCAAGATTTTTCTTTTTTGGAAACAACATCCCATAGTTTATAAAGCTGCTCCAAAATCTGCTCTCAGAATGAGCACTTTTCCTTATGAAGTTTTGAATGTACACCCTAAGTTTATAGCCAGTGTCAAGATATAAGTCACACCTGCAGCAAAGGGAGCGAGTGTGTGTATGTGTGTGTGTGTCTGTGTGAGTGAGAGAGCTGTGATTGTCTTGTGAAATGAGCAAAAGAACATTTCCATATATCCATGGAGTCTGATGACAACAGGATCCACTGTGGAGTTCCTGCTTCATCAAACCAGTGACTCATCTTTTCATCAATGCACCGTTTTGCAGCAAAACAACAGAGCTGAGCTCAGCTTGTGCGTCACCAGATTACTTTGATCTTTTCAATCAGTTCAAAGATACACAGAAAGGTAGATTATGTATAGATAGAACAGCAGGAGCTTTATTTTCATACAAATAGAAAAATATGAAGTTGTGGTAATTTAACATACGGGATTAATGTAAAACTATACTTCAAAGTTCACATTAAACCCCAGATCCATTTTGATTTGCAGGCAGCTAAAAATACAAGTTTTGCATCACATTGGTAGGCGGATAATCCTCTTAACTGAAATATGTTAACTTTTGGCGGGATTGCAATACATGAGTTTATATTTAGTTTGTGAGCGAGTTTATGCACCTGCAAAGGTTGGAAAATTATACCAACCAATGGAGGAACACATAGTCCTGCAATTTATTACAGAGCATTAAATAAATCATCACAAAATGGACTACGATAAAGCCTCAGATCCGTGCTGGCCTGCAATTCCCTCAGTCTGAGGAGAGAGATTTAAATGATGAGACTCAACGCAAAGCCCAGAAACAACAGTGTGTTATTTCATCTCCCAACATTTTGCAACTTCCCTACTCTGTCTGTGTCCCCAAGCCCAAGATCAGTGACTTTCACTTAACAACTGAGATGTAGTTTTTGCAAACATTACTCAATCAGGAGAAAATAGTGCATTTTTAGGGAGTACTTTCAGGCTCTGTAGTGTTTTACAGCAGCAAGAATGTCTATAAGGGACCCTTTCAAAATAAACTACAAAATATCAAAACTTGAGAAAGAAACAGAGTCTGTGCAGGTATCTCAGTTTTCAGGACTTCATCAGGGCAAATGTTTGAAAAAAGGAATCTCAGAGCTTATAATGACACCAAATAGAGCACACCTGTGCTTTTTCATGCAAGTCCACATGGGAAATGTAGTTCTAGTTTCACAAAAACTTAAAGTAAATTAATACAGAACAGGGCTAAGTACTAAATACCAGCATTTTGCCTTTTTCATTAATTAAATACCTCAGACCTGAGAGATCAAAGACCTCAGTGTTTAGAGTTGTGGTTTTTTCAAGATTTCAAATGAGCCACTATGTTAGATGACATGATCCTTCATTGCTGGGCGCATGGACACCATAGTTAATGCAAGAAATACGTACTAGTGCACCACATATGTTTAAACCCGCAGCTGAAAGTAGTCCCAAACAACCACACTACTTTCCCCTCTTTGAGTAACGTTTGCTAAAACCTACAGTGCCCTGCTGTTTAAGAAATTATAGTTTTGAAATTTGAACTACATCATTGTGAATACATTTCTCTATTTGGACCTGGGAAACTACAATTCATTCACTTGATTTTCTACTATTTCGATTTCCTTATTGCTTTCTGTATTCATTTACTTTCAGTTTTTATATAGTTACTTCTGTATGTGGACTTTGGATACCAGAATAGTGAACTACATTTCCCATGTGCACATGCATGAAAAAACACAGGTGTGCCATATTTGATCTCATTATAAGCTCTAAGATTCCCCTCTGACAAACACTTACCCTGATGAAGGTCTTGTCCCTTTTTTAGCAGCTTAAATTCATCGTTCTTTGTTTCTTTTCAGTTTATGTTTTAATGATTAAAATTAAATAGAATATCTTTTAATCTTTCAACTTATTTGAAAACATAACAAACTCACCAAAAAAAGAGGACATACTAGGTATTGCTGTACAGAGAAAAAAAAACAGATTGAATTAACCGTGAGATCCTCATATGAAAGCATGACACGGAGTTCAAGTTTCTGTTGACTTGCTGACTTCGTTTTTCCATTATATAAGTTACACTTTACTGTTGCTGTCATTCCACTGACTCACAGTAATCAATTCACCTCGCCCCGCCTCAAGATAACAGCACAAAAGTAGTTTTGCAACAAGCTAATGCAGTGCATTGAATGCAGATGGCGTGTATGCGGGCAAATAAAGAGCACTTGTGTGTCAGATTCCTTCATGTTGTTTTTATTAGGTCCATTAGGCAGCTTGCTGTAGAGTCCCTTAGGTGTGCGCTCTCGGTTAACATGTTTGTTTTTCTCAAGGCTTTGTTGGAGTTAATGATGTCACGCTTAATTGTGGCAAACACACACACACACACTTCCTTGTCTCAGAGGAGAAGGTAGAACTGTATTTAAAGAGGAGATATCCACCTGAAACTGGATTGTTCTACAGATTCTGTGTTGTTAACTTGAAATTTGTTTATACTTTGAAACATACAGGAAGTGTCAAATGTTATCAAGACTTCCTGGAGCCATAGTCACAGTACAAATATGGATTTTCTCTGAATTTATTTCCTGGTTCCCTTCTACACAGGCTGGATTTCAGGGTCAGTTTGACCCCTATCATTGTCCTGAAAACCCATTAAACAGTGTCAATTAAATGGTATCTTACACCTTTAAAAAAAAAAAGAAAAAAAAGAAAAAAAGAAGAGCCCAAAATAGTCCTCTTCATTTTGGAATTCACCCAACATCCATGGAAATTAGCTAAAGTTTCACTCTGGTTAAATATTAAATATATTACCTCAAAACTGTTTTTAATTTGTTTCTTAAAGCATTAATATGCAACTCTTGTGGTGAATACCAAAAAAGTCACCAGACGTTACTGGTCATACCAGACCACATGGAAGGAAACCAAGGAAACCATTCAGTGTATCGAATTAAGCAAGGATGCATTTTATTGCTTATGAGTTCAGCTTTAATTTGTGAGAGAATGAGTGTGCTGTTTCTACTTTCAGAAGTTACATAGTGGCACTTTAAACTTTTAGCTGCCTTCTCAGTGTCCACTTTTGAGTAGCATAACAGCATTTTTAGGACGGTGGAATCACACTATTTGAATTAAAGAAAGGTGGGCAGTCAGCCATTTCAGAAGGTTACTGTGTTTACAACCTTGATGTAGTTCAAATGTGTTAAACATTGACTAATCTTCTTCCCTCTGGTCCCAAATGTTTCCCTAAAAAAAAAAAAATTCCCCCCCGAGCCAGAGCTCCATCCTCTGGCTGATAGCCAGGAACAAAGATAAGATGTAGGGCACTTAGCCTAGCATCGGCATGGGAATCCTGTCGCCTGGAGGCCTTAATAATTCAGTGCTCGAGATAAATTTACTGCTTATGAAGTCATGCAAAAGAGACAGAACAGAGCTTTATTATTATCTATAGCTATCTTATGTGCATACCTAATTTCCTCGTGGAATTTTTTGGTCGCTTTAATGTAGTGAGAAACATTTCATAAAAAATGGTGACACCCTTTGTGTTTTTTTTTCCCCAGTTGGAGCTAAAGTAAACACACACATACATGCAACAGGAGTCAATATTTGTACCAGGTTTACTTCTGCTGCTTATTCACATCCTGCACGGTTGACCACATCTTTCTGACAGGTTTAAAACCCTGAAGCCGCCCTGTGTGTTTGTGTGTGTGTTTCTAAAAGTCAGGTTTGCTTTGAGCCTATAGCAATGGGTGGGGTGACGTCGCCTTGTGTGCTATCAGGGTTTCTTTTCCACTGCATGTAAATGTTCCCTGTCCCTGTCAACACTTTGAAAGTCAATCCTCCCTCCAGCGCTGTCAAGTGACACCAGTGGCAACGAAGTGTCACTCTGAGGCCTTGTTTAATCACGTCCTTGCTGTTGTCCAGAATAGATAGGCATGTTAATAATTTAATAAAGTAATAATCTAAATTAACAGACTTTCATTGCTTTCTTCTGGTCCTCTACAGTTGCTTTGAGGTCAGAAAATTGCACATCCTTTGCCTGAGTGAACCTGATAAGACTCAAAAGGTCAAGAGGACACAAAGAGTCAAGGATTGTTAATCCTCGGTCTCACTCATCGGTTCAAAACACCTCTCCATCTCCATCTCATCTCCATTATTTGGAAATAATACGATGGAGGATAGAGGTCGTCAGACTACCTACTCGAGATGAATAAGACAAATCATCTTTTCATTACAGCACAAAACGAGAGAGAGAAGGAGAGAAGGACCGAGGAGGGTGCAGAGAGGAAAGAAGGAAATGAGAAAGACTAGAATATGAAGACGGATTGGTTCAGTCAAATGAGGGAGGAGAGGGAGACGTTACACTGCATCGGTGGACACTGGCCTTTTATCACTGTATTGCACTAGTGTCTTACACAATGAATGTTGTGTATGATTGCATGACAACAATCAGGTGAATTATTTATGGTTTCATGTGATATTAGTCATCTTTATTTGCTTTATTTTTATTTCCATTATACAACAATATAAACACAGCAAACTGTCCCAAAATATGAAAAACAGAATTTGTATGTATGGTTTTAAAAACCAAGGCCCAATGAAATGACATTCACAAATACCACGTCTAATATGATGCCTGTTGATCACAACGATATGTTTGGTTGACTACGTCTCACCTCACAAGGGTCTTTAAAAGGGCGACTGGTGATTTAGTATCGTACTTACATAAAGTTGCATGAAACTTTAAATGGTCTAGATCAAAGCAGCAGAAGCAAAAATGCTCCGACTTTTAGTTTCCAGAACAGGCCAAGCACCAAAAAAGTTTGTAGTCTCCAAGCCCAGACTGAGATGATCCATTTTGTGACTTGTAAACTAAAACTTTATGTATAAAGTTGGTGGAGCACCTGTTTAAGAAGCAGATTTAACTTTTGAGTTCACTCTGCTGCTCGATCTTACCCGTTGTTTTTTCACACAATGAAGTAGACAGTTAAAACTACTGATGTCAGAACAAAATACATGTTTGTTTTTTGCTTTGGTTGAATTTGGTTTCCTCCTCGTCAAGAGGCTCAATTTATTTTGGGTATTGTCAAGAGTGTTGAGCATAGAAAAATAAATATTCAACTCAACTGATTTGGTTGTTACAGAAAACCGGACTATAGAGAACTGACAACTATTATGTTCTCATTGTCATTTTCTCTTTGTTTGGTATTTTGAGTAGAACCTGAAAAAAAAAAAAAACATTGAATGGGCTGATTCCTTAAAAAAAATTCACAGTATTTCTTAACCTGGATCTCACGTTAACTTTGCACCTGACAGCTCTGCTGTAGAAGTTCTGTGCTTATTTAGGCCCCAGGTACACTTGTCATTTCAAGTGTGTCATATCTGAATAAAATTCAGATGTGATTCAGTTTTTATTTAAACTTAGCCACATATATACACGTCTCCGTTTGCTAAATAAGAAGGCTGATTGTAATCTGTCTTGATTTTCTTGGCCTGAATGTAAATCAGGGTCGGCGTTACCTCAGTCCAGATGGTGGTGGAAATGCATCTGAAGCCGTTTGTGGGAGCGACAAAGTGTAAATGGGATCACATTAACTGTCAAATGTCTGACCCGTGTTTTTGTTCAAGTAGTTTAAGAGTCAAGTGTTTAAATTATTTATGTAAAATTAAAGCTTTAATTAAAGCCCCAATAAAAGCTTTTCACCAGACTCACAGAGGTGACAAGTTCAACGTTAACATGACTCAGAGAGGTCGAATCTGAGAGTAAGACAAAGGGTGAAAAATACTGTAAATTTTCCCTTAATGACGCTTCGCTTAATGGAGAAGGAATTATAAAAGTTACTCATTTGCATCTCCCTCTCTCTCCTTCTCTCACACACATACATATATACACACACACACACACACACACACACACACACACACACACACACACACACACAAAGATTTAAAGCACAGTATTTTTGGCGGCAACATTCACCTCTCTCTCTCACTGAATTGCTCTCCACAACAAATGATTCTTGACACTGTAAACTCTTATCAAATGACAGCACATGTTGTCTGCCTTTCACTATAAAACACATCCATACAAATAGACCCATGCTTAGAAATGAAAGGCACATTTCATTAGAAAAAAAGTTAGGCTTATATCCTGGTGGAACAACTGACAGATAATCCATAATGGATTAAGTCATTTGCAGACTATTTGCTCATGACCCCTTAGTGCATTGATGATTAATATAAAGGCAGCTCATGGACAAATATGATGAATCCAGACTGAATTAAAAAGAAGTAGTTTCGTTTGGCTTCGACAGATGAACATTCATTCTACATGTACACCAGAGTGAAGTCGATAGGGACATGACACGAATCTTTAACCAAAAATGTGTTTTAGATGTCCTACAACTAATCCAATATAATGTGAATGAATTATATTTTTGTTAAAGAATACATTTTAGCACAGTATATAAAAAAACACATATTCCAGTCTCAATGTCTAAGTTCAGCATCACAAATTAAAGCTGCAACAATCAATATTTTTATATTAACAACTGGTCACATGACGGTGTGTAATGAAAAAGGGGTCATCCATTGTGATGGACCCACAGAGAATTATCACTACACGCTTTAACATATTGTTTTGCCATCTCTCAGCTAATTGTTTTGGATTTATGTCGCACAATTTTACTGTTTTGGTTCATTTGCTCCAATTAAAGTTATTTCCATTCAAAGCCAACCGGAAAAAAAGCTCTGATAAACCAACTGTACGCCACCTATTTAACACAAAGCAACAGACAGACAAAGTTAGCAACTAGCAGGTGAACACGGTGGAGTATTTAGTAGCTAAGGAGGCAGATATTTCTTTCAGTCAGTAGCACCAAACCAGAGCTTAAAGGAGAGTGAATATAGGTTCCTCTGATCATCAGGTGAAAACAAACTCGACTCCAGACGAATCATAAAGTTGCTCCGTGTTTGCTGTATGAGACACTCACTCACTTATAGCTAGTGAGCCTGTGTCTAATTTGTTGTTTGGTGTAGAATACTGCATGTTCTTCTTTATAGAGGTCAGATTTGAAGATCAACACAAAGAGACGAGATTGGAAATTTGAAAAGCAGACGTGTTGACCTTGCAACGCACACAGTCGGGATGCTTAATCACGCTGACTACAGGGAACACTTTGACATCATGTTCATGCTATTACAGGATGTGATTACTGTTGCCTTCCTCTTATCACAGACTAACGCTCCAGTCTGTTTCCCGGCTCTATGACTACTATATCAGGTTGTTCCTTCTTCCTGTTTGGGAATGACTGACCTAGTTTTATCTCAGATTGGCTGTACCTGTTCCTGGGGGTGTAGCTTTATAAATTAACTGGTTGATTACAGGTGAAATCATATGAACGTACATCATGGACCGCATCGGCATGTTGAGTAATAAGAGCTTAGTTCATTTGGGAGAGCCCTGGATCAGGGTTCCTTGACATCAAGCCGTTACTCTGCCTTTGAGCAAGGCACTACTGTAAATCTATTATAGGAGGAAATGGAGTGTATCACAACTAGACACACCTTACCCCCCCTGTACTTGTAAAATAACCACTGTCTGCTTCATCAGCTGCACGTTTCACTCCCTGTGGAGCGAGAATGTGGAGAGGCGATTCCCAGATCGACTCTGCCGCTTCTTGTTTCTCCTGTGCTGATGTTTTCTTGTACTTGTTCGATTTTAAAAAGTGTCCAGATGTTGCTTCTCTCCTCTCTCTGGAAAGCTGTAAAGTTAAGGGTTAAGATGTGGTTAGACGCAGATATATTTAAGAAATGGAGAGATGCATGTCGCTGATAAAAATATGACACGTTACCTGGATTTTTATCATTTCTCTTTGTCCAAGTTGTCTGTTTGCACCTGGTAGGAAGACGAAAATAGACTTTAATACAGAAAATAATCATAAATCAAGAGAGTCTGTTTTCAGCCTGATAATGTGATCTGCCATCACTCTTCCACACCAAAGGGTTTGTTCATTTTCTTGGGCTAAAGGCATTTTTCTTCCACACACAGTCAATACAAGAAAGCTAAAGTCAATAGCATTAAATGACACTGATGTTAAATGTGTTTAACGCTGTAAATGGATTCTTTGCATTTGTATTATCTATGAAACATGAGTGTAATGTCTCTCCAGCCTGAAACAAATTTGGTTATGATATTGATTCAGTCAAGCCTGGTGAATCTAAACAGGCTCATCCCAAAGTCTGAAGCTAAGACTCTAATCTCTCATATTACCTAGCCTGAACTTCAGGATTTGCTCAGGAATTTTCAGATAATTAGAAAAATAACAGTAACAGGACCCAGGGTGATTTATTGTGATACAGCACAAGAAGCATTTTAGAAAATATTCTGGAAACATATGAGAGTTTTGAACCCTACACGGCCAAAACCCCAAAACAAAATATCTAAAATCATGTAAATTAAACAACGTGAATGATCTCATTTAAAAGATAAGGCTGCTATTTCTTCTATTTACAGCACAATCATCACGACCAAACACAAAACCCTGTGATAACTCTCCACTGCTGTAAAGTTTACAAACCACTGTGGCACCAGTGGCATCTGACTGGTCTTCACACTCATGGATCTGTTCCTCAAACTGGACTTCCTGGAGAGGAACACCAACACAACACCAACACCATTGTGTTGTTTTAAGTCTAAACACCTGAAAAAGCTTTAGTTCATCTCTAAGCATCTCATTTTCAGTCAAAAAATAAAAAGACTTACCTTAAACAGATGGGCACTGTAGTTTTTAGCAAACATTATTAAAAGTTTTAAAATAATAATCATATTTCAGCCATATATTTGGTGCATTGTGAGCAGGACAGTCCTACAATAACATACAGTGCCCATGATGATTATAATAAAGTATTTTATCCAGTGCTTATTTTTGGAAAGCAATGCTTTGGATACACAAGCAATACTTAATAGAATAAAAATAAAATATCACCAGACTTTTCCATTTAAAACCGTCTCTATTATGCTACAAGACTGGGGTGAGCACCTACACAGAAAACTGGATCAAAACTGTGATGAAAAATAAAGTTGACTGTATGCGTGAATGTTAAACGTGATTCTTACGCACGCACCTCTGATGACTAATATTTAGGCTGAATTAGCGCTCGACCCTGCAAGACTCACTTTAAAGAAACCGTGGCAGCTTCTCTCTGGCTGTTTTCTGCAAAGGTTTATTTGCAGTTTGCTGTTCTGCTGCCGGAGGAATCTGAGTGACAATCAGCTACTAATTTCTGCGCCGTTCAACAGCAGCATCGACAGGAAGAAACAGTTTCTCTGCACACTCTTGTAAACAGTAAATGAAAGATTGAGGAGACACAAGTGGAGGCAGTTCACGGCCATCTGGAGCATTGCAATTTCATAAACCAGAGTTGCACTGACACCAGGGATAGAGGCCAAATATTGCTGCAGTTTTCAGCAGCTCTTTATCATGGATTTTAAATACTTGTAGTAATAAATTATCCTAAAATCACATTAACCTTACTCCACCTCATTATAATAAACAGACTGAGTGACAGGTCGCTAAAAAGATGTCCATGTGTGCAACTTTTTCCCAATGTTTCTCTTTCAACAATGCAACACTGTTGCTATGAATTAAGCCATAAATAAAATGTAAAGCCATAACATAATGTAGTTTGTGAGATACTTAACAATTTATCAGAGGAGGGATAATGTCATTAAGTGCTGGGATCGTGCACATGATTCAAAAAAGCAGAGACCAGCTGTGGCGCTTACACACACACATAAATAATTTTGCATACATAAGCAACACTTATTTATACACAGGGCGTCAGCGAGGAAGAGCCCAATGGAAGACAAAGAGAGAGAGAGAGAGAGAGAGAGAGAGCGAGAGAGAGAGAGAGAGAGATGAAGTTTCCTGGACACACACCTGCTGGGACTCAGACGTGGTCCGGCTCTTGGGCTCCGACTCTGTAGGTGATGTAGGGACACTCCCGTTGGAGTCTGTTATCAACAGAGTCCGTCTGTCCCTGGTTGGTTTTTCACACTTGGTCACCCGGAACCTGGGAAGGGACAAAAAATAAAAAACAAATAAATAAAAAAACACACACAACACAAGGGTGTTTTTGCAGTGCGGGACACAAATGAGAAACAGGGTCTCCTACACTGCAGAGTTGGCTCATTAAAACAAGCTTCTGCTCTTATGTGAGGACACAGCAGTGGCTGAAATGACAGAGAAAAAAACATACAGCACAGTGTGTATACTGCTGAACTCTTTCAACAAGGTTTCAAAAAGAATAGCAGCGTGATCATTTTTCTAGGTCAAAATAAAACAGAACTTAGCTGACCAACTCTGCTGTTGGCTTTACACTTTGTGTATCATATTCATATCATAAGCAAAATAAAAAAGCCAGATAAAATAGTCTTTTGATGAAAATATCATGGAAGAGTTCATATTTCTGACCATAAACTCAGTGGGTTTCAGTTATTCTCGTTCATGGCACAGCTGGCTGCTTCTGCCTCTTCTCACTGCTGACAACACACAGACACACACACACACACCTAATCTTTATACCTCTCTCAACCACCCATCCACATCCACTCATCACACACACACACACACACACACACACACACACTAAAGCTTTAATTAAATCAGCAAATGAATATTCGCATCCAGTTGATGCTGACCCTCTGCGTGCACGGCCATTCATCAGGGTGCACAAATGAAAAGCAACCTCTCTGCATCCCAATCAGCTCGCAGCAGGACACTACAGATGAGGAGAACGCTCACTGCATGACGGACACCAGGGCAGCACACTGTCCTGTGTTGATGAAAAATGGTCTAGAGCCCGACTGATATTGGATTTTTGGGACCGATGCTGATACTGATATTAGGGAGGAAAAAATTACATCAGTGCACTGAAACAGTAAACTTCACTGGGAATTAAATAACTACAAAAAGTCAGGCTCTACTTTTAAACACCCAGGGCACAAACTACATGAGCCGTGACAGATCTATAAGGGTAGCATACTGCCAGGGTTTAACCTCCAATGTAGTGTTTTTGTGTTAAACCACTGGAAAGCAATGGAAAAGTTTTCATGACAATTTGTTCCTCAGACTGATTTTTTTTTTCCTCATGGTGAGTTTATGATCCAACACAGTTGCCCATAAAACTTTCTGGAGTGCAAGGAGTTTGTAATGATTGTCATGTCCAAAAAGTATAAAGCAGATACGTTGTGTTCCCTGTGGAGAAAGAAATTTTTCTAAAATACCATTTACAGAAGGAATCAAGCAGCAGTCCTGCATTTTTGTACTCCAAAATAAAAATGTCACATTTCTAAGGACTGAGCTCTTATCATCTGTCTGAAGAAAGCTCTGTATGATGGAAGAACCAGCATCTGTTTTAATTGCCACTTTCTGAGGCAAAGAAACTGAGAGAAATGCTAAAATTCAATGAGGAATGGTTGGGTGGAAAGATGGGAGAAACAAGACTCTGCAGAGAACTGGAGGTGAGCAGACTTCACAGGAGTGAAATGTGGCTGTGCCTCATGCACCGATACCTGATTACCAGGACAACAAAATATTTCTGAAACATGTCAATTTGTCAGTCATAAAAAAAATAAAGGTGCCCTTTGGAGTTTTCTTGTAAACAAACAAAAATGATGTTTACACTCAGTGTTACTCACCAGAACACGTTGTGTGTGTGTCCTTGAGCTCCAACAAATGTAATAAAACATTTACAAAGCAGATTTTCTTTCCAAGTACTTTACATCTAGAGCCAGCTTGGTCGGATCAGCTGTGAGGACCAGTGTGTGTCCCTGCCTTTAGTCATGTATTCATCTAGACTGCCATCTCACATCATCATCAAAGCATGTTCTACCCATCAGCTGTCAGTCTTCTCGATTATTTATAGGTCATTTTTATGCTTTTCTAAGGTTTCATTACTTTTTTTAAAAAACAATATTTATATTTATTTATTAATGTTTTTCCCACCTTTCCCATTTGTTATGTGTGTATTTGTCGACCTTAATGGCAAACTGCTGCTTACAACTGATGATGAATTAAGTTGAAGAAAGAAAAAAAAAAAAAAAAAAGGTAGATTGGCATTATACATTCTTCAAGATGCTCCCAACATGACCCTGGGAAACAGCAAACTAACAGGAAGCCGTTAGATATCACAAGCCTCTTTGTTGTCATCCCTCTATTTCCAGTTTAGTGTGTTTTTAACAGGGGTCATTTCCACACAGCACAGGTTAACCACTGAAGCTTCACACTAAACATCAACACACTCTGAACCCTGCAGCTTCCGTTTTCCCAGGCTTCAACCTGACCCTCCACCCGTGTGTTTTCCAGGTCACTAGTCTGATGTCAAAGTACACAGAAAACTCCACCTTCGTAATTAAGTGCTGTTTTTTCAGTGGCAATTATTTAGGGTTAATGTTTGATTGTGTGTGCACTTATGTCTGATATGCCTCTGGGTTAAACTGTTTTAACGTTTAAAGTATAAACTGTTAAAAGTTTAAATTTACCTCAGCTTAATAAAGCACGTTGAAATCCTTAAGATGAAAACATTTGGAAAGCGAAGCAACAATAAACTCTCCCTTTTTTCCTGCTCGACACACACACACACACACACACAAACACATGTGTGCACACACACACGCACACACACACACCTGCCCACCTGCCCACAGCCAGGACCGTAACCTCTCCGTGGTGGCTGCGGCGCTGCTCTGCCTTACGCGCTGATGGCTTCCTGATCAGCGGCCATTTCTTCTGGCTGCAGCGGGTGCAGATGTTCTTGTTGCCTCCAGGCCCACCGATCGTGTGCAGGTGGTTGCAAGTGTGCTTGGCAGCTCCTGGGGGTGCCCCCGGTGATACGGGAGTCATCGGAGGGGTTGGGGTGATGGGGGAGGTGGGGGTGAGTGGAGGACTGAGGAAAAAGAACCAGAAGTTAGTGATTTTAAAGCCTTCTACTTCAGAAATGACACAATTATCAATATATTCTATATTATAGTAAACAGCTATAATTATAGCTAGCTATTATAGCTATAAACACAGGCAAAACAATGTAAATTGGCCCCTGAACAATTATTACACCACAAAGAAAAGAAATGAACCATTTATAAGAGAGCAACTGTTACAGCATCATCCAACAAGAGAAGATTAAATAAAACAAAAAACACTTTTTTTTATGATCAGCTGTCAAAACTGCAGTCAAGTGAGACCATTCACAAACTGACCTACATTCAGTCCAAAGCATTTCCATTTCACAGAGAATTCAAGCTCATTGAATTCTGCAGTGCTTCCTTTATCACAGCATATCACTGCAGAAATGACACATTAATATTTCATTCTTCAACAGGGCAAAGACAATCACTGACAAGCTCTTTGAGGATCATTCTGAATGGCAATTATGTTTAAAGTAATAATAATAGAAGCAATCTTCTGAATGGAGCAAGCATCAGCTGAGGTGTCGGACACCTGATCAGTGGAGAATTACGACGAAAAACGACTTGCAGTACCTGTGATATAAAAGCTATCACAACACATACTGTTTTCTCGTCACTTTCATATAGTATTTATCTTAGAAGTGAACACTAATTGAGGCCAGCTCACTTGTCTGTTTGCTCTCTCTCACATCTTTTTTGAGAGGAGCTGCATGTTTTATGACCCTGGAGAGCAACTCTTCACATTGTTTACAGACAAAAGCAGAATAAACAGTGTTTCTGCTCACTGACGACATATTATATGCAGTATGTATGCCTACGCATGAGAGTCAAGAGACAGGAAGCATAATAATGAGTGGTGTCTCTTTAATTATTATTAAATTATTTAAATTTTCTCTATTCATGTTGAGGAGGTGCCATGGATGTGGACACTCATTGTAAGACTCTGAAAAGAAGGGAGCTGAGACAGAGTAGATGCCCAAAATTTAAAAAGATTGCGGACAACTGAACATTAAACAACATGTGTGAATGAGCACGATACTGAGGTCAGGAACGGATGTGAAAAGAGAAGAAAGTTCAATGTTGACGTTCCAGTTCAAAGCAAAGCTGTTTGATGGGAAGGAGGTTAGAGCTCGACTAAATGACTTTGACTCGAAGGTGAAGCACTCTTTTGTCTAGAATATTATTCTATGCAGAGCTGAAACAATTAGTAAAGTAATGAATTATTCACTTGACAGGAAACTAACTGCCAACTATTCTGACATGCGAGTAAAAAAGTCTATCAAATGAGTCTATCAAACAAAAAAGTCAAATTCTGGTTCTCATCTTTACCATTTTATGACATTTCACAGACTAAACACAATCGATTAATGAAAAAAAAAAGTTATCACAAGCCAAAAAGGTTGGAAACCAGTGGTGTAAGTATATGTTTGTGGGAGAGAGAAAGAAAAAATGTTTTTAACGAATGCAAAAAAAAAAAAGAAAAAAGTATGATGTACAGTGTGAGGGTCCTGATGAGCAGAGGTGTGAAACAGGCCCACAGGAGGAAGAACAGACATGATTAAGGGAAGAAAGTGATGTGAACAGAGCATGTTGTGGAGAGAGGAGAGAGGACTGAGGGATGGTGGAGAGGTGGAGGCTGGAGGCAGTGAGCAGAGGGGAAGTTAAGTACCAAATCTGGAGAGGCAGATAGTGAGCCCTGGCCACACTACAGTCACCCTCCTCCTTGTAGCCTATCTTCATCCCTCACTCCTTTTCCTCCCTCTCTTTCTGCCTGTCTGTCTGTCTGTCTGTCTGCCTCCCTCCCACCTTAAGTGTCTCATAAATTACCCCCACGGATAACCCCCTCCCTCCCCCTCTTCCTCCCCCTCCCTCGTTCCTCCATTTCTAAGTGATCCACTGGCAGGCTGCCCAACCCGGCTGAGAGAAACAGAGAAAGATATGAAGAGTAACAGCAAGAGAAACAGGGAGCAGCCTACTACAGAGAGCAATTTGAACAAAATGAACAACAAAGTGAAGGGAAACGGGAGACAGAACACGGAGTGGAAATATGTGGAAAAAGAGATTTGAGGAGAGCACTGAAGAAGCGAGACACATGAAAGTGACGCGGGGGAAATGTGTGCGATTGCAGATTTCTGCTGATTTTTTTCCAGGACATCCAATGTGACTGAGCAGAATACCTCAATGCTTAATCCTTGGCACAGGCGATGCTCCTACCATTTATCCACACTGTTTCCTCCCAACAAAAGGGAACATCTCTCCTCTCTTTACCTCTCTCCTTTCCTCCCAGAACAACATCTGTCGGGATAAGAAAGATGACAGGAGGAGAGAGAGAGAAAAACATACTCCACTAACTCGATTTACTTAGACTCCTCCACTGTCACAAGCATCTCCTCTTCCTATCTGTTTATCTGCCCAACTCCCTTTCCCCTTATCTCAGCGGCAAAGCTACACTACACTTGCTCATTTACTCTTGCTTGTTGCTCTGTACAGATGAACGGGAGGATGAATAGTGAAGATGTGTAATCTCAGCTTCAAACCATCTGCTCCTGTTTTTGTGACGCAGGGTCGTTTCGAAGAAGACGAGCAGGCAGCCTTTGATTTCAGATGTCAACCTGAATGACTCACTTAAATCTGTTTCAAGGCTGATGGATTTTATGCCGTAAAAAGGGATCCTGGTGATCAGGTGCAGACGAGAACTACAAATTACAACTGAGCATTCTTTGTTGAACGTTAGTTTAGTTACTGTTGCTACGACCTGTCATGTTTTCTGTTCTTGTATGGCACTTCAACCACTCAGCATCTAAGAATCTTTTGAATTTATTGGTCTTCGATTTCAGACAGAGGACTAAACAAACCGCATTGTTCTTTCATTGCAGTATAGATCTCGTTAGTTCTAATCATCATCATCAGCCTTTATTTATTTATTTTCTCTGGGATACATTGAGGAGTGAACCTTATTTTAAATGATGCCAAGATTACATAAGAAGACTGCATAAATACAAAAATGAATTGCATTTAATATTATTAATATCAAAAGTACAGTGAGGGGAAAAATGAAAGACTCACATGAATATTTCATTCTACCATATCTCCGTTTAGCTGCTTGGCATAACTGTATGTTTCACCTTTCATGTTACAAGAGTAGTTACAAGAGTGTTTGGCAAGCGTAACACTATCATGGATAACGAAGTTGGCTGGGGCTGCTTTTTCAACATGACCCCACATGAAAATGGAAGTGAGGCTTGGTAACTGTTGTAGGTCAAAAGCTGGTTAGCCAGACATGCTAATAATTAAAACCAATGTTAGAGCACATTAAACACTGTTTCCACTCCCTACACTTTTCCTCTAAACTGTGTAACTGCCATGTGTGGTTCTTACTACAGCCCCACGCAAAAGCTGGAGATTGACAAGACTGGTGTGCCTAGCGATGGTTGCTAAGGTATGATTGGACAAACATTGTTCAGGGTAGGGATTTAGTGAATGTCAGTTATTTTCATTATCACTTAATCTATCAATTATTTACAATTGTATTTTAATATTTATCATAGTATAAAAGTAAAAAAAAAAAACTGAGTCCGAGTTGATGTATCTAAATTCCTTCTTTTTCCTCACCAACAGTCAAAAAGCTAAAGTTCTCATATTTGAGAAGCTGGAGCCAGTAAATATTTGATATATTTGCATGATAAGACTCAATCAGTTTTCAAAACATTAATTTCAACATTAATGTTTAGAGCTTCTGTAGTTCTGAAGCTCTAGATTATAAGTATCATATTTTTTTTTACCCAGTGCTCCCGTTTGAAGTAGAGTCACAGTCACACTCAGTGTTTCCTGACTAAGAAGCCAATAAGGAAATATGCCAACAACTGTGCTCGATATGCTTTAATAATCCCTCAATACAGAGATATGGGGCACAGTGGCATTTCGGGAACAGTCCCCAGCTGCTTGCCCCCAATCAAGTCCAGCCAATGTGGAAAAGTATCAGAAGAAATGTGGCCTGATTGCCTGGACTGTTCATTTCCTGCCCTAACAACTCCCAGTTCAGTCAGTTCAGTAGTGACACCAACAGGCTGTCAAGGAGGCTTATGGTGCCATCTGGTGGTTGAGATTGTTAACAGAGTTGGCCTTTGCTCATTTATGTGAAGATGAATCAGAGAAAGACAAAAAAAAGATGGATTTGGAAGAACGTGATTGTTTTTCCACAGCTAAGTGAAAGGACACTTACCCATCAGAATCAATGCTGTTTTCATAAACCATGGCTTTTAGGGCGTCTGAGTTTGCTGAAAAGAGAGAGAGAGAGAGAAAGTTACTCTCTTGTACAGATAGAAGAAAAGAGAAGAGAGAAGGAGGGAGATAACGGTAGTGTTGGGAATTAGCGAGGAGAACGCTACAGTGACTTCAAAAGCAGAGCACTTATTGAAAGATGGCTACAACAGATTACCTCCTTAACACAATTAAATGGCACATTGCATGCAGTCACCGAACACAATTACAGTACACAACAACCTCAGGGGGAATGTACCAAACCAGAGTGAACTTTTGTCAGAGAAAACAAACTCCAGAAGATGACCCCGAGAAGTTTAATTTCTGGTAAGGAATTTGGCCCTGGGAGACAAAGTGTTTACTGCACATCAACAATAACTACAACTTCTGCTCCCAGTAGCATCAACACAGAGCCACCAGGTCAAATATACATGTTGCTCCCAGAGACAGATTTCCCTGAGGCCTGGCCTTGAAGCTGACTTCAACATGAGCACACAAGTAAAGGAATTCGTCCATATCTAAAGAAAAAGGGGGAGAAGTACTGAGCTGCACTGAGACACAGAGATGACTCATGTAGGTAAATGTACGAGTTTCATGTTATGATTCCATGTAATCGAGCACAGACACATGACTCCATCCTTCTTATCCACCCATGTCATCTTCATACCGTAGTTATTTTTAGCGAGAAGTCGCTTATGCTTTAGTTGTTTCATTTGCACAAGGCCACTGTTTCAGGACTCTGGTAAATAAATGTGAGACTATCAGCCAAAAAAAAAAGAAAAATTCAGGTTTGGGTCAATGTCTGGACTTTTAAAGGCCATCAAAACAGATTTTCTCATTAATGATTGATGGGGAAAACACAATAAATTTTCTGCCTCAGTAACAGTGTGTGATTTCATCCCAGTTTTTCTTTCTGGTTTAAAGTGCACAGGACTTATCTGGAAAGAGCTGATGTTACTTCTTTGCACCCATCAAGATCAATAAGTCAAAATGTAATGACAGCTGTGGGTCTCTTGACTTATGTTGAAGACCACTGTAAAATTTAAAGAGAAGATTAGCTGAGTATTTGAGTGTAAAATGCTTAATAAATACCTATAGATATTTAGTTTAAAATGTTACTTTTATTGTTGCTTATTTAGTAAATATTTAATGTTACATTAAAAAAAATGTAGGAACAGAAAGTTTCAGTTTGTCTGGACCTTGTTATCAGTCTTTAATACCTGACCAAATGCAGGTAATTTCAGCAACTTTCCATCTTAGAGGTTTCGATGTCACTCCTCAGAAGTGAAGAGCTCTTCAGCCTCTAAACCATAATATTTGGCATTCTGACTATTCTGTACAACCTCTTATCTTTAAGAACTCATGTAATACACATAAAATAAAGAACAGAAAAGTAAAGGGTATGATATTCTTGCTATTATTCTTTGTTGTGTAATGAAGCTACACAGGTATTCAATGAGAGTATGACGGTGACGTCTTTATTTTGTGATTCTCTGTAGATGGCAGTCTTCACTCAGCCATAAAGACGACTGCTGCTGCTCATGCTCTGTACTGCTCTTCTTCTGTGTATTTATACACATACTGCTGCTGCCAGTAAAAATGTAAGATGCACAGATCAACATGTAAGTTTTCACATTGTGTCTAGTTTTAATATTGAAATCTTGAAGCGTCTGTGTTAAAACACATTTTTACTTTGTTAATGAAAATATGTCACAACCTTATAATGCAGAATATTTCCATGACAGGAGTCCTCAACCACATAATGTCTCCAAACTGACATTGTGAGGGTGAGTCACAGTTAACGGACTCCAACTCCAGCTCTGCAAATGTTACTGTTACAACAAAAGCAGTGATGAGTCAGCTCAGAGCTCGCCTCTGGGGGGGTGGACAGAAAAATCAATTTATAACACAGTGATGATGGCCAGTTACTGAGACAGGACAATACTGCCTTCAGCTGTCAGCATGTGTTAGTCATCTGGATAAGATATGAAGGTTTATGATGGTTTAGACTGCACTGTTGAAATCAGCTGTAGGGCTGTTTTTTTCCCCACAGAGGCAGAATTCAAAATACTGATTCTGCTTGACTGAGTGAACAACTCAACAAGGCAAGAAAGAAGACACTAAAATGTAAAACTGAAGCCAGAGTATTGAGATGGTTTTGTGTTTTTGGAGGGCAATGATCTTAGTTCTTAAATGAACAGTGGTAACACTTAAGTTCCTTTAGCTTCTCCGTTGGAGACACATTTTATATTAGTGTTTTACTAGTCATTCATTATCTGTTTATATACCTGCAGCCACGTCTGGATGCTTAAGAGGCAGAATTAAGCTTGCTGACTACTATATTAGTGTGTTATAAACCATTTCTTAAATGTTTATGTACTTTTCATAAATGCTTAATTTGGGTGCAGGGTGTGGGAGGAGGTTACATGCAAGTGCAATGTAATTGTCTCCCTCTCCTTTCTTTTGCCTCTTCTCATAGTCTCCTGCCTCTTCCTCAGCCTCTGGATAGTTTCTGTGCTGTTTGATGAAGAGAAAGTTGTTGAGAACAATTGTTTGCTCTTTATGTATACACGCAAAATCCCCACAGTTGATCCAAGCTCTCCTTTCATGACATTGCCAGACTCTAAGTCCATTCTTCTCCTCGTTCATTTCAAACAATTCTTTCCTCTTGTTTACACACACTCCAAGGAAAACTATTAATAACACGATATGACCTACACTGGAACTCAAGACTGAACTTCCGAGTTCCAAATAAAATGTATCCCAGTGCCAAAGACAATGGAATCCTTTTTTTCAGTAACCCGCACACCTACACGTTTTAAGCATCAATTCCTCTACGTCACTAAAATACCCAATAACTCACTCATGTGATTACTCACATGTCCATCAGCGCTGAGGAAAATAGTGTAATCTACACCTTCAGGAAATGCATGTGTATTCCTGCTAATCAACCTGACTGAATTTGACACAATACTGGCACTGATCCTGATTTTGCATGTTGATACAGTTACTTGGTATAAAGGAGAGTTCTGTAATTTATAACACTTCCAGCTCCTTATTTGTTAGTAATGTCACTATTCAATTTACAGGAAAACAGCAATCAAATAAAAACTGAACTCTTGTGTGATTCAGATTGGAAACAGTGATGTAACTAACCATATTGTGTAAACAACGGTCATCACAAATCACAGTCATTGAATTCCTCCGCAGTGGCTCGTTTGTCCTTATAATGAACTTCCACCAAGAGCAAAACTCTTCTGAGAAGCGTCCCGCAAACAAAACTTCACACAAACAAACTGACACACACTTCCTTCCTTAATAGTGTGTGACAATAATAAAAAGCTGGACGTGACTGAGGTCAGTCTGTGAACTGTGAAACGTTGCTGTTATGTATCCACAGCCTCTGCATTATAATAAAAAAATACCTGTTCCTTAAATGAGAGAGAAGTACAGTGTGTAATCAACAACAAGTAGCTGATTTTGTCCGCGCAAGTCGTTGAGTATGACGGACACGTACCTTCGTTTCTCATTATGTAGTGAACAATCTGTCCAACTGTGTCATTGTTGTCACTGAGGGTGTCGTTCAGATCTGAAAGAACAAGCACACAAATAGAAACACTTGCTTTAGTATGAACGAATTAATGAATGAATAATAGGCAGCTTTGATGACTCATTCATTAATTGGAAATGCCAGGAAAATATAGCATCAGTAAAACAGGTAGAGCAAACATTATAGCCAAAAAGCTTGTCATGATCTCAAGAGAAACCACTCTTCAGGCACGGCCTAAGGACTAAACAGTCAGGACCTTTTTACACCGAAAATGCTCAACAAGATACCCATAAATCTCATAATTAAAGAGCATGTATTAATATTACAACCTGATGAAATTACTCCCCTAGGTTTTACTGTAGGTTTAACTGGATCAGACAAGTAATGAATTAGTTATAATGGGAATCCACATTAATGGAATTTTCTGCCACGTAACAAGCTGTAAAGACAACATTGACCCTACTAAGTTAACATGGCTATCATGTGAGCAAACAGTTACTCTCTGTTTCTCTATCTCTCTTTCAGGAGATATGGAGCAACACTTGTTCTCGTTTTGAGTAGTGTGTTTCAGCCTCCTCGTGAATGTAATTCCACTACTGTTCTACTTTTTGCTCCGTTTTGTTCTTCACAAACTCCTGAGGGAAATATCTGGTTCTTTAGCTGCTCGATGCTCCAATATGTTCACAGCTAATTGCCGACTTTGTCTGTCTGCTGTTTGGTGTTGAGCAGGTGGCGTACAGTGGTGTTTTTTTTTTTTTTTTTTTTTTTTTTTTTTAAATAGCTTTTGCCTGCGGCGATTAGAAACAATGTAGAAGAGATCTGGTAGAGCTACAGGCTGTAAAACCAAAACAACGAGCTGACAGATGTAATAACATGTATTGGGTGAAAAATGTTGTGACATTTTATTTTGTTAAGAGACCCTCTTGCACACATCCATAAAAATATGTGATCATCAAGTGTTTTTTCTTGAGAAATTGAAAATGACCACTTCCTGGCAGCACACACCCCAGTGAGGCACTTCCTACAGTTTCCTGTTGATTGCTTCCTGAATATTTCCACAGCTACAGATAAATATAATACTCTTTACTCAATATAAAGAAGCTGCTCACAGCCAATAAACATCACAAGCAGTGTGGAGGGTAAAAACAGAAAGAGAAACAAAAGCAGAAACCTGATCATTGAGAAACAAGAGAAGACTGGAGCAACTGAATGACAACAAAACAAACAAGTTTCTTCCCCCCCCACATACTCTTTCAATGTATGAGAGAGAAAGGGTAGGGCTGTTTGAAAGAGGACACACAGAAACAGGAGGGAAAAACCCTAATGCCCGAATGACGTTTGTGCTGCTACTGGACGAAAGCACATACATAGAAACCAGCCTTTCAATTTCAATACCTACATACTCCACTTAACAAATGTGATAATAATTGAGAGGATTAAATGGAAGAATAACGCTTTGGTCAACATGGGAAATTTTAGAGATTTTATATGCCAGGAGAAAAACTCAAGAGGTCAGTAGTATAACAGACAAGTGAGAAAGGCAGACAGCAGGATTTCATAGTGTAAACAATTCATTCTTCCTATGACATTTCTCATGGCTGTGACATAGCCCAGTGCAAACCAGAAATGCCAGAAGTTTCACGTCAGCACACGAGTAGTACTAGAGGGAGAAAAGAGCGCACGAACCTCACCCCTCCCTATGAGGTCGTGCCACGCAGTGTACTCGCAAGAAAGTGGCATGACTGTTGCAGAGAGGGGAAAAGTAAAGGAGTGAACCGGGTTCTCATTGTCTACTAAGTACAGAAAGTCAGCTGTGTTCTTTAAGAGGTCAGAATACTCTTCACCATGTACACAGCTCCCATAACATTAAAGCATTATCTGCAGCTATAATTACGAACCAAGGAAAATTAAACAGGCCCTGTGCGGAGACTATTTTTGTTACACCTCACTTAACACACCCCTAGTTGAGTCAGAACATGAGTGATGTGAATGCTAAACATCTTCCTGGTTGCTGTTGGCTCATATCCACTCGTTAAAAAGACAGAGGACTTCTCACAATAGAGGAATATGGCTAAGATAAGACTTTACAAGAAAATGGTAAAAGCAATCATTTCTTACTCAAAAGGTGCATAAAATACAAATGCATTCTTTAAATAGGCTCTGACCTGTGTAGCTCTTTAGCATTTTAAATTTCATTTTATGCACTGAGAAATAGTGACAGCTACAGGGTTTTGGAAAAGGACGGTGTCATTTACATCACACAAGTCTATTCTTATCATCTGTTCACACCTACGGTACGTGGCACACACCAAACTTATTAGTGTCAGGAATGTAGTACGAGTCTGAAAGTACTAGAGAGCAGGTGAGAGCGTCAAAGTGTTTTTATTGACTTTCAAAATCACTTGACAGGAAAGTGCAAAAACTCATGTATGCAAATGACCAACACTGAAACCAGTGCAAAACAAATCACCTCTGCATTTACTTTTCCAACGACTGAAAAGCAACAGCATCACAGTCTGACAGAGGGAATTTGACTCTAGTTAATGTTCAACTTGACTGGAATTATTCAATTCATTAGCTGCTGCTGTGAAGCAAAGAGAGACAGAAGGTGTTAAAAGGCTGAAATGGTGAAACATGATAATCTAGATAAAAGTGAAAAAGTAAAGCACAATAGGAACGACTGAAGAATTTAGTTACAATTCATACTATTGTCAAGAATTAAAACTTCATTTGCATTTGTTTCAGAAATTCAATATAAATCTACTGTGTAATCACTGTATCTCTCTATATAGTACTTTTCATTATCAGTTGTGAGGTCTGACATTCCTGTGCTGGATTCAGACATTCATAATTTCTTCTAAATTAACTTGGATATATATCAAAGCTGATTGAGCAATAACTATGGGTGTGTGCTGTATATAGATGATAGACGTTATAAAGACAAAGACTTTGTAGATGTCATAAACATATACAGTTAATCATAATGGTGTCAGAAAAAATTCCCAGTCTGACATGTCAGTTTATTTCAACAACTCTGAATCTTTGAAATTGCATCAACTCCCTCCTTCTTTCATTCAGATTTCCTTACCTCCACCCAGTTCAGGATCCTTTTCTTCTTCAAACACCTCCTCATCATCATCCTGGGTCTCAGTGGTGCACCGGTAGCCTTTCCTCTTCAGCACATGGCAGATCACCACACCAAGTAGGCCCAAGAAGAAGAAAACAGGCACCAGGAAGAAGGCGATGTTGTCTGGGTTGAGTCCCGCTGCTCCACTTTCACCTGTTCCAGTAACTGTAGTTTGACCCGCTGGAGAAAGGAAAGGGGGCAAGAAACTGAGATTAAAAAAGAGAAAACACAGAAAACAAAATTATACACTGTCATTACAACGCCCTTGATAGCAACCTGATATCCACAGTGAGACTGAGGGTGCACTTGTGGCCTGCGCTGAACAGCTGAGAGGATTTAAATGCTATCAGCTGCAACATGACAGAGCGTTCACGTTCCCCTTCCCGGATCAGTCGAGTTTGCTGCTGTCTCTGTCCTCTATCTGTTTGATCTGGTGCAAGCTGTGTCCCCTCTCCACAGCTCTGAGGGCACATTTGGTGTCAGAGGCAAAGGAACAGAGAAAAGGCAAGATAGCTGCACTGATAAAACTGTACAGAACGTTACAGTGTAAAGCTAAGAAGTACAGTGAATCTGTTTTTGAAGGTTTTTATTTTAACAGACCTCAACTTCTCTTTTTTATTCATTCAACTTTCTGAGAGCAAAAGAGAGAGTGAGAGTACAGAGTGACACTTCGGTAGTTGCAACACTCTGATGTGAAATTAGTTATAAAATGTCCCTGAGAAAGGTGCAGAAGCAGCCTGTTGAAACACACAAACCCACTCTGCATGTAGCAGGGTTGGTTATATCGTAGGGTTTGTTGTGTAACTGACTGCAGCAAAAGGACCACATGGACCATAAAACTTAACTATGAGCTCCAGCTTCCTCTGCTCCCACTCCCATATGTCCACAACCTACACAGCGGACTTTAGACCCATTAGGGTGCCACAAGACTGTGGGACAGGGTGCTTGAAGCAACTCCTGAACTGTACTTTCAATTTAGCAGCTTTAAAACACAGCTTTAGGGCTGTAGGTAACAATTATTATCATTATCAACTAATCTCCTGATTTTCTTGATTAATTGATTCAATAACCAAGTTTCCATTCAAATGTAGCACAAATTTTAACTAAACTAAAAAGTTAATTATTATGCATGCCCATCCACTATTGATATATGAATATTAGGAGTTGGTTCATCAAGACAAACTGCTGGTGGTGCCAATTGTGGATGGAAATACACTTATTGTTAATTCTATGACGTGTAAAGAAGGAGTGAAAATGCCAATCACATAAACATATTGCTTTTTTGAGTCCAACAAATGGCCCAAAACCCAAAGATATTCCATTCATTATCATATATGGCAAAGCTTTTAATTTTTGGTTTAAAGGTGACTGAACAATTAATTGATTATCAAAATAATTTGAGATTTCATTTCTTTAGGTAAAAAAAGCTCTAAAAAGCTTGTTTTTGATTTTTTTTTTTTAAAGTGAATGCTGTTATATTACATCTTGGACAAAATATCTTGAGACTGATCAAGTCAAAGTTCAAAGTATAGACCATGACCTCCGGTCAGCTAAGGCGAAAGCTGCCCTGGCTCCTGCTGTTGGAGCACCACGTGAGGCATTCCAGCACAACACACAAGAGGCCTTTTGTCTGTTTTCCTGTTCGCATCAGTGTGCGTGTGTGTGTCTGTGTGTCTGTGTGTGTGTGTGTGAGAAAGAGAGAGACAGAGAAAGTCAGTGAGAGACCAAAAGCGAGACGGGGACAGACAGAGCGACATGGGAGCTCACCATTTGGTTAGAATCTCCATCATATCAATTGAAACTATATCTTCACCCCATTTTGAAAAGTGCCAGAGCACTGTGTGTACAGACATGTATCTGTTCACCTAACCATGTGCCTCCTGATGCATACAGGCATTTGTGCTCCTCCATTGTCCCAGTTCCCAGTCTGAACACACTGATAAAGACCATTGTCTGCTCACTGACCGCCCTGTGACCGCATGTTGTATGTCCATGTGCTTATATCTAGTGAAGACTGCACTGGTTGTCTTTCCTGGCACAGTCCCATGCTTCTCCAAATGGCTCAGAGGTAATCATCGGTCAATCAGAGGATTGCATTAAAAGCAAAAAAGAAAAAGAAAAAAAAGCATACAAACACTGGGACATAAGAGTCCTTGAGGAGGATTTAAGGTTGATTCATAAATCTCTTAGCAACCACATCTGGTGCCATGATGTAAGTCCACAGAGAGGAAACCAAAAAACAGACACATCCAAAACAAACACATATCACAGATTCATACTGTATGAATTCAAAGGAAACGAGAAAGGCAGGCTGACAATTCTGATATTCTTTCCTTATCTCCAGTTTGTGTCCAGTTTGGAACAAAACAAAGAGCTAATGTTGGGTTTATGAAATGCTTGATTATATTTTGTTTAATATAAAATCAGGCTGGGTATAGAACTGTGGTTTGTTTGCTATTTTTTAAATTACTAGTTTGGCATTTCTACACAGCAATTTCTTGTTTTCTACCGGTTGTCATATAGACCAATATGATATATGTGCAACAGGCTACAGTACTTGTGATGCTGCACGTGTTAACACAACAATAAACTCTGCTGTCTTTCAATGGCTTGGCTTGTTTTGTTAAATGTACATACTCAGGTATCATACTGACACAAGTGAAGGACTTAAAATGATAACTAGTATTAGATGTACAGATCCACCAAAAATGAGCTGGAGAAGCAACTGTGTTCATTTTGACCTCAGGATGAGAGTATGAGAGGTGATTCTGGGCATAAAAAAATATTTTATAACAACAACATTAAGTCTCAATAACACTGAGGTACACATGGGGCTGCACAATCCTAAAATTCTTTGGATTAAGATTCAGGGGAAAGTCAAACACTGGGTCAAACTGCCCATGGCTACAAGGAAAAAATGTTGCGGTACGGTGAGCAGCAGCTGTAATGAGGATTCTAGCAGACAAATTCTACTGGACTGGACAGTTACTGAACAAACTACCTCCCTCCAAAGTCTCAGATACAACCTCTAACTTTCACCCTGATAAGTGACATTCCCCTTTCTGATTCAAAACTATTTCTGTCTCTAGTATCAAATCCAGCAGCTGAAAGAGGTCAGCGTTACTGTTCCGCTAGTTTAATTTCCTGGAGTTTTATTAGGATTTAGCCTGTGAGAAGTTGTCTGCCTGAAGGTTATCGACGTCTTTGTGGCAACAGCCTCTTTCACAGGATGATGTAAAATCAATCTCTGAAAAAAATACATGAAGGGGGGATGATTTGTGTTTGGAAATACCAGGAAAAAAAGACGGAAAAACTGAGCTGTGAGTCAATTTAGCTGTGTATTCTGTCTCTTCTCTTCAACTTTATCCTCCCTCTCTTTTTTCCTTCCTATCCCCTCTCTTGAACATCAGATGTACTAATAGGGAACCATTTTAGCTATTAATAAAGGCAACATTAGTTTTATTCATGCTAGCATGTGCTGGAAAATCTGAATCTTGAACTTTGTATTTCTCCTGTTATTGCTAGCACTCACATTTGTACATGGAAAACCTCCATTAGCCATCAGTGGTTAGCGCATGTGACCAGTAGACAAGACCACAGATCCAAAGGGCATCTCAGAAAAGAGGACGTTGTTGATCCTTTTCCATTGATATCAGCAGAAAACTTCATGACATAAGGAAGCTCATTGCATGTTTACAAACTCAACTTGAGTTTTTCTCTTTTATCTTAGTTTCCAAATCATGTCTGACTGTGTGACTCACTTCTTGGCAAATTGAACTTTAAATAATAACAGTCTGAATGAAATATTTTAAAACAGGATCAGAGATGGCTGAAAGCCTTTAAATCATTCCATCTCAGTGATTAACTTCATAGCTATACATCCATCAGTAACATGATCCTAGATGCAACTGCATTACTACCATTACCTTCATTTAGTCTTGGGAAGGAGAGAGAAAGGAAATGGAAACTATTCGACATCTCATTCAACCACTGTTTGGCTGGTGAATAACGTCTCCTTCAGATTTTACAATAATGTCTATGTCAACATTAAACTGTAAGCACAACAGCCAAAATGCCACAGTGTCTTAGTGCACATTCATTCTCATAATCTAGTCCTGTTCAAGGAGAATGAGTGGTTCATTTACCCAACAAGATCCTAGATAGGAGGCCCAGAGGGACTCAACAAGGCCTCCACACCTCAAATCTGTCTTTTCTTATCTTGGTAGCTCTGATATACAAAGTATTAGTCCGTTAAAAGTTACTGAATAGCTGTAAAAAATATACAAAATAGCTGTCAGTCGAGCTTTTTTAACTGTTGAAAAAGTGACAGTAAACACAGTACCAAAGCTTTTACGTGATCACGACAACACATTTGGATAAGAATTTGTGGTGTCCAGCTCTGCACTGAATATTAATGCCTTGTAAAGACTCTATCTGACTGTGGCTTACCCATTTCCTCATGTTCAGGAAATCATGTTTAGCTAGGAAGGCAAATCTAAGACGTACATCCACATATTATTTCAGAATACATGACACAGTCCTGTCCTTTCAAACCCCGGTCCTTTATCCATTTAGTCACTCGGTACACTCACCCATTAGTAATCATGTCTTCATTTGGAGTCATGGCTCTGTGATTTCAGGCAGGTATTACAAAACAGCAAAACTCTTGCACTGATATATCTTTATTTGCAAATATCTGCTTTGAAGAAATGACAATATTTGTGTATTATACTGATACATGAATCTTAAATGTGATACCAAACACAGGAGGATTATTTCCCAACCTCTTCAGTTTGTGACCCCTAAAAATGAAGCTATATGTGATTGTGACCCCTCAGCACAAGTCTTGGTCTTATTGTGTGCAAACATAAGCGTTACTTTTCCCTCAGATACTGTTTCATTTAAAATGTTTTTTTACAAGGCCTGAGGAACTAAAAGTATTCAGAATTTCACAGAAAAAAAAGAAAAATTAAATATAAGATTGTGTGACAGAAATATTTTTTAATGTCCTTTCTTATTCCTCTAATTATCTTGTAACCCCTACAATTTATCTTGAGACTCCCCAGGTTGCGAGCCACTGACCTACACAACAATAAATTCAGTCCTGAAGACAGCTAAAACTATCCTAGACATGCAGTATGGCTGTATAGCACACACGCACACATTATATGAGTGTATTCTAATTTTCAAACCAACACACTGGATGACTGGGTCTAATTGAATGAGAATGAGGATGCAGCCATGGCCTTTTGCAAGCCAGACTCCTGTGGACTCTCCGCGGAAAATGGAAACAGGCCTGGCGTTTTAAAGGTTAGGAGGAAAACCAAAGAGCAGAGCACTGGTTGGAACTAAAAGGGAACACTTGCTTGAGTATTTCTTGATGCAGAGACATATACAGTAGTCTACTTTGACACATAAATGGTCTTAGCTGCATTTTAAAAGATTCAAAAGAGGCTTTTCTTTATAAGGGCTTCAACAGTGTAAACAACTGTGTAAAACATTCATTGCTGCTTATGAGACATGCTCAGCACTCTTTGAACAGGGTTTTAATGCAAACACTTTACACTGATAAAGATTACAAGATCATTTTTTGTTTTCCACAATAATACTGTTTTGCGAGGTAGTTGGTTTCACTAATGTTTGATGTTAGTTGCTTTGTTTTTTTAAGCGATTCAGCATATAACAAAATTATACTAATCTATTTAAGACAGGCACGCTGTACGTGGCTGTTACATTTCATAATAAAGTATTATTAAGCTGCTGCACTGAATATCACAGAACTTCACTAATGTCATTTTACAGACACTGGAACTAGTAACCAGTTAATTTGGTTTGAGAGGCAATTAAAGGTAATGAGTCTAAGTTTAACTTCTGAACAGTGTCATGAGATTTACAACTTAGGTTTTGTATGCTTCATAAAGAGAAATAACAGCTGTCATGATGGAAAAATACACTGCAAGTTCTGGTGAAATTGAGACTTTAACATAGATTTCTTGCAGGATTCATTACATTTATTATGAATCTAATCTTTATATTCAATGTTCTTTTTAGTGTGTTTTATTATGATAACCCCAATGAAGGCCAAAAACTAAAAAGCATTGGTCTAATAGTAAAGTTATTCTTTATATTACAAGTGTTGTTTTGAGTTTTTACCTCTTTGAGGCAGGTGAAGATGTGCCAGAAATCCCTACTCTGGCTGTAGAGGATTATTTACACTAAAACCTTGTAAAATTAGTAATCAGGTAAAACACATCCATAAGCACAGTATAAGATGTAGCCTTTAACTTAATATTAGGGCCATAACAAGTTAACCAGGATCGTTATTTTGACTGGTAAAAATATGCAAGTCTCCTGGATACATGCCTCACGTTTTGGTGAGATTAGGATAATATAACACATTTATGTAGCTCAACACCCAGTTTGCAATGTTATTTTCAAAGCAGGTTATCAGTGCTCTTCTATAACCAGGCTTTTTTTTATAATTGCTACGTATGTTTTCTCCAACTTCTACACTGGCTGCAGAGCCTGTTAAAGTAAGACGGTCATGCTGCGTGTGTGCAGTTTTCTGCTAAAACTTTGCCTACAGTTGAATTTCTACAAGCTACGCTAGCTGGTAGCTACATTTTCCATAAATCGATATTCTGCCGCCACTGAAACTTCATTAGCTATTTTGAAAAAGAGAGCAAACTTTCCCGGGGAAGAGATGAAAACATACGGAATATTAACGACTTTGACTGTTGCTGCGGTGCTACACAATTTCACACCCAAACAAAAAATAAATATAAAAAAAACGGTGAAACTTACGTGTAACGACGGTTGAACTGGCCATTGAGGGACGGGACCACAGCTAGCCGGTAGGATTTCGGTGATGCTTCTGACAGGCGACCGTTGGACGTCTGGCCAGTCACAACCAACCGTGGTCAAACTACACTACAGGATTTCTCACCGACATGAACCTGTTTCCTGATTCCCATAGAGCGGATACGCCCTCGTCTTAAAGCGGCACTGTCTCCAACAGAGAGCAGTCAACGGGAGGGGGAGCAAGAGGATTCGCTGACTGCTACTTCCGATGTCGCTGATTTTTTTTTTTTTAAGGAAAAAGAAGAAGCGGTTTTCACACCTGGATGCCCCACAACTTTCTCCAGTTTATTGATCATAAATCTGAAATCCTTGAAGCCGGTGACAGGTCAGTAGGTCAGAAGTCTGGGTTCCAACATTCAACGCCAACATCTCAAAAATAGCTGTTTATCATTTAAAGAGTGTCTTCTTCTCTCATGTGTTTATTTCTTGTTATCGTAAGACTATTGCCATGCCCTTCTCACTGTATTAACACTCGTTGTTATTAGAGCGTGCAAAGTGGATTTTTCACTTCACACAGATGTGCACTGACAACTACCTCCAGCAGACAAGGGGCCAGAAAAACTGGTCATTAGCTCATCAAACACACGCCAGACTGGACTAAACCCGACTTTCAAATATAGTAAGACAGGTAAACAGGTAACCAGCTTCAAATATCTTGGACTCTTAGATTATTGAAAATGAACTCAGCACTGATCAACACATCATTGATATGCAGAAACAATCCCAACAGAGACTCAATGTCAAGGTGCTTTCCGTTGTCCCTCGTCTGCTGTTGTTGCTTTACAAAAGTATGATCTATCTGTCTATCTATCTATGTATCTATCTATACTAAGCGCCTGTCATACTTCCTAATAGTAGTTAAACATGTCTTTCAGACCTGTGTACCAACTGTGTGCCACTGAAACACAAGAGTCCAGGCTACGTTGGGCTGGAGTGAAATTTTAAATAGGTAAGTCCACCACCTTTCACTTCATTCTAATATATTACTTAAATTTAAGATGGCAAGGAATAAAGTTAACTCTTTGGCGAACTGCAATGCAAAACAGGATCACAGACCTGTGCAGCAGGTCAACATGACATCCTCACATCATCACAACATCACAAACACACTTTGAAAGGAAATCTCCTAAATGCATTGCTGAGCCTGCAAACTGTTGATTTGACTTTGTGCATTGAGACAATCAGTGATTTTTGACAATCTTCAAGTTTTTCTGTTGATATTTCTGTGAAGCAGCTGATTTTGTGTCTGTCATATGTTAACCTCATATGGTTTTATATTTTAGAAACAGAAGAGAAATCAAAACGACGTAGAAGTTGGAGACAAGCAGACTTCCAGCCCACAGAAGAGGTAAAATAACGTTGTGTAACTGTACATTTCATATTACTTTACTATTGTGTCTTATATGGTGTTGTATTCAGTTTGTTAGGCAAGATATGCACTCTTTTTTTTTAGCCCAAGACATCTTTAATAAATCAATAAATTGGTCTAAACATTTCACTTGTAAAAATCTCCACCTGGATAAAGTAATAGATTGAGTCCAGTTTTGATAGAAGTTAAGGGCATTCTGGCTGCATTACAAAGTGGAATAAACATCTGTATTTTCTCTTTATTACCAGTTTCAATGTCGAGGAGAAACCATGACAACCTGTGGTCCCCAACACTTCGGCCACCTCTGCCACCCCAGTCTCACCTCCAACTGAGACTGGACAGAGAAAAAACAAGAAGGCTTCCTGGTGGCGTAGGTTTCTCCATCGTAAGAAGGTATGTTTAACAGAGCTGAATATTGTAAATATAAACTATCGGACAAAATGCTGTAGTTGTTTGAGTTTGTCTCAGATGTATTTAATTGTGTTTATGTATTTGTACCCAACAGAAAACCAAACATCAGACTGTGACAGAGGATCTGGTTAAAGAAACAAACGGACATACTTTTACTGTCTATTAATGTCTCTTATAATTCATTATTTTCCACTTATTCTCAATTGTAAAGTTAATTTCACCACTGATTTAAAGGACTGGTGTGTGGATTTAGGGGGATGTATTGGCAGAAATGGAATATAATATTCATAATTATGTTTTCCTTGGTGTATAATCACGTGAAACTAAGAATTGGGTTTTCTTAAGCTTATGGAGCCTGCTCTGTTGCACCACCATGTTTCTACCATAGCCCAGAATAGAAAAACCAGACACTGGCTCTAGAGACAGTTTATCATGTTTTTACATTACATGAAGCCCCCTGTAGGTTCTTCTTCACACTTAGAAAGGGAGGGATGAGGGGAGGGTTATTCAGTTGTATGCAATCTGCAATCTCTCCACTAGATGCCACTAAATCCTACACACTGGTCCATTAAATAAACTCATTATACTGTTGTGCCTTTTATAGTTTGCCTCCTCTATATCGCCTGGTTGCTTCATTAGTGTAACTGGACCATACAGTAGAATAACCATCTTTGTGTCCCTTTATCACTTGTATCAGTGCCATCGAATAGTCTGAAGTTGGTGAAGCTAGTGTCCTGGAGGAGGCTTCACCCACCCCTGGCACTCCAACAAGGAATAAAGATGTGGCAGAAGATACAAACCAGCCATCTTCTGCTACAGAAAAGAGGTATGACGTGTTTACTCTGTATTAGCATATCTTCTAATTCATTATTTTCCACTTAATGTCAATTGTAAAGTTCATTTTGCCACTGAGTTAAATGTTTTTTTTAGCGCTCTACATTTCCTCTTGGCTTCATTACTGTAACTGGACCATACAGAAGAATAACCATCTTTGTTTCCCTTTCTCACCAGTGTCAGCATCATGGAGGAGACAGAGGATGGTGAAGCTGGTGTCCAGGAAGAGGCTTCACCCACACGTGACTCACAAGTTTCAGCTGCTCAGCTGCAGCTGCAAACGGCGAACGAAGATGTGGCAGAAGATACGAACCAGCCATCTTCTGCTTTATCACCAGTGTCAACACAGACAAGGAGACTGAGGGAGAAGCTAGTGTCCAGGAGGAGGCTTCATTCACCCCTGAGAAGAAGAAGAAGTAACATGAAGCGTCTACATGTTATGGCTGAATTTAACTTTTTTTCAATACTTATTCCCAAATGAATAAGGTGACTACAATCAAGGAGGATAAAGAAGCCAAGACACCTCGACTGTGGCCACCAGCAACAACAGCAGTGACAAAGAGCCAAGCACTTAAGTTGCTGCTGAGATCAGTGACCCTATAAAAAGGCAACCAACCCCAACTGGTCATGTTGGGAGTCTACAGAGTGATATCTGACCGTGGACAAAAATATCTAAACACTTCACTGAATTGAAAACCCTCTCTAAACATGAGCTGGTCTGCCTTGGGTAAGCACTGGCAAAGAGACTCAAACACACACACTGAGTGTTTATATGTTGTTTCAATATTCAGGTTTAGTTTAGTATGAATCTTCATCTGTAACATACAGTGAGGAAAACAAGCTCCAATCTGTCCTTCGTCCTCTGTCTTGTTGTGTTTAAGGTTCCCCAACCTGGCACAGACTTGTTATATGAACTCCACACTACAAGGCCTCCTGACGCTGCCTCATTTCATCCAGGAGGTTCACAACCAGGAGAATGTGTGGCGTACTCACCCACAAGCTAAAATCAAGAGGTACAGCACCTTACACACACTCACACGTATGCTATCACTCTTTGGTTTGTCCGCTGATGATCCAGATCAACATCAAGTAAAAGCAACTTTAAAAAACATCATCTTCTCTTGGCTTTTGTTGTTTCCAAAGGGATTGTGAAGGTTGGAGTCTGCCACTTCACTGACAACAAGGCACAGAAGAAATGTGCCCTAGCTGGATTCAAACAAACTGTTGCTGAATATATCTCAAAGTTTAAGGGCAACGGTCAGAAGGTTAGTAAACCTTTTTAGTTACATTATACAGCACAGTATCACACTGACCTCCAACACTTTCTGTTCTGTGTGTTTCTGTGCAAGATGTCCATGAGTTCCTCAGCTGTGTGCTGGACATGCTGAGGTCTCTGAGTTTCGACCTGGAGACAGCAGCAATTCACACGGGCATCAGATACACCTGCCCTGTCAATGATCACATCACCTTCCAGTTGTTGAGCACCAGGACCTGCAAAGGGTATGAATTCACAGGCACACACATTGTTATTCTTAGGCTGTAGAGATTCCTCATTTTGACCGTGTTTATGAAAATTTTCTTTGTCAATTTGTGGTATAAAACCACTGATTCAGGACGTGTCGTCACAGATTCTGTGACTGTGGTTTCATTTGAATTGTCCCTTTATTCTGCAGATGTGGTTTCGAAGCTATGAGGGATGAGGACTACATGAAACTCTCCCTGGACCTGGTGCCTGGAGGCTCAGTGAGTCAGGAGTACCTTAAAGTAAGTAAATATTTATTTTGCGTTTAGTGTGATTTCAACCCCAACACACTCCATCCTCACAAAAAATGGTTGTTTGTATCTTCCATAAAGAGATTTAAACTAAAACCTGCTTCTTCTTCCTGTTCCCTGCTACAGGAGGGACAGCTGGAGTATCACTAAGTCTGGAGCTCAGGAGTCAACACGGCAGAGTTCGTTCTTGACCCTGCCCAAGTGAGTAACATCGCATCCATCACAAATGGCCTAAAATCTGACCACAGTGGAGTCAGGTGTCTTCCTCTGTCAGTTTGAGATCTAACCCTCCTCTTGTCTTTTCCTCCTCCTCTTTCTGTCAACAGTGTGTTGATCCTCCAACTCAAAAGATTTAGATTCACTTGAGTCTTCAAACTGAGGAAACTGAAGAACCTCGTGGTTCTGTCACGAGAGCTGGAGGTGAATCTGGACTCCAGCTTCAACGAACAGGTAAAGATGCTGTTCAGTAAAGAAATGGCACATTTTATTTGTTATACATGGGGGGTAAAATGAAATGTATCTGTGCGTGTAGCTAACTGTTGGAAAATCTGTTCTTTTCTAGACAAAAACTTGCTACTCTCTGGTGAGCATCGTCAGCCATTTGGGCTCCACAGCTCACTCTGGTAAGAGTTTGGTTGTGCTTGGCAGACACATGTTTTGAAAATGAGTCATGTCTCAAGGTTTATGAATTCACTACCTCTCATGATGAACCACTAACAAGCGTGTCCTCTCCTCTCAGGCCATTACATCTGTGACGGTGCTCACAGAGAGCCATCCAGAGACTTGACAGACCGTTGGCTGACCTACAATGACAAGGACGTCAGTGAGACAACAGGGACCGTGGTCAAAAGTGACGGAAAACAGCCTACCTGCTGTTCTACGAAAAACAGGCAAGAGAATATTTCTATATATATGTGTATATATATATATATATATATGTATATCTTTTGGCAAGTTGCCCTTAGAGAAAGAAATAAGAAAAGTTAGCAATATAACATGACTTTAAAACTCTAACACTGTTGTAATATGTGTTTGTATATTCAGCAGAAGATGGCAGAGCGGGGTGAAGAATGGATGTAAGACGAACAGCTGCTGGAGCAGAGGAGGATGGAGACAGAGCAGGAGACCTCAGGAGGACAGGCCGAAGAGAGGCCGAGCCGTTTTTGGAGGGCAGCCCTGAACCTGGGCAGACAGGCAAAGGTAAGATCTCTCTTGAAGGTGGATCAGACAGGACATCGACCAGGACCCCAACAAAGGAACACAGAGGACATCAGCCAGGAACCCAACGCAGGATCAGACAAGAGGTCAGCCAGAACCCTCTATTCAGGAACAGGCAGAACGTCAATGGAGAAAGCCAGTGCACAAATAGAAGCCAGGCGTGTGCACATGATCGGACTGCACAAAACAGTATCTGCAAAATAACCTTTACCCCTTACCCCAACCCCAATCCCCACACACCCTAACCTCCAACCCCAGTCCCCACCCACTCTAACCCCCCAGCGCAATGGAGCAACAAGAAAAGTATCTGTTCATGATACATTGAAAACTAGTGACATTTAAAGTGTAGTGTAAGGTATGGTTTTTCAAGAAACAACACAGTTGCTATTGCAAGTTGCTTGAAACATGTACTGTATATTTTCCCCTTAGTCAACTGAACTTAAATACCCTGCTTATTCGTTTAAAGTTACTCACAAAGTAGTAAACATGTCAGTGCAGTAACTGGTCTGTATGTCTGCAGCAAAACTAGAACACAAGCACATGTCATTATCTGGTGCCAATCATGTACACCAGACTTTTGGTCAGTTTGCTGCCTGTAGCTCAACCAATGAAATGCTGCAAATCCAAATTAGTAAATTATTTAATCATTAAATTATTAGATTGTGTGTACTAACCTTATCAGATGTACTAGTAAGTCGCACCCAATAGTGCAGCTCCTTGTAGCTTTTAGGGCAACGCTCTGGATTTCTAGCCCTAGTGGTTGAGGCTCACAGATCCACTGCCATTTCCAGCAAACAATCTCAGACAAACCAAATGTATCCTACCAACCACCAGATCTCAGAGTCCAAGTAGACTGCTGACTGTTGAACAAAGTGGGGCATTCACACAAGGGTTTGTCTATAATATTTTGGAAGGGGTGCTAAAGTGATGACAGAGAAGACCCAGTTATTGATTGCTAATATATTTGTGCATGCACAGAGATCTAAATTCCTGATTATGCATGTATTTCTTCATTTGCACTTGGACGTATGATACTTTAAAAACATTTCCTGCCATGTGTAGCTTATCATTGTAATAATACATGTGCTTTATGTGTTTATTGCATTGTAGTAATGACCAAATATTAACTGACAAATAATCTCAAGCACTCAAACAGAAATTAAAGCCCATGCTGAAATATTTACACTTTATATCTAGATGTGTTTTGTATCAGATGTTTGGCATTTTTGGTCAAATGGTCTTCAGTTATAAAAAATCTTCTGCTGTTTAGATCTGGGAAGTATTATTATAGTAATGGTTATTTACACAGTGGCATGTGCCCTACTTCTGCTCTGTTTACAGCCACTGAACAACCACCCCGTCGTCCGCGTGCCTTCAGAGAGGACAAGCAGAACAAATGACGTCACCGTGCTGGGAGCACGTTGAAATGTGCATGCGAGGCCTTGCCGCAGCCGTAAATACGAGACAAACGCGCAGTGCAAACAGTCGTGTGGGTCTGTGCTTGGCAAGGAGACACAGTCGATAGGATAATGAAGATCTATTGTTTTGTTACCTGCAACATGAAAGTATGAGCAAAACATATGATAATTAATCTGTTAAAGGCATAACTCTCAGGAGATGATAAGAGTAGGTGGTCAAAATTTTATTTAAAATAGAAATAAATCACAAGCAAATATTAATGATCTAACATTGAAAAAACATCTCAGTTCACAATCCATTTACTAGCTTTTTCTGGAGCTTTCAACTGCATTTTAGTCTTCAGATGATGGAACATTTTTTGTTGGTCAGTAGGTCAAAGTTAGGAATAAAATCAAAGATTAAAATTCACAAAGAATAGAATGATTATAAAATAGTTTCCAAAGCTTTTTCCAGAACTTCGTACCTCATTTTACTCAGACAAAGGTACCAGACTGGACTTAATTTTTGTTCTTGTTTTAAGCAGCATATTTTACTATATATGCTATAGCTAAAGAAAAATACAACTGCCAGTTGCCATTGGTCATCATGGCTGATTTTAATGAGCATTTATAAGTAAGTACAGACAGAGTAACACTGCTGAAAGTGTAACAGTAACGCTTAACAATTGGGAAATTCTGTATAATCACAATACCTACATCCTCATACTAAATGCTATTGCGATGCTGCTTCACGTATTACGGTCAGCCCGAGTAGGCTACAGCAGTGTGGGCACGGGCTACGCCCTCTCATGTTCCAGTATGTTTGGAAATGAACTCAGGAGCAGTCACTGTGCAACGTGACCATCGAGCCCCGTGCAGCTAACCCCGCCCCCCTCAGCCAATCAAAACGCAATGGGGTGTGTTTAGGCGGGGATATGGTCTCATGGCGTCCAATCACAGTGGCTAGTACAATATTACTTGCAAGACCATGCACCGGCACGTGTGTTCCTGCGTGTAAACTAGTGTTGGGAGGGCGGACAAAAATGTCTGGAGAGCAAATACAGACCGCTAAACAACGACAGTCGATAGCAGCAGGATTTATGCCGCTTCTTTAAGATTTTCGAGCACATCTCCGTGGAATATCAAAGCTGTTGATATCGTTTTGAAGCATATCTAAGGTGAGCTGGTCGGGTTTCTATTGTAGTCGTGTCTTTAGCCTTTGCTTTGTAGCTAGCATGTTAGCTGTCACTTTGGGCTGTCTGTGCCCAAGTGTACAAACTGTAGACATCCCTTTATTTCACTGTCTTATATTATTACCATAACATATAACGTAAGATCAGCGAAAGTTTTCAAAATGCTCACAATTTAAAGGTGAAGTCTCTGCATTTTTTTTTAACCCTTTGGGTGTCTATTAATGTAAACGGACACTATCACAGTAAGAATACATGTATTAAAGTATATGAAGCCATCAGAACTAACTAATAAGAGACCCCAGAGAAACTGGCGTTCATCCAGATTTCAAGACCCAGTTTTCTTAAACTGCGTGACCCTGTCATTTTAAGTTTCTGCGGGGTGGACATGCATGTGGACGTTGCACAATGTAGTATCGGGGCTGCAAAATGCCCCTCTGTGATAGGTTCATGCTGTGCTGTTTTTACGTTATGCTTGCTAAGGATGACGTGAAACATGCTCTGTTTTGGCAAATTGTTGTAACTGACCATCAAGTGAATCATTGACTTATTATGAGTGCTAACGTGATCCTGGATGTGCAGCCGATTCACAACCCTTAATTTTATGTTCTGCTACAACAGGCATGGATTGCCTGCTCACACATAAAAATCAGATGATGCATTCATCTTTTCAATACTTCGAAGACCAAGTAAAGGGTCTCTACACTATTAGTAGTGGTTTGACAAATCCCATTTGATCCATGGTCACCCCACCTCTAATGTTTTATTTATTTATTTATTTGTTCAAAGATTTATCATTCAAAAGTTAGACTAGAAGCTACGACAAATGTTTTACACTTTAAGTTTAATTACACTTGTTAAAACTATAAACTTCATAATAAAATAAAATGACGTTGTAATCCACTAAATGCCTCTATGCTCCTAATGTGCACATAATGCTCTTGTTAAAGGCTTTTTTTTTTTGAGAGCAACATTATAGCCTTTTTCTGTTTTTTATTTGTGCAGAAAGCATGTTTGAAATAATGTCCTGTGATCAACAACTGTTACAATCTACTCACACCAGTGCATTGTGCTGCTGATTTTTTCTGTAAAACCTACATTATCTCATGATATATTGGTTATCAGAGCACAAAAAAATATCACGCAAACCTTAAACATGCAGTTATAATTGAGGGTACCTAAGTGTATGCCTAGTACCTAGCTAGTGGCAGTCTTGGAGAGACAAGCTGGCATTTATGCCCTCGATAGCGGGCATTTATCACCCTCTGTGGCTGTGATGTACAACATGTTGTGGCATTTTTGAGGATGCCCAGATTGCATGTCTTCCAGCACTATAGATGCTCTCTGCATGGTATGCCATATTTTCTGCTTTACAGTTAATGTTCCATACACAAGGTGCACACCAGAGCATCAGTCTGTACAGATGTAACCCTGCAGGTTCTTGCAGATATCTCACCCTGTTGAGTGCCAGAGGGGGCATAGGAGCTGCACATAAATATCCAAAAGGTTTACACAGGCCAAGTGTTGACCAAGTTGAAAATTAAAAAATAAAGCTCAAATTAACCATCTGTCAGCTAATATGTGAGCTCTTAAGGCACAGAGAGATATGTGAGTGGGCACTGTAAAGATGACTCTTCCAGCTTATGCATAAGCCAATCAAACTTGACAGTTCTGACACCAGCAGCACTCATTTTGCATGGCTGACAGAAGAGGTAAGATGGCAGGCTGTGGCAGAAGTGGTGTGATCCACATTTAAACTGTTTGATCACATGTATGTTGGGGACTGAGTCAACACACGAGACAAGTAAGTTTGTAGTTTCCCTCGCAGCGATACTCGAAACTGAGCCTGAGTGAGTCAGCAGCAGTGCCTGGTTTGAACCTTGATGGGTGAAGCAGCAGAACAGCAACACAATGTTCCCCCTCTTTTGGCTCCAAGAGCAGTGTTTGTACCCTATTCTACTATAAACAGAACTAACCTCACCCTTAAATGGTGAAAAACAAAAAGCTTAAGGCTAAGAAGGTCAGATAGAGAAAGAGATTTGGGGACAACTTTTAGTAGGGGGGGGGTGTCCTCCATGTTCTCAGACAACTATAAAACAATCATGGCTACCAAGTATACCACAAGCTGCCAGGAAAAAGCTCATTGGTGACTCTTTTAAACATGCCTGAGAGGTGGTAGGGTTTCTGTGTTTCTGTTAATGAGAGTTATCTTGCAATCCAGAATTATTAATTCCAGGTTTGGTTCCAGAGTTTTAAAACTCAAAGCTGGAATAGCGCCATCTGGTGGTGACAAGTCTTAAACACATTTGCTGTCTATACTTACAGTAATAAGAGCAACCACTGTGACAAATACAGCTGTGAGTATTCGGTGTTTCATGGAGTAGGTGGCAGCACAAAAAACTTTGATGGTTTTCTCCGATGGTTAGTTCCCACTTGCCTGACAAACATGCAAACATAATGAGTACTGCATATGTACCATTGCGACACACAATACCTTAATCTTTTTTTGTGGTTGGGTAGTTTCAGCCAAAACCATGACCATCCACTGACAATCAAATACCTCAGTGGCAGAAATCGTTGGACAGGACTCAGCATATACTTTGAGTCGTTCTTAACCTCAGAGGATGCATCGACCTCTCTCCATGCTCCACTGTTGCTGAAACACTTTATGGTCCATTAAATCTGGGTTATTGTTATGTAGGTTTCAACAAGTTGGATTATGTTGAAAGTGCTTCAGCTGGAATGGTCAATCAAACCTCCTTTCATGACTGTGTAACAACCAGTCTTTACTTCACTTAAATCAACGTGATATAGCATTTTAAAAGTAAATTAAAAAATCTGCAAATATAGCAGCAGGTGGAAGGAAGCTTTTATGCCAGGGACCAGGTCTGGTTGACCTCAGTGGGAACTGAACTTTCAGCCATGGCAGAGATTGTGTCATATGTAGTGTTTTTTTTTGTTTGTTTTTTTTTCCTAAGACATCCAAACTTAAAATTTAAAGGAATTACATTAGATGACTTTAGGTGAGGCTTAAATTATATTGTTTTAAATTTTAAAATAGTTTTGTAAGCATGATAATATTTTACCTCAACAAAGTACAACAAAAGTAAAGAAAATCCAGCATTGATTGATATATCTTTAATGTATGTAAATGTTTGTGTATAACAATGTAATAAAATAATGTTGTAATAGAATTCCTCCTACTTTAAGAAGTCATGGAGCCGCCCAGTTCGTATAAAGCGCGTGTCTCTTTGTCTCATAAATGTACATTATGTACAGTGCTCATTCCTCCATTGTCGCTGATCCTGAATCAGCTCTCGCGTCTGCCATTCGCCTCGCACACTCAGGAGACAAACCTCTAGGCGGGGCTGAGACCAGTGTCTGGCAGACAGTCTGTGAGAAGCCCAGCCTCTGCGGGGCGCGCCGCCTCATTGGTCCAGCGAGCCGACCAATCAGCAGCCGGAGAGGCTTGCGGAAAACACCGCCGAGTACACGTGCCGTATGTACACAGGAAAGCAAAGCGGGGTAGGGCTGCTGTGAGTACTGTGCACACCGGACAATGACATGTGTATCAGTGTGCTTTCATACTGCGGAAGCTCCGGCCGGTGAGGGAAACGAAACAGCGCTGCTTTTTTATTGGGGTTGGATAATACACAGACATGTCGGTGTTGTGATCGAGCGGTACGGAGCTGTTTCTCTCAGACAAGCGGAGAAGTACACACATGTTTATGCACGGAGCCCCGCCACACCTTCCTGCAGTCTCCATCAGCACATTGCAGCAGGGAAGTGTCTCATGTTACCTTGAGTTTGCTTGAGGTGACTATTGTTTCGTCCGTGTTGTGATAATGTGTTCATACTGCATCAGTTAGAACTTTTATATACACAAAGCAAATGTTTGTGTATGCTGTTTTACAATACAACAGATACAAATGCTGTCACATTCAGTTACACTGGCTGAAAGTAGGGCTGCAATAATGATTATTTCTATTTTTGATTAAACTATTTCCTGGTTAATCAGTTAGTTGACAAAATGAATGTTAGAAATGACTGTCACAACAGTCCAGAGTCCAAAGTGAGGTATTCAAATTGCTTAATGTGTCTAATCACAGCGGGAGGAGGTGCAACCAGTGAATTTTGGGCATTTTTTCTTTTATTTTTTTTATTTATCTGGTTATCACCTAATCAATCAACTGACTAATCGCTGCAGGTATAACTGCAACCTCCAGGCTCAATCTGTGCATGACATTAATGAGAAGTAGCTGCTTTTCTTTGGTCAGTAGAGGAGGTTTGTTTATTCTAACAAGTGTAGACTCAAGATTTTTTTTTTTTTTTTTTTTTTAAAAAGGTTGATCAGTTGAATTCACATTGATTGAGTACACTGTAATTACAGTCAGTGATAATCACTTCCTTCTCTGTGTACAATATTTGTATCAGATGGACACTTGTTTCTCATTGCCATCATAGTGAGCAGATTTGTGGCCAACTGTTGGAGCAGAGCCCAGCCAAAATCAAGTGAAGTGCTGTTTCACTGGCAATAACAGGCAGTATGACTTTGCTTAATCCACTGGTGTCTCCCACATCTTGTTTACAACTACACTGATGCTTTTGTTTATTTAAATGCGTTGCTTAGGTAAAGACGAAGATTTATTTAGCCCCAGTACATAAGCTTATCACTTTAAAAGGCAATGTGATGTTGGCAGAAGACAGTTCTTAAATTGTTAGTGTATACTGTGGTGCTTGTTCCTACCATCATCTATGGAGATGGTGCGTAGACCACCAAGTGTTTTACCTGGAGTTTGAAATATGCAATAAAGTTTACACTAAAGATACACTAGCTTTCTGTTCAGCGAAACTGTCCTGCATTCAGCCCAGGAAAAGTATTATGTCACTTTCCTGATGTGGCAATCAATAAATATTGAGGAGAGTAGTGTTGCAACTCATGATTATTTGCATTATTGATTAATATAGCAGTTATTTTCTTTGTCAATTGCATAATCATGTCTGAAAATTTGTGAAAAGTACCCACCAGAAGTCCAAGGTTCATGTCTTCGGATGTCTTTTTTTGTCTGACTGATGGTTCAAAACCCAAAGATATTCAGTTTGTAATATTTTGAGCAACAGCATATAAGAGTGATGCTGCTGTTTAAGGTCTGGAAGTGTAATACTGTGCAAAATAAAGTGATGGCACACAAGTAGAATAATGATTGCTGCATTTGCAGATTCAGCAGATCTGTGTATCTAGTGACCAGTCATGCCAATTGGCTGGGTAAAGTTGAATTAAACTGAACTCTGACCCGCAAGTCCGCCAGAGCTCACCAGGAGATCACACCATAACAGGAAGTGCAACCTAGAATTGAACTGTTTTACAGGCACCAATTGAATTAAATGGGAGACGGGGGATATTTTCAGGACAGATATGTATTTAAATGTAGTTCACCCTGACTTAAGTGACCAAGTAGACACGTTTTGCCTCTGTGTGACCCTGATTCTCCCAACATGCAACACCACTTCAGATTTTGTTTTGTTGCAGCCTTATGCTAAAAAAAAATGTTTACATTCATTTTTTCCTTCATCAATCTGCACTCAATAATCCATGATGAGAAAGCGAAATCAGAGTTTTTGAAATTTCATTACATAGTTGAAGCACGTTTTGCAGTGATTACATCCTCCAGTCTTCTTGGGAATGATGTGACAAGTTTTGCACACCTGGATCTGGGTAGTTTCTGCCATTCTTCTCTGCAGATCTTCTCAAGCTCTGTCAGGTTGGATGGGGGTTGTCGGTGGACAGCCATTTTCAGGTTTCTCCAGAGATGATTGATTGCATTCAAGTAAGGGCTCTGGCTGAGCCACTTAAGGACATTCTCAGAGTTTTTCCTAAGCCACTCCTGCGTTGTCTTGGCAGTGTGTTTAGGTCATTCTTATGTTGGAAGGTAAACCTTTGGCCCAGTCTGAGGTCCTGAGCGCTCTGGACCAGGTTTTCCTGATGGATTTTTCTATACTTTTCTCTGATCAGCTTTTCCTCAAACCTGACCTGTCACACCCAAAGCATGATGCCGCCACATCCTCAAGAAATGTCACATAGAATTGAGACCAAACAGTTAAATCCTGGTTTCATCAGACCAAAGAATCTTGTTTCTCACAGCCTGAGACTCCAATCCGCCTTTTATGTCTTTTAACTGAGGAGAAACTTTAGCCTGGCCACCCTGCCAAAGCCCAGATCAGTGGAGTGCTGCATTGGTCGTCCTTCTGGAAGGTCCTCTGATCTCCACACAGGATCTCTGGAGTTCAGCCAGATTGACCATCAGGTTCTTGGTCACCTCTCTTACCAAGGCCCATCCTCCCCTGATTACTCATATATTATTGAAGAATGTATTAAAAACACATTCAAAAAGCAGCATGCCCAGTATTTTCTTAATAGATGATTCTTTAGCCCTGTTTGCAGTTTATCAGATAGCTTTGACAGAGATGAGGCGCACAGAAAACAAAGGAGAGTCCCAAGTCGGACTCAGATGGACACGGTGGTTTTGTGTCATGCCTTTTTAACCATTTGGCAACCAAGGCACTCAAGCATCCACCATCTTATATCCAGCAAGTCATGTTAGATATTCCTTTCCCACACTAAGATAGACACTGCTTTGTATAATCAGAGATTGGTCTTACTGAGTGCATTTCCTGTAAATAATTTAAGCGGGTGGGCTCACAGTCATTGGTTCAAAGCTGCCCTGGCCAGTTCGAGCCTTGTTGTGTGGAGTTCACATGTTCACTCCATGTGTGTGTGGGTTTCTGCCTAGTGCTCCAGTTTCCTCCCACAGTCCAAAGACATGCAGGTTAGGTGAACTGGAAACTGGAAATCTGTAGGTGGGACTGTTGTGTTTGCACACTGTGATTGGCTGCAGCAGTGTTTTTTTAGTTTTAGAATTAGTTTGGGGATGCACCCTTTAAGCAAATGGCCTTACTACAGTTGGCTTAGCAAGTGGGTGGGCCAAGATGGAACATCCAGGTATTCTAGTAGCCTGAGCACAGTTCACCACCAACACCTCCGCCTTGTGTCTTTGCCATCACCCGTGGAAGTATGTATGGATGCCAGCCTGCCTCGACGCCCACTCACGCCCTGCTTGCACATATCCAGATCATAATTGCTCCATCCCTCTCCCAGTTCAGCCGTAGCGCGCACACAGTTTGTCATGTGCAAGTGTGCATCATCCATCTGACTAAACATAATGCTGATTAGCATTTCATGGTTTGGAAGGAAGCAGCTTAGTTACATCATTGTAGCATCACATGAATTTGTTGAATTCAACTCAACCTGCAGCTGATCACCGCTTTCCATTCCAAGTTTGTTTTAGTCATTTCTGTGTAATGAGTTACATCTGTCATTAGCTGTCCACACCTGTTATCCTCTTGTCAGGACTAATAAGCAATCTCCAGCTGGTGGTGGCTGCTCTGAACCTGTCCACTCAGCCGTTTTGGGTTCTTGCGTCAGTACAAGACGTTGAGGTACATCTGAGCTGCCAGTGCAGGAACATACTTAAACCTGTCCTGATCAAAATCTGCATCAAAGCATCAGTGCATACCTGCAGGAGAAAGGTAAAGGGGTTGTGGGACAGCCAGGTGTATAAAATTGAACGGATTGACAACTGAGGACTGGCCTGACGACTGTGTCTCCTTCTGGTTGCGTCTGCAGGGCTTAAAGGATTACTGGGTGTCTCCCTTACCCAAGGAATAAATAGCACTAGACTTTTACTTGCGTAGGTGGTGGCCATATATATACACTTTGAGATACTATTGAGAAGTAAACCCTATTTTATAGAAGCCCTCTGATGTTAAGCTTTGCTACCTCCTCCTGGTGTTTGTTTTGAATGTCCTCTGAGTAAAATGGGACTAAGCTATGACGACTGACAAATGTCCCCTGTACTTTAGGTATTAGCACATGTTCACCGGTTCTATATTCAGATGCATACATACGCACTTGCATGAAAATAGGAGCAGGAGATTATTGCCATTGGGTGCTCAAGATGAGGTGATTGTTTTTTCTTGATAATCTGGGTAAAAGGCTAACAGATGGGCGCCCAACAACGGCATACTCTTACATTCTGACAAACAGACAGTCTGCACCACAAGGCAGAGAAAACATCTCATGGCCATATTTGAATCTTCTTTGAAGGCCAACACGATAAACTGATGATAAGCATTCTTTTTTTCTTTTTTTGTCTTTTCATAGCTGCAGTCCTTGGGAGATACTGATAAGACTTTACTAGCATTTTGTAATCCCGCAGCTCATGTAATTCATTTTCTTTCTCTGTCTGTCTCTCTATTTTTCTGTCATCTCAGGTGGCCTTCAGCACCTAGAGCAACACATCTCTGAAGAAGACGATACAAATACAGAGTGAAGCTAATGTTTTTTGCTCTCACCAAGAGCTGTTTTTCTCACTCTCCCTCACGATCTCTCGTCCCATCTGTTGGAGCACTTACGCCAAGGCTGTTTCATAACCAGAAATTCATCTCTTGTCTGCACCACTTTGAGTGACACTTTTTCGCAAGATAGTTAAAAGATAATTTGTCCTTTTGGAAGAGCAGCCTTTTTTGGAAGATTTTGCTGCCATTGACTTTTTGGAAACCCTCAAAGAAGGGCTCACAGCCCCAAACTCTAATTTCACCGGTTTTTGGCAGGAGATACTATGAATTTCTCACCTTAGTTCTTTTAACCAGAAGCCAGCAAATATGATTCATCTGTGGAATCATAGTAGTCCCACTTAAATTGAAGTTGTTCCTGTTTTCTCCTCGGCTGACACCTTATCAAGCTGTCCCAGCCTCATCCTACTCTAGTATGAGTTATGACAACTCTAAATCAATGCCCAGCAGCAGCACTCGGGGGCGAGTGGCAAGGGCCGATGAAAAAGACAATGACCAGGAAGTGGAGTCAGAGGGGTTAAACTCTCCAAAGACCAGCGGTGGTCAGCCCAGTGCCAATGTCTCGTCTCAGGACCAGGGAAGCGGAGCCTCCTCCGGCTCGTCTCCCAGCGGAGGATCGGGATCAGGACGTTTGTCCGGCGACCAAAGGGGTCCCAACTCAGATGATATGGACGGCCTCTCCAGTGGGAACGACTCCGGGGAGAGGGAAAGCGAGGGCGGTATGGAGAGGGAGAACGGGTCACGTGGGCGCCAGTCCATACGCAGCTCCAACAGCTCGTCGAATGGCAAGGACTCTGGCATGATGCTGGAAACCACAGAGAGCAACAAGAGGTAAGAGGAGGAGTAGACAAAGGGAGGAGACATTTTGTATTTTCATCCTCACGCTCTCTTCAGCATGACACACACATCAAGCAGTGCTAGGCTACAATACGTAACCCTCCATGGAGTACTGAAAGACAGATTTTATAGCCCACCACTTTCATTATGTGCAATATTACAGCTAGCTGAGCTGTCTGGCTCTCATTGTTTCACAGTTAGAGTGTGTTTGCTGACCACAAGGGACAGAGTTTATGGACAAATTTCATAAATCAAGAAAACAAGGATTAGGTTTTAGGGTTGTCCTGATCAACCTTTATTGCCCCAAATCTCAATCCAAGTCTAACTAAGGATAATTTTCATTATTGAATAATCAGCCTCTTATAAAAAAAAAAAAATTGTAAAAAAGAAAGAAGAAAATGACCCTTGCATTGGCATGGCTGCCTGAGCAAACAATCTCACATCTGTCATCAGATGTTGCTAAATCCTGATTGGTGCACAGAGATGCATTACATTACTTTTCCCAACTGAGTACCGCCCACCTCAAACCAGTGCGACAAACACACAATTTCATAAATCTCTCATGTAAAAAAATGTTTTCTAGCTTTGGCAGAACATTAGTGTGTATGGTGTAGGACCCTCTCGCTCATAAGAAACTGGTTTGAAAATTGGTTTTCACAGCCTTTTCATTTCAAACAGCAGCAGCTTTTTAAAAAAGGTTTATTATGTCATCAGAAAATGGAGCAGAAAACGAAAGAGAAACCGACTTAAACTAAAAAGGTTCTTCTCGCATCATTTGCTAACGCACGCTGTCAGCGTATCAGACATTATTAGCTGTAACTGTTGTCTGCTCTTCATTTGCGCTCAGGAAATGCACATAACTGCTTTGTTCAACTGTGTATAAATCCTCTGATGTAAGAAAATTATAGACACATATACAATGACGTCACACATGCAATTATGTTATTAGGTTTCTGTTCTACACAGGCCTGCACATGCTACTGCACGTGCTAACGGTACATGTGTCAACACAGCAGCAATGGAGACATACCCAGCACATACTCATCTGTGTGTAAAAATGCTCATTCCTCCCTTTCCCAGCTCCAACTCCCAGAGCCTCTCACCTCCCAGCGGCTCCCTGGCCTACAGCTTGTTGTTGACCAACTCGGAGCATGACCCCCCCTCCACCTCTGGCTGTAGCAGTGACCAGTCAGCGAGGGTCCAGACCCAGAAAGAGCTAATGAAGGCCATCAAGGAGCTGAAGCTCCGCCTGCCAGCTGAGCGCAAGGCCAAAGGCCACTCCAGCACTCTAAATGCACTCAAATATGCACTTCAATGTGTCAGACAAGTCCGAGGTGAGGTTCTGTTTTTGTTTCTACCTTCTTTTCTGCCCCAGATATTGACACCTCATATGATTTTCAGCTCCTGCCCTTTTCTTGAATGTGTTTTAAGGTGCGATGCTTTTATTTTCCTGCGCTGCAGTCTGTAGTTCTGTCTTTTACCTGTATCCACACCCTGACAGAGATTTTTCACCTTTACAGCCAACAAAGAGTACTACCACCAGTGGAGTGTGGAGGAGTGTCATGGCTGCAGTCTGGACTTGTCTACCTTCACAATTGAGGAGCTTGATAATATCACCTCAGAATACACCCTCAAAAACACTGTAAGTTTAGAGTTCAGAGTTTTCCCACTTATTACTGTGTCTTATTACTGTGCTGAGTGAGCCGTGGACTTTTCATTACTTTTTTTCCCCTGGGTGTGAAATGGAACTGCATGGAAAGCCATTGGTTTAGTCACATGGCCTTGAATGTGACTAAGATAAATAAGAAACTTATATCACAGGATGCCCGATGAATTGTTGCTTCATGTCACTGTAAACTATTTATCAAAAAAAAACTGATAATCTGGAAGAGCTGTTATTGAAGTTATTCTCATGAAAACCATTTGAATGAAGCTCATCTACAGTAATTTCCACACTCTTTCCAAGCCATCTCAAATTTTAGGTAAAAGTTTCTCTCTCTGCGTGCTACTAATTGTTTCCTTGTACATCTTTCAAAATAATGGACTTCATTAACAGCTAACTGATGGAAAAACTGTGCAGAGAATACAACGACAGGCTTAGGCCTCAATTATACTCCCTTGTGGATGCGTACATGGACAGCTGCGAACACCAGACACGTAATTGTTCCCATTACACTTCTTTCTTGTGGAGTCCGCTTGGAGGAGCACATGTGCAGTTGGTGGATTTGTAGTGTAGCGGCTGCGGGCCGAACACAGCAAATTTGAGAATACGCAGATGTCCACACAGAGCCTTGTGTACACCCTCTGAAATGTACTTCACGTGGATCCTAATGGACCCTCGCAATGTGATGCAAACATGCAACACACTGAAATACACAGATTATTATTAGATTATTTTCTCTGGGAACTTTCGCTTGGCTCACATTCAGAAACACCCTTCTTCACGCCTCTCAGTTCACTAACAGAGATGGATACCACCAAGCTTCTAAATCCAACTGAGTACAAAGAAAGATCTTATTGTCAGATTGTTGGAGGAGTCAAAAACAAATCTCCCTAAATTACTGTATTTCCTTTTCCGTTTTTGCCAGGATACATTCTCCATGGCCGTGTCTTTCCTGTCGGGGAAGGTCGTGTACGTATCACCCCAGGGTTCGTCCCTGTTGCGCTGTAAGCCTGAGTATCTCCAGGGGACCGTGTTTTCTGAGCTTTTGGCTCCACAGGATGTCAGCACTTTCTACAGCGGCACAGCACCCTGCCGCCTGCCCCCCTGGGCGTCCTGCATCGGTTCTGGTGAGCTGAGATAAATGGAAATTTGGAGAGGGTTTGGTGGGGGGGGGTCATATTGAAGAAGGGTCCCCCCCTCCCAACGGCAGTGAAAACTCAAGAACATACAATCTATAGCTAGGATGACAACAGATTTAGATGATTTCTGACATTGATTTTTCTCGGACTAAACTCCTCCGATCCGGTCAGGGGAATGTGTAATCTTTGTTGAATATCATGGTACCGTTTCCTGTACGGACTGACTCTTTCTTACGCTCTTTCCTCTCAGCCTCTCCTCCAGTCGATTGCACCCAGGAGAAGTCCATGTTCTGTCGGATCAGCGCTGACCGTACGCAGGGCGGCGAGATGCGCTACTACCCGTTCCGCCTCACGCCGTACCAGCTCACTCTTAGAGACTCCGATGCTGCTGAGCCGCAACCCTGCTGCCTGCTCATCGCAGAGAGGGTCCACTCTGGATATGAAGGTAAATATTACTCTACTGTATATTTTTATGAGAAAGACAAAGCCTATACTGCATGTATGTGCAGTTTTCTGTCTTAAAATGCACATCAGTCATGACAGACTTTTCTGATACAGGTGAAATAGTTTATTTGACAGTATGTCAGAGAAGGAGGGCATTATATCACAAGCAATTACTAAGCTGTTGTATTATTATAAAAAAATTACTGAAAAATTGGGGAATTTCCCAGCTATCCTGGCTGCAAGTTGACATTTTTAAGAGAAACATGCTGTAATCTTTGGTTCTTAATCCAAAACATTGAGACTTTGCATCACCAGCGCTCTCACAGCGTTACTGCTGCCATCCACAACCAACCAAATGCGAGCTGATGGCGTGCCTCTGCTCCCATATAGTTTTTCTTTTTACATTGTAGTGCTACAGTTTACCACACATTCACCGCACATGTCACATGCCTCCAGTATGACAGATTTCATTAGAGCGATTTTGCACAGTGCGAAATGCAATCAACACATGATCAGTTATTTCATGGAATATCCCTGCATTCAGTGGACGCTTGTTTAAAAGTGAGCAGTAGTCAGTTATTAGTAATACAGTGAAAAATAAATAATGATCTGAGTGCTAATCATCTGTGCTTCTCACCATGTTTTTATTGTCACTGTGCAGCATTGATAATGTTTTGTCAGCGTAACCCAAGTATCACAAGTACAGTTTGATTATCAGCTCTCTCCTAGTTTCATAATTTAATGTTTTGACTAAAAATCTGATTTAATGGATTTTAGCATCAAGATCGGCTCCTTCTTGCGTGTAGATGTAGCCGCTGTTGCAGACAGACACCATTTGGTTGAATAGGGCAGCTCTCCACATGATGAGCTACGAACTTTACTCATCATTACTCACTGCATAATTTAAAACCATACACTTGAAACTGTAATGTACTTGAAATGAGCTGTGTGTTGGAAATAGACAGAAGGCAGACTGTCTCACTGATTTGCGTTGGATTACCATATTCCCCTGAATATGGATAATATCATAGACACCAAATGATTGGATGTCAGACTGTCCTCAAAACATCTTTTCTTCATGTGTGTGTGTGTGTTTCTTCCAGCTCCTCGTATCCCTCCAGACAAGAGGATCTTCACCACCAGTCACACTCCTAGTTGCCTCTTCCAGGAGGTGGACGAGAGGTCAGTTCTGCCCAACTTCTGATGTGTTACCTTCTGGCCATTGAATATGTGATTGTGAAATTTATTCCTTAACGAATACGTTACTTTGAAAATCATCAGTTTATCAATGTGGTCTGAAATTGTCTTTGATATTTATAATGGTCAAATTCAAATTTTGCAATTTCATTTCGGTATATACAGTATATATATTTTTAGGGTTCACAAATTCAATACAATTCAAGTATCTGCTATTCAAAAACTATATTCTAATTGCTCAATTTCAGTAAAGTCAAAAGGATTATTTTCATTATTTTCTCCTATAATGAAAGTGAAAACAACTCTTTTTCATTCACTTTCCTTCTGTGATTTCTTTGGTTGTAAACTGATCTGTTTACAGCTGTAGAGCAGGAACTGATGCAGTATATAACAGATGTACTGTGACTGTCTAACAGTGTGTAAATATGCTGTGTTTGCAGGGCAGTGCCATTGTTGGGCTACCTGCCTCAGGACTTGGTTGGAACCCCCATCCTGCTCTACATCCACCCTGAGGACAGGCCCATGATGGTGGCTATACATGAGAAGAGTGAGTCTATATTATCCTGAACTCTGTCTGAACTCACAGAGACTCAGTGTTCAGTACATGATGTATGTGAACAGCAGTTGCAGTTACAGTGAGTCCTGTATTTAGATTTTGTTATCCTATTGAGAACTCCATATCTTCCAGTTGTAAGAGAGAGATGGATTCAATGCTGCAAGTCATTGTGGATTATTTTAACATAAAAAAACTTCCATTTAAAAGTTTCTTTATTCCATCTCAGTTTTCTCACACAATGTCTATCTGTTGTGTCTCCTCAGTCTTTCAGTTTGCAGGGCAGCCGTTTGACTATTCACCCATGAGGATGTGTGCCCGCAGCGGGGAGTATGTGACCATCGACACAAGCTGGTCATCCTTTGTCAACCCCTGGAGCCGGAAGGTGGCGTTTGTTGTGGGGCGCCACAAAGTCAGAACGTAAGTTTATTATTTAAACTCGCTCACAAACAAATGCCGCCAGAGCATTTACGAGAAAGTATTTGAACTTTATATTTTCCCTCTCCACCTTTCTCCAGGAGCCCTCTGAATGAAGACGTGTTCACCACGCCACAGGGACGCGAGAGCCAGGTCACCACGCCTGACATCGTCCAGCTGAGCGAGCGGATCCACCGGCACCTTGTGCAGCCGGTGCACAGTGGCAGCTCTCAGGGCTACAGCTCGCTTGGGTCGAGCGGCTCACGGGGCTCCCACCGTTCACACCAACAGCACCTCAGTGCCTCAGCCGCCTCGTCCAGCGACAGCAACGGCCCCGCCATGGATGAGGCTGCCGCTGCCATCGCTTTACACAAACCTGTGAGTCTGAGCGACAACATGCAACAGAAACATGTAACATGAGTTGCTGTACAAGACTTGCAGCAGATACAGCAGAGGACAAACAATGACTTCTGGAATTCAGTGTTTTGGTTTTGATCCAATTGTTTCTATTGTATGTGTGGAAAAACTTTTGGGATTGTACTTTGTCCACAAGACACAACATAATCTTCCTCTAATTGCTGTGATTTTTTTTTTTCCTCTCTCTCAGATGACGTTCCAGCAGATCTGCAAAGACGTTCACATGGTCAAGACTAATGGACAGCAGGTTTTCATCGAGTCCCGTAACCGGCCATTGCCCAGAAAAAACACCAGCACAGGTGAAATAAGGAGGACAGTTGACTGATGTTGTCCGGTTATAACACAGAATATATTTTAGAAATCAAAGAGGAATCCATGACCACCATTATGTGAATATTTTGAGTTGGTTTATTAAGATAAACAGTAGGTGGCACTGATTCTCCAGACTGATGCCGGTAAACCATTATAGAGAGAGAAAGCGCAGACTATACACACACATGGGTGAAAACAATCTCCTTGGTGGAGGTAACAAGGGAATGGAAACACACTTAGTGACAGAACACGCACAACGCTCCTGTTATTAGGGAATAAAGTAGGAATAGTAAATATATATCACTGACTATCAAAAACAGAAATGTTGGCAGATGCTGTTCCAAGTTATCAGTTCAGAAAAAAACAAATTTTCATTTTCATTTCTGCAATATGAGAACTCGTTTTCATTTCCTCTTCCTCTCTAATTCTTCATCCAGGCACCACAAGCATTCGAGCCCTCAACAGCGACCCAATCAGAGGTTTGATAGCAGACATGACAAAACCACTCAAAGCATTGGTCCCTGCACCGCTTGTACAGAAGGAACCCCCGACCGCCTACTCCTACCAGCAGATCAACTGTCTGGACAGCATCATTAGGTGTGTGTGAAAGCCTGAAGCCATACAATAGCTTGTCTTTTTTTTTTTTTTTTGTTCATCACTTTACTAAAATAAAAAAAAAACAATACTTTGTTTCTACGCAGGTACTTGGAGAGCTGCAACATTCCTAACACAGTTAAAAGGAAGTGTGGCTCCTCTTCTTGCACCGCCTCCTCCACATCTGATGACGACAGACAGGAGGCCAGCGGCAACAACAAAGGTACTTTTTAATCATGTTTCCAGTATATTGTGCAAGCCTTTGTTTTGTTGCTCTATAACTACAATTGCATTTATAATAGCTTTGTTTATGCTCTAATCTGATGATGTTTAATGTGTTTTAATGTGTAATACAGATAATTTCTCTTTTTTTATTGTAAAAATGACTGGATTTCTGTCTGTGGGGGCTTGTGCAGCCTCTGAGTCTCCTAAATTACTGATAGGCAGGCTTGTTCCTGTGTCGGGTCAGTAATCAATAACTAATTTTTGTCGGTGTTCTTGTTTCTACAGGTGGTTCAGTTAGCATCGTAGGTGAACCACCTCCTCTGCCTCCTTTGACCATGGCCACAAAGGCAGAAAGTGTAGCCTCAGTCACATCCCAGTGTAGCTTCAGCAGCACCATCGTGCATGTGGGAGACAAGAAGCCTCCCGAGTCAGGTGGGCATCAACGACACTCATCTTTGCTCTGTAGTTCTGTTATTCAGCAGGTTTGTATGAGGTCTTCGCAGGTCTTCAATTGAATTTAAAAAAAGGCCTTCGATATGGTAAAACGGTTCGAGGTTGACTTTAAAATATGAATGTTAACCAGCAAAATTCTCTGATGCTGTTCTTATGTGTTGACCAGAAGTGCTATTATTACTTCAAAAGTCTTCACATCCTGCAGAAACCAGAGGCCTGTACTACGAAGCAGGATTTGAGGTTATCGAGGTAACGACAGGTTTAACTCTGGGTTTTCAGTCGTACGACGGTGGTTCACTGGTAACCGGGGTAAATCACCATGGCAACTTACGCTGAACTCCTAACCTGCTCCGGCGCAGGTTTACTTCAGAGGATCAGATCATAGGTCAAAACCTGTCAACAGCCAAACTACTGACCAAGTCAATCACTGGAAAAACGGAGTCATCATTCCTACGATGCTAACTAAGATGCTAACAGGGACAAAAGAGTTTACAATGAAGTGATCAATAATAACGAGCAGTAGATATAAAATATAAAAAAAAAAAATCAGTGGAAAAGTTTTCCTGTTTGAGTCTTTCCATGTGTCCACTCTGGTTTTAAAACAAAGCTTCATCACGCTTAATAAATAGCCTATATAATAATTATAGCTTCATTTTAAATTGAACAAATATTCTTTAATCTGACAGGATTTCTGACAGTGTCGATGCGTTTACTCTCTTCTTCATCATTGCAGCTCAGAATAACATCTCTGAGACTCTGAGACCACAACTGGAAATAAAAACTAAACCTCTGATGTCTTTGATTAGAGAAAATTAGCCACACAGTTAATTATTTGCATAATCATAAATGAACATATCAGTCGTTCAATCAACTACTCCTCTCCTCTTTTCTTTAACTGTTTTATCTGCACCACATGTTCATAACAGTTTGTTCATCATCAGACAAAAGGAGCGAAAATACTCAATGATAATTCATGCAATTATTTACAATATATCTTTATTCTGACTTTAATAAAAAAATATATATTTAGACATGGAAATAATATTTTTTTACATTTCACCTTGTTGAACACTACTTTTGGACGTTGCTATAACCGAAATTACCAGTAGGCATCAGAATTTCTTCTCATATCATATTAAGTACTTCAGACGATTTTGCTTGTAATAAACAAATTCGCCTCTCACACATGAACGCGCTCGTCACCGGATAGGTAAACCCAGGGTTAACTGAGTCTGTTGATACCCAGCTTCGTAGTACAGGTTATCCAGGACGGTCAATGTTAGGTGCAGTTAACCCAGTTATCCAAGATTACCCAAGTTATCCTGAGTATGTTGAACTTGCTTCGTAGTACAGGCCTCTGGAGTCACATGATGAAACCACAAACTGTAAATAAGCTGATTAATGCCTTTTGTTCTCATCAGAGTTTATCCTGGAAATTTCTTCTTTTGGTCCATTCTTGTTTGTACCCAAACAACAGCCTCTACTGTTTGCACTTTCAGCTGGATAATGTTAAATCTTAACACAGAACTGTTTATCTACTACTGTCTTATATGTAAATTTGCTAACGTTAGCTATCATTAGCTACTTTTCCTGCCAGACCATGACAAAACTGATGTGTATTGAAATGAGCTGTTTATGAATTTAACTTGATTTGTGAGAGGAATAATTTGCTATTTCTTCTTCAAAAAGTTGCACAGTCTGACTTGAATGCTCTTCCAGCAGTATTTATTCATCATTTCCACCATTCTTCTTCTTCCTTATCACAGACATCGTCATGGAGGAGGCTCCTACAACTCCTACGTTGGCTCCTCCTATGACAACACCGACTCTTTCCGCCAGCGGGCTGACACCTCCCGCTAACACAGCTATCACCCCTCCTCCTCCACCACCCCCTCCCCCGCCACCTCTCCCACAAGCCACTCAGCCGGAGAGGGACAGCCGGAGAAATGGAAGTGTCGGAGGAGGTGGAGGAGGCCGGCTGGGTCTGACAAAGGAGGTGCTATCCGCCCACACCCAGCAGGAGGAGCAGGCGTTCCTTGACCGCTTCAAGGACCTCAGCAAGCTGCGCGTGTTCGATCAGACGGCATCTTCCACTGTGCGATGCCACACCCAAGCTGCCAACCCTCTGTCACGAGGTGGGGGCGCCCCCCCCTCCCAAACACACACATTCCCTGGATTTAGTCACTATGCAATATGATCATTTGCGTGCTCCACTATGATGGATATGTGAAAGACGCAAAACAAAATGTTCAGTGCCAGAAATTTGCCTTATTCTGTCTCTTTCTCTTTCCCAGGAGTGCGCTGTTCCCGTGACTACCCCGCTGCAGGAGGCAGCACCGGTCACAGACGTGGTCGGGGAGGAAAGAGACTCAAGCACCAGGAGTCATCTGACCAGCACAGCTCTCTGGGCATGAACGGGTGCTGCCGAGACCCCAGAACCAACACGGCCCCCATGCCCCTAAACATGCCTCTCGGACCCGCAACAAACTCCTCCTCCTGGCCCTCTGTAGGGTCCCAGGCCAGCATTGCTGCTGCCCCTTTTGCTCCTGGTATGCTTCCGATTTACCCTGTGTACCCACCGCTCGCACAGCCGTTACCCATCCCAGACCCATCACGTTTCCCACCTACCCAGATGGTTCCTCCCATGATGGCCCTCGTTCTGCCAAACTACATTTTCCCCCAGATGGGAGCACCCATCGCTCAGCCAGGTGCCACCCCCGGACACTTCTACAATCCTAACTTCCCGTACCCCGGCGCCACCCCAGCCCCTGTCCCGACTGTTGTCTCCAACTCCATGCCCGTCCCTGGCACCTGCGCCCAGTCTCGTAGCAGCACCCCGCAGTCCTACAGTCAGACACCTGCAGACCGTGAGGGTGCAGAGTCCCCCCTCTTCCAGTCCCGATGCTCCTCCCCCCTCAACTTGCTGCAGCTGGAGGAATCACCAAGCAACCGGTTAGAGGTTGCCACGGCGCTGGCGGCATCACAGCAAGCCACACCTTCTGTGCAGGGTGGTGCAGCCGGGGGACAGAGCTCAGCCAATCAGAGGAGCCCTGATGATACCTCCAAGGAGAATGAGAATGTAAGTACACAGATGTTCAGGAAAACGTGGTATTTTCAAAATTTCATATTTATGTTATTTTTATTTTTTTTGCACTCCTGTTTATTTGTTTTCATTCTCCCATTAGGCTGAAACTAATGAATCCAACAATGATGCGATGTCCACGTCCAGCGACCTGCTGGACCTGTTGCTGCAGGAGGACTCCCGCTCAGGCACCGGCTCAGCCGCTTCCGGTTCAGGCTTCTCTGGGACAAGGTCCTCGGGTTCAGGCTCCGGCTCCAATGGCTGCAGTTCCTCTGGTACCAGTGGCACAAGTAAGTAGATTAACTTTACCAGACTCTGAGGTGTTTAAGGTGAACGAAATAGTTCTGGGTCATATGACCAATATTGCTGATGTTTAATCAAAATTGTTCATAGCTTTAAATTCATTCTAGTTAATGGTTGTGTATTGCCTCAAGTCAACCACAGTTAACTCTCAACTTTAACCTCCTTGTCCATGCAGGCAGCAGTCAGGGCAGCCACACCAGCAAGTACTTTGGCAGCATCGACTCATCGGAGAATGACCACTCCCGCAAACAGCCAGCAGGGGGCAGCAGCAGCGCCGGGGGAGACGGCGGGGAGGAGCAGTTCATCAAGTGTGTCCTACAGGACCCCATCTGGCTACTGATGGCCAACACAGACGACAAGGTCATGATGACCTACCAGCTGCCCGTCAGGTACGACACAGGACCAGACCATCTGAGAAACTTCCATCTATTATTAAAGATGGTGTTTTTCTTCATCAAGTACAGAAGTATTTTTACTTCCTGAGTACAGTTCAATTTAAAAAAAAAAAACAACAAAAAAAAAAAAAAATTTAATCTTATGGAGTCTATGTTGCAGCAAACTGCTGGAGTTTTTCTTCAGCAAAGACAGCAGGTTTACAGTGACCATATTTTATATATAACAGGGACATGGAGACGGTGCTGCGAGAGGACCGCGAGGCCTTGAGGAGCATGCAGAAACATCAGCCACGCTTCACAGAGGATCAGAAGAGGGAGCTGAGCCAGGTTCACCCCTGGATCCGTACAGGACGGCTGCCACGAGCCATCAATATTTCTGTGAGTACACAGCAGCTCAACACTGAGCCAAGAAAAAAAAAAAAAAAAAAAAAGGTTCAGACAAAACCAAATCCATCCATTAAACATTGAAATAACAGATCATGTTTCTCTCTGGTTTCAGGGCTGTGCAGGCTGCAAGTCTCCCCCCTCTGTGCCTCCGGTCGCCCCGTTCGACGTGGAGATCCATGAGATGGAGCTGTGCAGCGTGCTGAAGGCTCAGGAGGAGGGCGCCAGCAGGAGCAAGAAAAATATTGCAGAAAATGCCATGGATGAAGCTCCGGAGGACGAAGAGGAAGAGGTGGAGGAGAAAGGAACCAAAACACAAGATGGCAACCAAGACATGACAGCAGAGGAGCGGAGGGTGACCTCAGAAGCTGCGGAGGAAAAGGCAGAGGCTCAGCTGCCTGAGTCTGACATGACTCACTGAGTAGGTGGCCAAAGATAAAGAACATTATCATGACCTTTCTTTGCTGATATGCAGAAAATGTGCACCTTCCAGCACTTTGTGGCCATAACATCATTACACGGGGTGTTAAGTGTTAAAAGTGGCTCTGCTGGGACCTTTAAAAAAAGGTGCATATTGATCCAGACAACTGCCATTTATTGTTTGATAGGTCAGGCAGGACACTTGGCCAAGTTAATTCTTCGTCGAGTCTGACTTTGATGACAGCACACCAGGCATGTTGTACGACTGCATATTAAACACCTTGGAAATCACAAGACGTGCACACACACACACAAACACACTCAGTTTTAGAGAGTGAAATCGATTTTTTTTCTCTCTCTCTAGGCTGTTCTCATAGTTCTTAGTATATTTATTTAAGTTGTAAAATAATCAGAGAGGACTAAGGTGAATGTGTTACAAAGAAAAAGACGCCTTGACATAAAGATGGATGTGCTTCACCACAGTGTCCTCCTTGATGTTTTCATCTCTCCTGTTCAGGGTTCTGCTCACGAGGAAAGAAGGGAGTTTACCTGTGACTTTTCTTCTTGTGGAATGTTTCCCAGGTTTTCTGGGATCCTGCTCCCACTTAGATCCTGATTTTATTTTTATTTTTATTTTTTTTTATGTAAAATTATTTCCCCAGTTAAGAAACAGCAACTTTAACCTAATAGAGAAAATGTACAGTGAGAAACAGGTTATTTTGTAAACATTGTGTATATTTTTATACTTTCATCCACTGCAAATAGAGAGGATAATTGCCCAAAAGAGCGTCTGTACTGTTTAAAAAGAAAAAAAAGAAGCTATATATGAATTCCAGGATTCAAAATCGTATCCTTTCGATCATTTTAGAGGCAGAAAAATGACAAAACACACACAAAAAAACAATCACATCACAGTCTCGGAAACGGAGACGGTGTTTTCTTGTGACACTACAATCTAGTGCGATGTACAGCTACATGGTGGGGCAGCGTGGTAAAAATCGCCAGGAGACTAAAACTGGACTTTAAAAAAAGGTTTCTCCTCGGCTGGGCATTACTTGGTGCATTTGTGTGGTCGCTCCACAGTGAGAAATGAACAATGCCTCTCGGAGAAACACTTCTCTCACAAACAAAAGACAGCACAGACAGTATTCCTGACACTGCCAGCACCCTAAGGAGCTGTAAATCCTTGCGCAGAGAGAGAGAGAGAGAGAGCATTTTGTGTTGCCAGTGCTTGCTCATGGTGGTAAGTGGCTTCTTTGAAAGAGGTGGACGTTTAACTCTTTATAATGTCTAGAGTTCGGACAGTGTTTACTATCTTCTCTTTTCCTGTCCCTTACTCTCCCTCTTTCTCCTCTGTGGCACTGTTCTGGTCATGTGATATCCTGTGCTTTATGGCGTCAGTGGTGTCTGCGACAGTTTCTTAATATTTTTGTGAAATTCTTTGTACAAAAAAAAAAAAAAAAGACAATAAAATTGACCTGAAAGGCTTTTAAATGTGAAGTCTGATTTTTATGTATTTTCTTCCTCCAGCACAGTTAGTTTTGTGATTAAATCTCTTCGCAGTCTATTTTTGTTGGTGGCTGTTCTGCAACAGTTGGCCTGGATACTCAGAAGTGTCCAGAATGAACTAGAGGCAGAGAGTGGATCGGGGCAGCTGCTTTCCTCACCGAACCACAGTCTCCTTCTATTCAACTGTGGTTTTTACCCAGAGTGGTCACCGCAGCTTAAAAAAGACAAAAGGCATGCCCTCGTTCAGACAAACACAAAGTTGACTTCATTGCACATTATGATTATAACAATGACGACAATGATTGCGATGTGTGTGGGTCATTTTGTGAGAGAGCTGATGTTAATGAACGTCCTTTCAAGCTTAAAGTGACATCATGTGTATTAAAAGCATCTTATTTCACAATAGTGATGGATCTTTTCGTGCCGAAACAAAGTATATTTTGCTGTATTCGTGTGTCCATATTTACTTCTCATGAGTCCTGTCTGACTTCTATTTTGGTTACTGTATTTTTCATTCTTTCTATTCTTTCCTGCATTTAGAGCGACATCCTTTACAAACCACTTAGTGCCCACTGCCACGAATTATGTGGAAAGGAATTTAATCTTCAAAATCAGCCTTCACTTTCACTCCACCAGCATCAACTGTGCTTGTTTGCCCAGGTAGGTTTCAAATACAAGAGTCTAGAGCCACGCTAGCATCTCTGTCAGTTGTACTCTTGTTTTGCAGTTATTTAGCGATAAATCAAAAGTTTTGGACAATTTTTTCTTTTAAATAAATAAAAGATGCAAATATATACATTAAAGATTTGGCACGAAGAACATACAACACTTCTAAATCCAGACAGTTGCCAAACTTATGAATGCATCTTAATGTCATCAAGAGCAGCTCTCATTCAAAATAAAAATATTGACATTGCTGTAATAATTTTAGATATTTTGTTCTCATTTGCCAGTTATTTAATATGATCGCAAAAATCAAACATAGTATGAGGGTTTAGCGTCTTCCTGCTTTGATAAAATCTGACTTAAAGATGGCACCAGAGGAAAAGTCAGAAGGTCAACCAAGTCAAAAACTTAAAACCAGAAACGTTAGCCTCACAGTGGCGCCAGAGAAGAGTCAAAGTTGAGGTAGTGCCTGGAAAGCTAGCAACTGTCTGTGGGAGTATGACTGAGTGTTTTTGGTCAGTCTCATTTATTTCCCCCATTTTGTCTCTGTACATTTATAAAGCAAATTCAAAAAAAGGCGTATGTGCAATTTTTTTTACTAAGCTGAAACATTTTCAACTTGCACATAGACAGCGGCACCGCCTCTGAAAGTGTGTCTTGAGTGTCTAATAGATGTCGGGATATGTCACAGGATAACGACGACTTTGACCTGCTGGTGATGCTAAAGAAAGAAAAAAGAAAAAGATCCGTCCTCTGGGCACCATGAATATCTACTAAACGTCATGTCAGCCCATCCAGTATTTGTTGAGATATTTCTGTCTGGACCAAAGCGGTGGACGAGCCATCCAACATTGCCAAACATAGATGCCTTGCTGCTGTGGCGTGGCTTGCGAAAGCCTGGCGGTACAGTGAAGTGATCGTTATACACACACAGCTGCAGAAACACACATTTCCCATATATTCCATTCCTCTGCCTGTTAAACAACAACACACATAAGAAGCACTCTGTACTCTGAGCTGTACATACATACTGTATATGTTTGGCCTCAAGTCCATGTACAGTGTAATTAATGTTTTCCCTCTTCGCCCGCGTCAAATAACCCCTCTGTCCCCTCAATATCACATTCATCCACCTTTTTCTTTCTTCTCCTTCCCTCCATAACACTCCACCTTCTCACCCTTCGCATCCACTTCCCTCCTCTTCCTCCCTCCCCTCCCAAAACCTTACATTTCTCCACGCCTCTACTTTGCTTTTCTCCTCCTTCGTCTTCTTCTCCTCTCCCTTCTCTCTTAATCTGGGAGGACAGCAGGATGGAGAACAGGGTGTGGACTTTGTGCCTTCTTGTCATTTTGACTGGGGGATGGACGGAGGCTCAGAGTCAGACCAACTTTACCAGGTAAGAGATTTTAGATCCACCACATATCTTCAGGTATGAGTGTCTTGTGCATCTGTTTTCTTTCCTACATCCTGCATGTGCACATGTGGCATTTCACGGCCACATCTGTCTGGATCAGCTGCTATGTTTTTTCCTCCCCTGGTTGCAGTATTATGATTACGCAGAGTGCAGGAGAAATAGAGGGTTGCAGTGTTAGGAAGATGTGGTTGGCATCCCATAAACACACAGACAGGCAGGCGGACACAAATGACAGCATACTGTAATTGATGTAGTGATTTAACTGGGCAAATGTACAGTAGCTTGTCCTCATGTCTAATGTTTTTTTTTCCCCCTAAAACTGGCAGAAAATCCAGAGTTTTGCTGCGATTCCACATTTCAAGTTTATTTTTTGAGATGCTTACTGAATGTGGTTTGCGCACTGAAAGGGACTCTTGCGCGCGCGCACACACACACACACACACACGGTGTTAATTGAACATGAGACAAACAAATGCCTGTGGGCTGTTCAGCTACGGAGGGTCAGAAGGGAGGGACTCCACCACTGGGACTTTTTGGCCTAAATGTGGCCTTACAGTATCACAGTAGACACACCATGCATGCCTGACGGATAATAAATGTTCAATCATAGAAACACAATCCTCACAATGTAAAATATTATTTCAAGCAATTTCCCCACGCAAAATTTGGACAGAAACAGTTTGATGATAAAATGGAGATATACATTTAAAAAAAAAAGAAAAAAAGAGGAATCTGAATGAGGGCGGCCAACATCTAAATTAAAAAACGGGTCTGAGGCTGCCGAGTGCTGCAAAATTAAAAGTCGAGGTTGGCTCTGCTTTGATCTGTGTTTATCTGAGTGTGAAAGAGCGGGTGTGTGTCACCAAAGTCCATGTGTGAGCAGGCTGTTGTGCTGCCCGTCTGCTGAAGTAAAGTGCATGTTATGTCTACTGACAACTTTCTTGTGGTACAGTCAGTGCATGGAGAAAGCTTGCAGCACATATACCGTATATTGATGGTCTTCCTGGCTTGGTTTGAGTTTAGTTTTATGTAAAAACACACATACACACACACACACAAACCAGGAGAGCTCATTGGGAACCTCCCTGGACTTGGAGAACAGAGACGGACTGTGCCGCTGTGGTTTTCAGCATGTATGTAAACGTGTGTGTGTGCGCAGGGTATTGCTTCAATACTCTTCAGTATAGCTGCATTTTCTTCCAGTGCAGCATGTCAAGTTAAAAGTTGAACTCTCTCTCTCTCTCTTTCAGGCCTACCTTCCACTGTGGAGGCCACCTGGTCATAGACTCGGGGATCGTGGCCAGCGAAGGCTTCCCCAGTCACTACAAACCCAACAGTAAATGCACCTGGTACATCACTGTGAGTCATTTGAAAATCAAAATCACTGCACCATTACTCTGAGCCCCAAACTGATTGTGATGCAGAGTGGCTAGTGTATTAGCACATGTCTCTAGTTTTTCTTTTACTGTGTGACTCATTCTAGTAAATTATGTATCAAAAACAAAATCTAATTCATTCGTGAAATGAGTGAAAAGGCAGCAAAAACCACTGTAAACCTACACAGGTAATAGTTTCAGCTGATCAGACTTCTCAGTACTCTGTAGCCATGAACATCTCCCTGTTTTATTACACCTGTCATATGGAGTCTGACCTCATGTAAATCCCATTATGGGTGTGTGTTGGGCCTTTTCAGAGAGGACAGCTGTATCCAGAATCACTCCCTATATACTATATGGTGCACTATAATTATCCTGCACCATTTTATTTGAGTAAGTGTGTAATTTATTCCCTATGCACACACACACACACACACACACGCATGCACGCACAGGGTGCATCCCAAAAAAATTTCCCACAATGGAATGAAAAAAGTACTTTCTGCAAACAGTCCCACAATGCACGTGTCGCAACGTGTCGCATCATGTAGATGCAAAAATTGGTCTAGCATGACTCTACAGGTGTCACTGATGATACAAAACAACCATGATTCATTAGTGTCAGAAACTACAGAGTAAAATTATTGAGTGTCAGTTGTATAGGAAGATGTGAATGAGTGAGCGAGGGGGGTGTGTTTTTTTTTTGTCATTAATGTGATTTTGTGTAGCTTTTGTTCAACAGTGACCACTGGTGGCCAAAAGTGACAAATTCAGGAAAATTGTAGATGCTTTAAAAAAAAAATATATATATATATTATATATATATATATATATATATAGTAATTATAGCACAAGTAGAGAAAAATAACATTAAGTCAGCAAACTGACTCAATAGTGTTAGCTACACAAGCAAAAACTACGCAGCAACTATCATATGTCACTTTGCTAACTTTAGCCACCATTACTGGTCATACCAGACCAAGTAAGGCTGCAGCAGCAAATTCCCTCATTGTACTGAACTGAGCAATGTCCCATGTTGTTCTTCTGGAAATTTCATAGTGCTGCTTTAAAAAGGTGGACCATCTCTATTCACACCCACAGTGATGAATGGCTTGTTGGACAGTTTAATTCTTAGGGCTTCTTCTATTCAATTTAAAGTGTTGACTATACAAAGAAGTTCTCTTCTCAGTTTTCTTTACTTCAATTAACACACAGGGTTCCCCCCCTTAAAGGCTGTGTTGAATAAGGTCTGTAAAAATGGGAAAGAAACAGGCAAAAAATAAAAATAAAAATAAAAATCAACCCCAGGAAGCTCAATAAACACAACCTAACTTGAGGTAGTGGGGTGACAACTACTACCACATTCACCCTCCAGCCTCGCAGCAACTTCTCCACCTACTCTCCCACCACTTATATCCCAGTTTCAGGCCTTTTATATTCTCAACTGGAACATACCATCTGCTCAGGTGACAAAGGGTGAACCAAACCAATACAAATCTGTCAAAGTGCATAGAGTAACAAATAAAACATTTATATTTATTCAATTTATTTATACATGCCCACATAACATTATATATATAACATTACATGCATGCTAATGAATGCTCCAACAGAAGGTCATTCACTGCAGCACAGTTTCACCCCTTCTACCACAACTTGACGTTGGCCTGTCACTTACTGCTCAGATTAACAGACTGCACCTAATGATGCACACCTGCTTTCACTTCCACTAACGAAGCCGATGGCCCGCACCAACATCACAAACAAAACAACAAAAATGATCTTTTGTAACCCTTTTCATTGATCATAACTTTGTACAACACCGCCCCAACAAGCTTGTATTTGCCTCTTTGTATAAACTGACTGATAAATTAACAGATTAATTAAAGCAATGGACTTAAATTAATTTAAAAAAAACTCAGGAGAGGTTTGTGGTCCTTGCAAAAATTGAACACTTGATATGCAATCTAGGAGACATTGAGGAAAACCTAGGAAGTTTTTTTTATCAATCAGTTGCACCTTGTGGTTGTAGAAGCTTGTTGTCAAATAGATTTAGCATGTTGCAACAGGATAGATGATATTAATATTGAATCATATACAACTGAATAATCTGTGGTCATGCAAGGTTGTTTTTTTTTTTAGTACTTTTCTGAAAAACATCACCTGTCGCTTCCTTCAGGTCCCAGAGGGTCATGTGGTCATGCTGTCTTTCCGCCTCTTCGACATGGAGGCTGACCCCACCTGTCGGTACGACTACCTGGATGTCTACAACGGTCACTCCCGATTGGTGCAGAAGCTGGGCCGCTTCTGTGGGACGTTCAGGCCCGGCGCCCTCATCTCCACCTCCAACACCATGATGTTAGACATGGTGTCGGACGACGCCACCGGCGGAAGAGGCTTTCTGGCTTCTTTCGCTGCAGGGAAGCCACATGTGGAAGGTGTGCAAAAAACAAACTAAGACACACGCACACACACACACACACACACCATAATGAACCACTCAGGCTTCAGCTACACACGTTATAAACAGCTGCACTGTGGGGTGTCTCCGCTGGTGGTTATTGTCTGGTGAAAACAACTTGAATTTCTTTCTTTATGCTCACAAAGGCTTACTTAATCTTGTCTGGGAAAAAACAAATCACTACAGTCTGTCAGGTTTATGCAAGTGACTCAGAATCGCCCTAAAAAACAAAACAATTCCATTATCAACCATAAAAGAAAACTTTACCTGACATTTTATAGATGCCAACTCTCACATGACTGCAACTTACATACTTCCTTTTGCCTCTGGTACAGCACCACAGGACAAAGGGCTTCCTTCCCTTATTTGATGGAGGTTTGACCAACGTCTGTTCCTTTCCTCTTCATCACTCCATCCTCTCTTTATTTTTTTCCCACAGAGAATCAGTTCTGCGGAGGAAGGCTGACCAAATCGCAGGGCTCTGTCAAAACGCCCAACTGGCCAAACTCTGATTACCCAGCAGGCATCAGCTGCTCCTGGCACATCTCCGTAGAGCCGAGCAACGTAAGCCGATCACTGCGTTTTGTATTTCATACTATACTTATGCCTAGAATTTCTATATTGATTTAGGTTCATTAATCAAACAGCGTGAAGTGTCAAATCATTTTTAAAACCTCTCTATGTTAATTGGACATAATGTTTTTGTTCTGGCTGACATGTCTGTAATGTCTAATATCTGTGGGAGGATTGTAATATCTCTTTAGTGCCAACAATCACATGGTCACTTAACCAGCTGGGCTCAATGTTGTTAGCTGTGATTTGCTCATGCTTTGTGTTGGGATTGAAATCAAGGGGTAACTAATGCTAACGAGACACCTGACTTTTTATAATTTTGGATGAACACCAACACTGAGTGTGCAGGAATTGGTGTTAAGAATCAGTTATCAGCTAGGCTAACTAACAAAAGCTGCAGTAGCATTAAAGTTGTTATTTCCTTGCACAAAATGTTCGAAGACTTCAAACTGTAGGTGCAGCTAGGTGTGTTAAATAAAGTGTTTTGGAACTGGAGGAGGAAGAGGAATCAAAATAGTAGTGAAGGGGCCCATCACAAGGAAATGTTTTACCTGAGGTCCCTAATGTAGGTTCTATTTGTGTGTGTGTGTGTGTGTGTGTGTGTGTGTGTGTGTGTGTGTGTGTGTGTGTGTGTGTGTGTGTGTGTGTGTGTGTGCGTGTGCGTGCGTGTGTGTGTGTGTGCGCATGTGCATGTGTATGTTTGTGTGGGATTGTGAGTGTGACAGCGGCCTTGTGACGAAGTTCAAATGAAAGACTTCATTGAAAGCCAGCAGGCGTGTTCATGTGTGCCAAGAGATTGAACGTAAGGAAAGGGAGAGGGAAGCAAAGGGTAAGAGAGGGAGTAAATGCCCGTCTGTATTTCTGAAGTCAGGCCCTTCTCCTACTCTAACTCTACTTACATAGGCACTGCACTGGGTTCATGAAAATTAGTTGCATGAAGCAGCCCACATCCTTCATTTCTTGTCATAAATATATGGTTTATGTTGCCGCCTCGTTTCCAGGTGATCGAGGTGAAGTTTCAGAAGCTCGACTTGGAGCCCGACACGTACTGTCGCTACGACTATGTGGCGTTGTTTAACGGAGGAGAGAGGGACAACTCAAGAAGAATTGGGAAATTCTGTGGAGACAGGCCACCGGAGTGAGATTACTCATCACAAATGACAAAACATGGGATAAAAGTTGCTTTTCATTCACTCACTCTCTACTTTTCTTATTCTGTACATAGAACTATAGTGACCAATGGGAATGAGCTCCTTGTCCAGTTCGTCTCTGACCTCAGCATTACCTCAGATGGCTTCATGGCCTACTACTCCAGTGTGCCCCGCGGGTCCCGAACACCCACCGCCGGGGGAGACTTTATCTACAGTCCTCAGACGACGTCCATGCCACAAAAAGTGCCCGTGAGGCCCAGGAAACCCATTAAACCAACCCCCAAACCTAGACCCGGTCTCCAGCCTAAACCCACCAAAAAAACACTGGTGAAGAAACCTCCTCCACGCAAACCTATCGCCAAGCCCGCAGTCAAGCCCACGGCTAAACCCAAACCAGCTAAACCCACACCTAAGGCGCCTGTGAAAAAGCCTGCACCTAAACCCAGAGCTAAACCCACACCCAAACCTAAGATTATCAAGCCGGTGCTCAAACCAAGCATCAAGGCTAAACCCACGCGTAAACCAACACTGAGGACCAAGCCCACCTTAAAACCTGCTGTCAAACGAGTAAAGCCAACCCCTAAGAGCGGAGTTAAACCAATCGTCAAACCTAAAGCGACACCTAAACCAGGACAAAGCAAGACAGTGACGAAGAAGCCTATCGTGAGCAAGAAACGTGAGTGGAATTTATTGACTTTGAAATTTATAATCTGCTCTTTGCCTCCATGTATATATTTGTGCACACCTGTAGTAGGATGCAAGTTTATGTGCTTAATTATTTGCCCGTGTGTTTGTTGCTGTGTGTGTTTAGCTTTACCACTGAACCCACTGTGTACACAAGCCTGTAAGAGGACAGGAACCCTCCAGTCCAGCTTCTGCCCTCATGACTTTGGTGAGCCACAACATCAGCTGCACCTCTGATCCTCACGAAACTTCCTCTACATAAATTTTCACGTCTCTACCTGTCACTTATTTCCCCAGTTTGTTCTTGATTTCTCTCTGTGAAACAGGATTTTGCTGTGACTTGATCTCAGCTTTTTCCTTGCTAACTTTAATTTTAGTTTGGCCTAACAACATAAGCATAACTGAAATATTAATTTTTTTTGAAATAATTAAAAATCAGTGAAGTTTAAACACAATTCCTTGTTCTCTCCTACATTTCGGTCTCTCTTGCAGCAATTACGGGTAAGATTACATCTCTGACGGCTGGTCCGAGGGGCTCAGCAACTGTCGAGGTGTCCCTCATCAAGGCCTATAAGACAGGACGCCTCAACATCAATAAATCAGGACCGGGTATGTCAGTCACGCTGACCTCCACCTGCAAGAGATGCCCTGGTCTAAGCAAAGGTACAATATAACACTTTATTCTCAGTCTTTTCCTTGCTCTCAATATCAATTTGCTTTAACCTCTTATTTTAATATTGAACTGACTGAGTACAAAATACAAGGACAGAAAGAGCACAAACTCTCTATGCAGACAATGTGATTCTTTATTTAACCAATATATCTCAATCATTAAAGAAAGTGATAAATAAATGAATATACCAATGTGTCTTATTAATAATTGAATATAGGTTGCAACTGTAAATAATAATTATAACACTAGTACTGGTATATTACCATACATTTTCATACGGTATTTGGCCCTTTATAGAACCCATTTAGCTCCTATTATATATTCTGACATATTTTTTCTCACTCTCTCTCTCTTTTCCAGGTCTGAACTATGTGCTGATGGGAAAAGTCGACACACAGGGCAACGGCCATCTCAGCCCCTCCAGCTTCACTCTCCTCTATAAGCCCATCCACGCCAAAGCACTGGCCAACCTCTCCGGAAAATCCTGCTGACATCACAGCTGAACTCACCAATCACATGAACAGCTGCAGCTGTCTCTCTAAAAACATGTAACTTTACATAAAGACTGAAAATATTATTAGAAATATCCAAAGATCATTTTTATATAATACACATAAAATTAAGTATTATATTTTGTATTTTGTATGTAAATTATAATATTTCTGTGTTAAAAGATCATCAGTCGATCATCATCATCAATAAACCATGTGATACTGGTGCTTGGAGGGATTTCAATGTCTACCATCTATTATCTTTTTATGGTAAAATATATGATCTGCTCTAAGGAAAATATATATCCAACACACATAAAAACACAGATGAATATTCTTATGTTTATAGTTATTACATCCACCAACCACCCTGATTGTGATCTACTATCTAGGTTTGTTGTTAGTTCAACCATCATTCATTCAACTTTATTCATCCCTGCAAGTGTCTTCGTGCATCATCATCATCATCATCATCATCATTATGCTCTTGTTACCTACAACAGCACCAGGAGATAACCATCACACATAACAGGATGTAGGTCAAGTTGTTGGTCCAGAAGGCAAACATGTAGAGCGTCTTGTTGCGGTAGGAGCTCATTTGTGTTGTGTCCTTGTTGTAGTTGGGCTCATAAATAGAGTAGATCCACACATTACCTGAGAAAAAAAGAATATATTATACTCCAACTTTACATGACACATTTAATGTTCTAACCTTTTGTTATGGTGCAAAAGAAAGTGAAAGAGAAAACACTGTATAGGGATAACATTTAGTGTGATGAGAAAAATAACTCCCCTGGAACAGAGACAGGATTGTTGTCTTCTGTGAACTTTATGACACACTGTGCACATTAGAACCTTTGTTTGTTAGTGTTTTTGTTTTAATTAATCCCACAAAGGAATGCTGTAATATCAATTTGTTACAACAACAATAAAAATGATCCTCTCTACTCATCCCCCAAAAAAAGTCAGATGCTTCCCTCAGCAATAAGAAAAAACTTCAAAACCGCTCCACCTGATAATTTGAGTACATTCCCTTACCAGCAAGTAACCAGCAGGAGAAAAGGAGTGACAGCAGGTAATAAAAGATCACGTTGCACATCAAACAGCACCACAGCAGCGGGATGACTCCCACTACCACCAGAAAGACAAGGATGAGGGGCTGCTTCGGACAGTCTGAGTAGTACACTGCTTCTGTTTGACACAAGGACAAGGACAAAGACAAAGAGGAGTACAACTTCACCTGTCTCACCTATTGATAATTATTATACTCCACTGTATAATTGTGATTGGATTCCACAATTCTGGTTGTAAGTTATTTTAAAAGCAAAGACAGGATATATTCATCACACTTTACAATTACATCATATATTCCAGCTGTAGATACTTTGAGTTTATTTCAACTATGCTGACATCTCTCACCTGCTATTACTGTTGGGATTCCCAGAGTGTGTTGAGCTCTGTCACACTCTGGCATGGTAACTTGATAAATCAAACCTACAGAGGAGATGGATACATGAGCTGCCTCAGGTACATTAAGATGAGTCTTGACACAGAAAAATGCTACTCATAAGATAAAATGCAACACTGAAACGGAGACACTAACTGCCCACACAGGCTGCAAACTTTCCAGAAAGCTCCCTAAAAGCTTTCAGTAGCAAGACTGAGATAGAAACGGCAACATACGCTAAGTCCAAAACATCTAAAAAAAAGCCGTTTCAACAGGAGAAGAGTTCAGCAGAAAATCTATTTAAACACAATTTTTTTTTGTCCTATAGAAACGCAACAGAAAAATATAAAACATTCTGAAAACGTGAAATGGTTCACAATTAATTTAAGAAAATGAAGCATCTGACGAGATACAGGCTACGTCTGTAGGCTATAGTCTTATTTAGTCTGCTATGAACAGAAGCAAATGGTGGCTGTCTGAAACCGTAGATGGATATCACTGTGTAACTGTCACTGAGTCATTTCACTGACATTTTAACTCGTCTCAACTTGTTCTACTGTTGCAATGTGTTTAATCGTTCTAAACTTTTCAGTGGGTTCATGGGATCACCATCTGCTATGATGTATCTGCTGGACCATAAGGTAATATTCGGGGTGTTAAAAAATAAATAAATAACTTGTGGATCTGTTCCCATGTTTTCTGCCAGGCTTTGCAATCACTGACCTCAAACAAATCCCCAAAGAATTTTCCAGGTCTTTATCAGCAGCTTTCACTTCATGTGCATCATGTTTCTGGGTTTGATGATGGTTTCTCAAAAATTCAGTTCCCATTTTTATGCTTAAGTTCCCATGTAAAGCATTTTATTTTCCATTTCAACAGTTCACATTTAATCTTATGTTAATTCCCCTGCATTGCTCCTTCCTGAAATTGTTCGGCCCAAATGCCCAAACATTGAGTTTTTCTTCCCATTGACTAATTCCTCTTTCTCTGCATTATTTCTCTCCTGTGTTTCTGTATTATCCGGAATTACGGGAGATTTTCCATGGAGATAGTTAAGGTGTTCCACATTAAGGCCTTTCACCAACTCAGGGCCAGCCTTCTGGGCGAGGGTTTCTAGCTTTATCCCAAAGAATGAAAAATGTTATTACTCACATCCAAACATACTTGTTTTCATAATAACGAGAACCCTCTTTACACTGGTAAAGAGATTTCCTGTTGTACTGTGGTAGAAGGGTGAAACTTCCACTTGGCTTCACAGTAACTGATCTTAGCTTGTTAGCTTTGTGTTAAGAACAGCTTTCTACAGCTTTCTTTTGTTACAAGTGACATCTAGTGGCCTGTAAATGGTATTGCAGCGCATTAATTGTCCAGTAGTTTCTGGGGAAAAGTTCTACTTAAACCTGCATTCATTTATTTATTTTTGGCCACTTGGGGGCAGCAGAACATGCTGTTAAAAAACTGAAATTATTGGCTTTTAATGAAGCAAATGTATTAGCAAACAGTTGCCTATTTACACATCTAGCAGATATGTATCAACATAAGCAGTCATCTGTGGTCGTGTGTTTGGCTACCTCTCCTTTTAACTGCATTTAAGTCTCTACAAACTCCCGAGGTAATATATTTAGCTCTTTAGTTTCTTAATGTTCCACTATGTTATTGAATGAGTAACTTGGATTTCTTCTTTTAGCAGCAAGAATAGTGAAATAAGTTTAACTTATATATTTGGTTATCTATTTCAGTTAATGTAACTTGAGTTAAGTCAGTAAACCTCACAGGTAATATGTGATATTATGAACTATACTTACAGTCCTGTCTCAGAGGGAGTGAAAAGGGGAAGTGAATGTTTATCATTATATGCAGTTGTGCACGTACAAGATGAATGAAGATGTTACCTTTTGGCTCTGATAACATGTGTTGAGCAATTTTCACAATATTTCAATTTATATACTAAATTATTTATCAAAAAATAATAATTGATGGATTCATTTGTTTTATCGCAGCCCTTGGATAGAATAAACATCTGCTGTTAGACTGTCATATAGATTATGAGGGTTTGAATTGTATTGCATTGAAATATTGTTTCTATGTTTATTATGAAAGCACTGATCTATATTTGTATAAGGCAAGTGTCAGATTTGTTGGTCGGTACTGTATCTGGCTGTGGACAACTTTACACTCATTAACTGTCAAGTAGAATCCTTTGTACCTTAGTTTCCAGATTAATACCAGCAGCTTCAGCCTGGTGGCAGTCAGAGAATTAAGATCATGATTTTTGTCGTCATCATAAACAGCCATAAAATAGCTATTAAAAGTTATTTTAGTTTGAGGAAGTATTAATTTCCTGTTCTCTGTTAGTATGACCGGAGCTGTCTACGTGAGGTAAAGCTCGTCTCGTGGTCACACAGGGCGTTTTTAACAACATCCCCGGCTAAGATCTGGCTGTGTTCGCATTTCATTCATTTCCTTTTAATTTCAGCTTAGTGTTGTGATTAAATGTCACGCAGTGGAAACTAAAAAGGCCACCTTCAGAAATGTTTCCTGGAATCTAACCACCGCACTAGATGTCATGATATATTTAGGTTTGGCTTGTAGGAAATCAAGGTTTAGTGAAGTGCATGATGGGGAACATGAGGAATATGATTAGTTAACTGCCTACCTGACACAACTCATCAACAAACATGAGCAATAAATGTAAAAAAAACAAAAAACAACCGACATTTTATTGCTTCATCCTGTACTCCGAATAAAGTTTGAGCCCAATTTCTGGCTCAACATGTAAAAAATACATCTCATGTCATATAAATCTGCAGAAGAAGAAAAGGCTCAGCAATGAGAAAACATTTCTTATAATCAGTATTAAAATCGATTCCATCTTCGAGTTAAGCATGAATCTGTTGGGTCAGTGCAACTGCAATACAAGATAGGTGTTAAAATGACACATATTAGTCTTGTGTTGCACATCATGTATTTAATAAAGAAAGTTCACTCTAATCTGCTCCCCATATGTTCCCATAAACTCATAGCCTAGGCACACTTGCAACAGAAAAAACTAACAGCTTCAGCAGCATACACGATGTGTACAGTACAGCGCCCCGCCTCCTCGTCGTGTCTGCGGACCGTCTCTAGACGTTGTCGTCGGGGTCGGCTCGGCCACACAGGAAGAAGCAGACGAGAACGCAGCAGCCGCCGAACAGGAACAGGGCCAAGAGGATGTAGACCAGAGTGGTGGTCCAGAAGGCGAACAAGTAGAGCGTCTTGTGGCAGTACGGATCCACATTCGTTGTGTTCTTGTTGTAGTTGGGTTCGTAAATGGAGTAGATCCACACGTTACCTAGAGAGGAAAAAAAAAGAAAAAGGATTGATCACAGTTTAAGAGCTTACAGACTTGCTCTAACATCCTTCTTGGCTTCTTACAGGTAAAATGTCCACTGTCTGTATAATCTCTGTCCTTCAGGAGACAGTTACATTATGCAGCAGCTTGTTTCATTCACTGTCAGTGCTACTATGAAGGACATGGCTTACAAAGAATAATTAAATTTTTTGAACATATCTCACTCTTGCTCCTCTGGAGGTTGAATTCTCTTAAGTTAAGTCAAACTGGATAGATGTGACTGTAATTAAGGAATATAATGTGCACAATGTAATGATACTAAACTAGAAGGCTAGCACGCTGAGCCTGTGCTTTTTTTTTTACTGATCTAACATGCATAAGGTTGAGTCCAAACATCAATCTACAGAGTGTGTGTGCAGCTGTGGAACTGTAAAAAAGTGTGGGGTGTTAGTTTTGGATCTTCAGGGAAACATAAGGTGGCCATCTAGTGGCTCATACATGTTACTACAGTGTTGTTGTTGATTGTCCAGCTGGTGCACTTTAACAGAAGCGAGCGAGGGAGTGTATCATAAAAGAAGTAATGCCCACTTTAATGAAATAATGGACAAGGTGGAGACGATGAGTAGCTTCCATTATTTTCTTTCATTAGGAAACCTTGCTGTGTATTATTACACTTACACCACTCATGCTAAGATTTGGACTTAACATGGACTGAAGCCTTAGTTTTGTTGTTATTGTTACCTGCAATTTAGCATACTCAATTGTCATTTTTAGGCCCACCAGGCTGAAACTAATGTTCTGTAATACAATAAATCCTCCCTTCATGGAGGTTATAATGGTCAGTTTTTGTTCACTGTTTTTAAGACGGTGTTGATTAGACTGTATGGTTGTGTTGGAGGCTGCGGTTTGTGGTGCTGTTGAACTATATTGCATCATACTGATAGGTGTTAATGTTTAATCATTGGTGTAAATTTAAAATGGCAGTTTCTCTTTCGACCAGAACCATGTTTGAGAAACACCATAACAAAATTTTAAATCGACAGAAACAAGTTTTTCCCCCCAAACACTGCCCCATCTTCTGTCACGTTTCCCGCCTTGTGGCTCATTCGCCAGCCCACCGCTATCTACACTCACCAGCGATGAACCAACAGAAGAGGAAGAAAGATGTCACCGAGTTCCAGGTCATGCAGACTTGACTGAGCGGGTTGGAGGTGCCATCTTTGGGCTCCTGGGCGCAGGGCAGGCAGGAGAGCACCGCCAGCACCAGGCCAAAAACCCCCACCACTATCAAATAGATGGGGATGTAGTGTTGCCGTGGACATTCATTCAGATACACTGACCCTGTTGGACACGGGGGAGGATGACGGGAGATCTGTCAGTCCGCATTTTCACAAGTGCAGACTTTCTGGCATTTCAAAAATCAGAACTATCCAGTGAAACCGGCTGCTTCACTGTCACTGCAGAAAGTTCACTCAAACACAATGAATTAAGACTCTCTCACCAATTGCAATTTGAGCAGTAGGCAGGATGCAGAGGACCAGCTTTGAACATCCTGAAAGAAGACAAAATAGATTCAGTTGAAAGCTCAGACACTTTAGGACTCTTTTCTGAACCTAATCTGAGAATAATCAAACCAGTGTGCGTGAACAGAGCTCACCTAGTATCGGTGTTGGGGGTTGAGGAGGGCTGCGGATGTGTTGAATAAGACCAGTGCGGGACATTATATCAGTAGTGAAGGCTCCAACCTGCAGAGGAGGATAAAGGTCTGAGAATAATGTTGATAAAACTAAAAGTCTGCACACTGGAAGATGACAGTGACTCTTTCACAAAAGTTTTTCTCTTGCATCGTTCTTTCACCGACTTGTTTCACAAGAGCAACATCTCTGAACAGCAATTTACAAACGAGTCAAACTCAAGATGTAACTTTTTCTACAGGAAGGATGGTCTAAGGATGATCGCTTTATCCAAATTACAGCAGAAACAAAAAGACAAATCATCGGATACATAAAAAACAAAAATTCATCAGAAACTATTTTGATAATCAATTACTTATTTGAGTCATTTTGCTTCTCAAACATCAGGATCTGCTGTTTCCTTTGTCATATATACAGTAAACTCAGCATCTTTGGAAAATCGGATTGTGGATTTTTAGAGTATTGTTTGTAATATTTTATAGATCAAACAATTCATTAATTCAGACAATAATCAGCAGAGTAATGGGTAATGAAAGTGCTTATTAGTTGCAGCCAAAATCCCAATAAACTTCTAAATAAAAGGACATTTAAACACTGAATCTCTCTGGGTAATCTGCTATTTATATGTTAGTAGAATGGTGTATAATAAAGATTCAGCACAGGCAAAACCAGAAACCTAGACCAGATCTTGACCTACTCTAGATTCAGGTCTTATATCGTCACCTTTAACCCACATGTTCTGTTGGTTGGTTTTTCTCATGAGAGAGTGAAGTTTTTGTCAGATGATTCTGACAGTGCTTCAACAAAAATACATGCAAGTGCAGGTATTTTGATCGTCTTATAACCAGTGATTTAAAGAAGTATTGCACCAATTCACGTCACCTCCATAAAGTTAGGGATCCCACAAAGGACAGATTGGACAAGAATGGTTAAAGTCAAAGCAGCAGAGGCCCAGATACGTCGACAGTTTTCCCCCAGTATGGCTCAAAATTCCAAAAACACTGGATCATACATTCCCCATGATGCAACTGGATCGCTCATTTGCATCTTGCATCTTTCATTAGACCCGCAATGCCTCTTTCTTTCTTCAGTTTGTAGCACTTAAAGGGAATTACAAGTGGAATTGTCATATATTTTAATTTTCTTTGCATTAAAGAGCTTTTAAGGAACAGCAATGATACATATAAACATGTGGCTGTTCATTAGAGAGACTAAAATTAGATTAAGTCATGGATCAGGTCAGGTCATTTTGCCACAGATCCTTCCAGTAAATGTAAATTGCTTCTCATGCAGTCCCTATTAATGAGTGTCAGGCAATATAATCAGGAACTTTAACCAACACAGCGTGGACACAATTCATGTTCACGCACAAAAACACAACAGTAATCACTTTTTAAAAAAAATGACCGACTGAGAGGTTTGACTGCATTCCCTAAAGCCAGTCTGACCAATGTTGCAAAACCGCAGGAGCGACAAGAATCAACCTGCGTATCACCACATCACACAGACATGACACTAGGACACGGACCAGATTTGTCTAATTTTAAAGTCCACAACGGGATGTTTTTATAAATTAATATAAATGTGACGAACAAACGGCTACAACAGCTGAATACATACTACTCTAAGGACGCCCCCACCAAACAAGAGAAAAGTAAATCACACTCAGGTATGTACAACTTTGGTAAAGAAAAAAAAAAAGAAAGCTGAGTCACATGGGAAATAAACGCTGTCAAACCTGAGCAGATTACGTTGAACCGCGCCTTCGCCGACACGAAGTAAACTAACTGTACGAGAATGGGTTCCGTCAAAACACATACGCACGAAGTCTCCGGTGAGGGCGGAAGTGGCGACTTAAAGCATGGAAGTGCTTTAAGTGCTCTTGTTTAATTCTCACCTACTCAGTGACACTCACCTATTCAGTTTGTCTTCTGTGTGTGTGTGTCTCTGGCTGCTGTCGGAGCCGCTGACAGCCGCGCCCAGCAGAATGCCAAACCTCCACCTCTCGGGGGCGCGCATGCACAGGAAGGGAGGCGTTCACGCGGTCAACTGGTTGCTAAGATAAGTTATGACAGGCTCTAAAAATTGACTTTGGGTGATTGGATCAGTGATTCCCAATTTGTGGGTTGTGACCCTCCAACAGGTCCCAATATGATTACAAAGTATGGCATAATAAAATAATATTATAATAATATATTATAATAAATTATTTTAACTTTTTCTCTAAGCATTGTTTTTATTTTCTTGGAAATAATGGATAATTTCATCTTTGGGATCATCGAAAAACCCTTTTTAGGTTTAACTGCTTAAGTTCACACTAAAAGGCCATAAAATGGACAAAGTGTTCTACTAAACTGCGCCAAAATATGCTTATAAAAGATACTCATAGTGAGTAAAACCTCATCTTCGAACAACACAAAGCAAAGCATGTTTTATTCTTCAAACACAGGAAGGCCTAATGGCAGTTTTAGATCCCTTCACTTCCGAAAGCAGCACTCAGATGTACAGTAACAGGCCGAGCCTCCTGATAAACAAATACTGTCAAATTAGAGCAGATAACAGTTGAATGGATCCTTGCCTTTTATCTGAAGTTTGTATATTTGCTTTGAAACAGGTGTGGACTTCCGAGCTCTGGCCACATAGTAGATGATGTAATGGCCAGATGATTTTCCTGAGCAATAACAGCTGCAGTAATGTTGCCAAAAAGTTTGTTACATTAACTATCAAAAAAACAAACAAACATAAAAATGCAAAATATTTCGGAAAAGAAAGTTGATCAGGAATACGTTCAGGCTCTTTTATTGTCAGGCTCTTTTATTTTCGCTTTGTGCATGTGATTTTAAGGTAAGACTAACACGGTATCTCAAAATGCAACATTTTGCTGCCAATGAAAAGATCAGAAAAAAAGTTAGATCTTTTCGTTGCTATTTACACTGCCTTTCACTTTGCCTTTGCCTAGTCACTGTGAGATATGAGGCCATTTGAGGTCAGCAGAAGTGAATAAACAAACATGCAAGAATGCAAACCTTATTGCAACAACACTCTCTAGGCTGAAGGATAAACTGAAAGTGTTTCTTAAATAAGTCTTTAAAATGTAAGCTAGTGTTATTATTATTATTTCATTGATTTAAACTCAAATAAACAAATTGAAGTTCATAAAATGGAGACATTTAATGACATGAAAACTGACTTGCACAATGTTAATTATTTCATCAAAATAGATTGCATTCAAACATATTAATCAACAATGATGACAACATGAGTATAATTAATAAATATTATAATAACACAAAACAAAACTTGTTTTGGCAGCAGTTTCACTTTTTTGGTTAAACTGCTGAAGTCATGAAGGATGCCCACCTGCACATCTGACCGGCAGATACACATGACCACTCATCTGTTAAATAATAGAAACTTAATATGTTATTTGCACCTTTTGTTAAATATATTTTTAGGAACTGTCAGGAACACAAGCCTCCACCAGGGAGGACAGTGGTTGCCATGGCTGAATGTAGTTACCAGGGCAACCAGACGATGCTGTCACAAGTCTGTGAGGCAGATGCTGGAGGACGTCTCAACATAGATGCGACCTCGGTATCCCGAGCAGGATTGGCCGCCTCGTAGATCAATCACATGACTCCGACTCCTCTCAGCCTCGGCCGTCTGGAGTTGAGCCACGCCAAGCACCGAGTCCCACAGCAGGCCCCTGCTCCACAGCTGCATGACAAGACACACACACAGATTAGGACTGGTAGTGTGTGCTTATTATCTGTGTGTGTGTGTGTGTGTGTGTGTGTGTGTGTGTGTGTGTGTGTGTGTGTGTGTGTGAGGGGGAACGTGTGTACCTCAACAGAGATGTGTGTGTCGGGGTATCTCCTGTAGAAGATGGTTCTGAGGTTGAATTCAGGGTTTCCCTCTGCCTTGAACACCCGTGTCCTGATGGTGTCGTTCTCGCATCGCACTGTGGCATAAACATCTGGAGCTGTGATCATAGAAAACAATATCAGATGGTGTAAGGAAGAAACAAGAGAACAAGGAGTTTTCTACGCTAAATTTGACACCACTGAGAGTCTAATGTTCAGTTTTTGTTCATGAATATTTAAAATGTATATTAGGAAGCTACAGACAAAAAACAAGAGTGTTTCCAACTCCAAGTGTCTTGCCTGCCCTGTTCTGGTCTGTGTATGTGTCACAATTGAGGAGACATTGTGCTGAGTGACCTGTCTGTTTGGGAGGGCTGAGTCCTGACGCCCTGCGGAGATGAACGGTGGTCACCACTGCAGGCTGAGGTAGAAAACACTGGAACACAGAGGGGGACGGCAAATCCTCCCTCAGTTCCCTACATGATGGAAAAGGGGTTCATGTTGAAGAGGAACAAGGGAAGTTGAAATCTGAGAGCAGGAAACGTAATGTTGCTGTAAAATTGAAAGAAATGATCCACAGTGTGTTCGTATAAATATTCAGCTTTAAGAAGAAACAGCTGCAATCAGCTCAATCTTAAACTGGTGGCTCTTGTGATTGTTTCATATGTGCAATGACTTTTCCCAACATTTTGTGTTTATTCATGTTTTTTTTGTTCTGCTTTTACAGTAAAACATACAAATATCATAAGAAAGTTTAACTCTACATTATGCTTGTTATATAAATTAATAAAATTTCATAAAAATACATGTACAATTATACCAACATTTGTTGTTCCAGGGATGTAACATAAAATCCTCTAAAAAAACAGGAAGCAATTGGCATTTTTCACAGTATGGTACCAATAAATGGGCAGCTTATGTGAAAACTAACAGAGAACCTTCTACTGAAATTCAAAGCTGTTGGACATACAATAACAAATGCTACATGTGAGACTGACAGGTGATCTCTGGGGATCTCACAGATTAGCTGTGTCCCAAATTCTCTCTACACAATTAACGTATACAGTATATTTTGAATACGAATTATCATTATATTTTAGCAGTCAATAAAACGGTCAAGTATATAGATTATAATTGCACACTGCCAGTTAAACATCACAAACAGACATTAAAATATTTTGCCTAAAATCTAATACTTATTTCTTTGTTTTCCCAGATCTCTCTGGAGCTGTTTCACAAACACCCATTATTTTATTTTTTTCAGGAGCAGCTCCACCATTCTTCGTGTATTGCATTCTGGGACAACAATATGCATTAACAGCACACTCAAATATCAATATTTAGTATGTATACTGTCCGCATACGGATCATGTTACCTGATTTTAATTTTTAAACCTGCTATCAAACTTGCACACACACACATTTCACACACCTGAGTCTGACATGGGAATGGGAGAAGAGTCGTAGCAAGAAGCGTCCGGTTGCACCCGGCAGGAAGGTGGTGGGCAGCACGACGTAGCGGCCTGGAGCCAGAGTTGCCCTCAGTGTTACGCTGCGGGAGTCCATGTAGACGGAGCTGGCCGCCTGCTCCACCACGCACTGCACACGGCTGCAGCGGTTCACCTCCACCTGGGGACAACACCGGCGGCAGGAAATGATTTTTGAACTATTGCAGGATTTGGAAAAGGTGCGTTGTTCATATTTATTTTCACGACCTGCTCACCTTCAGCACCTCAAAGCCGATAGGCAGGTTTTCTCCTCCTCCATCTTTCCTTTGTATCCTCCTGTCCTCCTGCTGCAGACAGATCAGCACCTCCTCCTCTTTGCCTCCAACCTCAAACATAAACTATCAGAAAAAAAAGACAGATACATCATGTTCATGTCCAAAGTTCCTGCACTCATGTAAAGACTTCCACTTTAGTTTTACCTGTGGATTGTGCAGGAAAGTCTCTCGATGGTTGATGCATCCTCCACATCGACTCCTCTTATCCACCTGTGGCTCCCATCCTCCATTCCTCTCTCCACCATCATCCTCCTTCATGACTTTTTTAACAGCCTTATCTCGCTCACACCGTCCTCTTTTCCGTCCCTCCTGCTGACTCTCCCCGAGTCGGGCCTCCTTTCGGTTCCCCCGCTGCTCGGTCCCTCCGGGTTTGACGTTGTTCTTACCTAGGGTCAGAGCAAAGTCGCCGTGGAGGACGGTGGATGGAGGGGATCCAGGGGTGGTGGGGGCCGGAGCCCACTCCCCGTAGCAGTGCACTTCTCTCCAGTGACAGCTGGGCCACAGCAGAGCTCTCTCCACCAGCCGGCACACCACCACGTCTGTGAAGTAGTGACAGAAATCCTCGAAATCCATCCTGAGGGAGAAGAAATCAGAGTAAGGTTAACTGGAAATTTGTGTCAGGAATATACATGTTATATGCACATAAATCAGAGCAGAGGCCAGATAACTATTACCTTTTTATTTTAAAATCCAAATAATAAAAACAAATGTACCAGAACTCCCCAACGTCCCGAACAATGAGGCCCATCTTCTCCCTCTCTGCACGACTCATCTGTTGCCACTGCTGCGACCTGCAGGGGGCGCGCAAGGCCAATAAAGTCAAAGCTGTAAGGTCCAACACAATGGAAACGGCATATGAAAAGTACAAGTTCAACTTCTGGAAACCTTTTATTGGTCCATTTTGGCCATTTCAAGAGTTTCTCATAGTTTCATAATGAAAATGGCAGATGTCTCCTAGTGAAACAATTCCAAAACTATTGTAAAATGTCAGACATTGTCCAAAAAAGTTGCAGTGGCGCTGTAAAACGTTGTAAAAGTCTGACACTGTTAAATGTCAGCAGAGGCTTAATTCCCAGAGCTCCTGCAAAACGTATGATGCACTCAGCAGTCAGACATGTGGCAGATGTAGTCAGTAAAGTGCCCTCACCTTTGACTCCAGGCGCCCGTCCAGTCTGTGGTCCCCCATGGGTTCCTCATGCGCACCATGAAGAGTTTGGACACCCCGCCCGTCTTCAGGCTCTTCTCCCCCAGCCTCACCTTCCTCACCGCTGTGATCCCGTAAGCGTGTCCTTGCACCAGGCCGCAGTCCAACACCGACTCCACCGCCTCACCCTCTGCTGGCTGAGAAATGTAAAACATACAGAACTTATTTCAGCCTGTTCTCCAGTTTCTAAAATGCTGAAGATTCCCAGATGCTCAGGGATAAAAGGCCCGACCCGTATGGAGCAGGTGATGAGGGCTTTGCATTCGTGCGCCTTGGCTAGCGTCTGGAAGAGCGTCCTCCTGTGGTCGCTGTGCAAGGTGAGGGCCTCGCGATCCAGACTGAGGGGCTCTGAAACACCCCCAGTGAAGTCAATCAGGGCCTCTGCAGTGTTTCCTCCCTCCAGTGCCTCATAGCAGCCGTTGAGCCTGGAAGACAGTCAAGAGTGGGACTGATTGATTAAATGACTGTGTCAATCCTCCCTCTTCTCGTTTGGACAGGTTTTTATGATACAAAAATCCACCAGATAAGATTCAGCGACAGTTCTTTTTACGGCTAATGCCATCTTTTCTTTTTTTTTATTCTCACCTTCAATAGTTTCTGTGCATGCAAAGGTTAAGGTTAAGGAAAAACTGCAGTTATGGCAAATAAGACAAAAGTTTATTGTAGGGCTTCACACCAATCCAACACCCCGACCTCCACCCCCTGGCATTGTGTCTGATCACATCCAGGACACACACACTTCCTGAGCTGACACTGGACATTAATTGTGAGCTGTAGATTCATCCAATATGGAGATTATACCTTGGAAGAATGGGCTTTTTTGTCAGGATGTAGTACTTGTTTGTAGCTGTTAATTTCTTATAGTACTACATGACAAAGGAGCAGAGGAATCCGCAAGGTCCTAGAGCCCTTAACTGAAGGTAGAAATGGTGAGGGAGGGCAGTCAGGGGCCGTGGGGTCCCCGAGCCCTCAGGTGGCACTAGAAAGAGGAATGGAGAGCGTCCTGGGGCAATAGTATTGCCATAAGTAGCAGTGACAGTCGTAGCAATCAGGGTACTCTACCTCTGCTACAAGTCCCATCAGATATTAACTAGCATTTCTCATTGCCATGCACTCACTTGGCATAAGCCTTCTCCAACAGGGCGCTCCAAAACTCTCGGGGTGTAGCCGAGCGACAGAAAAGCAGCACGCCATCCCTGCTGACCGGCAGGCGGTCGTCCACAACAACGTCCATCCAACAGCCAAGGCGCCAGAACCGGAAATGAAAGATTCCCGCATATAAGTCGAGGCGTTTCGGGTTCCACTCCTGTTCCACGTGGTCAGGGATGACCTGGGAGGAGGAGGAGGAGGAGGGGAGATGAGGAAGGAAAGGAAGAAAGGAAGAAAGGAAGAAAGGAAGAAAGGAAGAACAACAGGTGGGTAAGGAGGGTAAGGAGGAAGGAAAATACTCAACCCTCTTCCACAGAGATGGCTCAGATGCCAGGCAGGAAATGGCAGCCATCATCCAGCAGTTACCCAGACTGCCTTGGTGCAAGTCACGAGTGCTGATGCCATCGACAAACAGACGAGGGTCCTTGCATATTTCCTGGATGGGGATCAGCAGAAAGAGAGATGAATATGTAACGCTTTAGCTGCTAATTTGCCACAATATGTTCACGAGCAAGTCGCAAACTTTTTTCTATCCCTCGTCTGGTGTTGGGCAGTTTTCAGCTTATGTGCTGAAAACAGCTTCCTGTTGCGTCTACAAACACATGAGAGCAGAAAGAGTGAACCACAACAGTAACGTTTTGGGTCCTAAAACCAAAACAGTGAGCTGAGAGATGCTAAAATGTTGCATAAAGCTGAGGGGAACTGCAGATTATTATCAGTGGGTTCATTACACACAGTCATTTGATCCACTGTTAATATAAAATATTGATTATATAGCAGCTTTAAAGGCACTCACAGTAATGCGGACTAAGCTGTGTGATTAATGGGTGCAGCAGTTAACGTCACAGTGTTTTATGAGGCCTGTGAGCTGATTCAGTCCGAGTGTCAGAGCACTGCTGAGGAGACAGATCCCCTCAGTGTGGACCTGTTGATCTCAGTTTGGACAGGGTCAGGTAACAGTAGAAGTGCTGCTGGACACACACACACACGCAGAAAGATACACACTCAGTGGTCGTAACCTCGTTAAATGCAACTCGAGACCAGATCTAAACCGTCTCGCTAAGATGATATCAAGTTCATAACAAGTACAGATGGGCAGATGAGGCCACTCAGATTGTGAAGTGGACCGTTATGACCGCAAATGGGAAGTCAGAGTGTGTTTTACGTTGTTGTCGTGTGTTTGTGTGTGTGTGTGTGTGTGTGTGTGTGTGTGTGTGTCAGCAGGTGTCACACTATCATCCAGCTCCCTGTTGATACACGCTTAACATACCTGAGTGGAGCATTAGGAACACAGTACCATTAACCCTCTCTCTTCCACCCTAAATCAGCAGATTAATCACCGGCGCGGTTTCACATTCTGAAGGCTCAGGCCTCATACTGAACGAACTCCATGAACCAATCAGCCTACTGCTCAGATATCTCTGAATTTGTTGACAAAATGTTATGATGTTATGGAGTACAATGCAATTAACTGGTGAATTTGGGGGTTTTGAAAATTCTTAAAAAGCATTCAATTCTGAATCCTCCACAAATAGAAAGTATTAAAAAAGTTAATTTACTACATTTGCTGCAGACAGTAACAGTGCCTTTATTTTTAAATTTTTTAATTGGTTAATCCACCCATCAGTTTTCAGCTACCTATGTGTGTCACATTAATTCATTCATTTACAAGGGATTGCTGTCATATACAGCTGGGGAATACTGACAAGATTTAAGTACTTAATTAGTAAATGTAGGCCTTATTGTCCCTATTGGTTCTCCATCATTTTTTCATCTGTATGACTGTGAAAAGGTTATCAAAGTTCATTTTATTTGGTATCAAAGAGGTCATAAGAAGTCTTGAAGTTACTGTGGTAAACAAAATTATTTTGGTTACAGATTTTAGGGAAAAACTTCATGCTTCTGACTTGCCATCTCTAATTTAAGTTTTTTTTTTTAAGTATATCTCAGACAGAAGTGACCCTTACAAAGATGAAACAATGAAGAAATCAGATCAGGAAGCAAAAACATTTGGAAAACCATTGCCATATCCTGCTTATTTTCAGTCCTTTCTTAATCTTTCTCCTGCATTTCTACAAATATAAAAACCTATTCTCTACTGCATAATGATAATTGTGTTCATACACACATGATCTATTCCCTTAAAAGTCCTTGCACTGTTACTTATAGCCTGTCTGCGCTGGGTAATAAATAATTTGACCTTGACTTTAATCTCTCGTTTCATTGTGTTTATTCTTGTGCATTACACTCCCATTAAATACTACTTGGCTTGTTGTAGCCACAATAAACACCTATACTTATACACAGCTACAGCCATCTCAACATTGTGCTAAAAACACCTGGGCTATTTAAACTGGTTGTTGCTATTCCTTAACTCAACTGTACACACACACACACACACACACACACACACACACACACACACACACACCAATATAGCAGTCTATCGGCAGCACACACCATTTGCTCCCTGAGAGCTAAGGTTTCACTGCCTGACGCCTTACCTATAATAGAAAGTGCTTTAATTAACCCAATCTGATGGAAACGTAACACGCTGAGCCAGACACTCGATTTAGATGTGTGAAAACCCCTCGTAGTGATCTGAACTCATCACCGCTGTAAATGATTACAACTGAGAGTGATTTTGCCAGTGTCACAAAGAGTTTCCTCCATCCTTCATCCCCGTCCTCCTGTTTCTCCAAGAGCTTCTCCCCCCACCTCCCCCCGCACACCTCGCACTCACCCTTGGCCTCTTCCAGGTCAGTCCCGGCGGGGGCTCCCTTTTGTAAAACAGGGACTGGGCAGTGGTGGGGAACAGGGGATCCTTGAAGAGCGCACCTCGACGCAGGCAGTCCCGCCGCAGCTTGTGGAAGCTCTGACCCTGGAAGTCTCTCACTCGTTCGGGCATCCTGGCCGGACAGAAGAGGCCTGAGGAGGAGAAATGTGACAGATATATGGAAAAAGAAATATAACTGCAAGGGTCAAATGGGAGAAATTTGAGCTACGAAGCCATGCTCCACTGAGGTGGTGTAGGATTACAGTGACAGCGTGTTTAGCAGACTTATATTAAATATCAAAACAGTCTGTAAAATCACTAAACATTTTGGTTTCTTCTAATTCCATTCATCAAATTGCTCAGTTGTTCAGTTATAGAAGTTGTAGACTTCATGCATTTAAAGCCTGATGTAATGTGAGAGGACCCAACAGGTGGCCCGCAAGAGAGCATTTAATGTCCTGTGATAATCCACCTGTTGTTTTAGGTTTTCCAAAGAGTAAAACTCAAAGACTTAATATATCAGATTTTTCACATGAAGATCCAACAAGTGCAAAGATGCCAAAACACAGAGTTTAGTGGCAGCACCTGCAGTATACTGCTCAAACACTGAATAACAGCGAATTAAAATGAACAGAAAAGTCGGTTTCCTCTGTGAAAACACAGGAATCATGGAATAACATCTTGTTTAATGTAGACTGCCACAGTCTACATTTGCTTTTCTACTGTAATAGCAGAATTTATAACCAATTTAAGTGTCAAAATTAAACACTGACTATCTTTGTTTACAAAGTTAATCAGAGGACACAAGTTGTTTAGATATGATATGATAGGCTGGTGTGTAGAGTGAGCTGGAAAGACTCACATATCACTTATGGACAGTAGCATGTATATACATTTATTGATTGGTAATCTTTTGAAAAATTAAAATGTTTAGTAATTCACCTGTTGGAATTTCTCAAACTACTGTGGTGTGAGCTCAATTTTTGTAATAGATTAATCACAATTTTTTATTTTCCATTATGAATATTATGTACACTGATATCATAGACACTGACTTCTGGTTTTTGTGTGACTGTAGTGGCCATCTGGGTTGTGTATTTTCGAGCAGCAGAGGAAGCTAGAGGTCCTGCAGGGTCAGTGTGTGTGTATATATGTGTGTGTGTGTGTGTGTGAGTGTGTGTGTGTGTGTGCATGCGCGTGTGTATGTGTGTGTGTGTGTTAGGGAGAAGGGATAGGGTGAGGACAGCAGTAAGGTAATGGTACCGTTTTAGTCATCAGTGATTTGAACTGCAGGGGACCCTAAGTCAGCTAGCTGCATGCGTGTGTGTGCGCGCGTGTGTGTGTATGTGTACGCATGTGTGTGTGTGTGTGTGTGTGTGTGTGTGTGTGTGTGTGTGTGTGTGTGTGTGTGTGTGTGTGTGTGTGTGTATGTGTATGGATATCAACTGGTGTGTGTGAAGCAGTGTGATTCTGCGTCACTGATAGTATGCCAGGTGGTGTGTGTGTGTGTGTGTGTGTGTGTGTGTGTGTGTGTGCGTGCTTGGGTTTGCAGATACCGCACAGGTCAGTGTTATCAATTATCAGTGAGGTTTGGTTTTTTCTTGTATCAGATTTATGCAGTGGCACAAACAACAGGAAACATGTAAAGTAAACACAGATTTAGATTATATTATGAATCAATCTCATGACTGACAGTATCACAGTATCATGTCCTGCAGTGGAAAACATATCCAGAGCTTTTACTTAAGTAAAAGTAGCAACATTTGTGTAAAAATACATATCAAAAGTACTCATTCTGCAGAGTGGTCTATTATTGTAATTATTTATGCGTTTACGTATATTACTTTCATGTTGCAGCTGGTATAAGTGGGGCTAATTTTTAATCACTTTATATAACTAGTAAGTAGAGTTATCAGGTAAATGTAGTGGAGTAGAAGCATAAGGCAGCAGAAAATGGAAATGTTCTAGTAAAGGAGAAGTACCTCAAAATTCTACGCAAGTTCAGAACCTGAACACATGGACTGAGTAGCTTTCCACCACTCATCATGCCTTAATGAATGTATGAATATCAGCGACTCCTGTGTCTCAGTATTAACATGATAAAACATAACTTGCAGTTCAGTCAGACTTTAATTAACATGTCATTTAAATGAACAGTTTTTTAGAGTATTTTGAGTCTTTTAATTGGTGTTTTTGAATTGAATTGGTTTAGTTTGATTTGATCAGCAAACATTTAGTTTTACGTAATGTAATATTCCTTTTCAAATCAGATCATTTGCAGTCACTAGAGCCATAGCACTGTAATACAGCCCCTGCTTTTTGAAATAACTTTTTTTTATGTATTGATTTTGCACATTGTAGTAACTGCTAATGTGTGATACTATTCTAATGGATGAATTACATTTTTTTTGTTGTTGGATGTGTCTGTTTCAGTGCATCTTTTTCTGCTGTGCATTAATTAATACACATTTAACAGAGCAGCAATATCTGATCAAAAACAGACAGAAATCATGAAAACCAGCATTAAAGAGAAGAATTTTTTTCTTTTTCTTTTTTTTGGAATGACTTCTCAAATACTCTAAGAAGCTGTTTTAATGAATGCCTTTAAAGTTAACAATTAGACATTGACTATCCACAGTATGTTAAAGAACAAGTATTTGACCACAAATACAATCAAATGGAGTTTTTTTTGGAAATGAAAAATGTGCTTTGTTTGTTTCTTAAGTGGCCATTAAATTTATCAAAATATATTGAAAACAAGCTTCACTGAAAATATGAGCTTTATGGTAATTTAACAAAGGTTTTACTCCTGTCTTTGCAAGCATTACTCATCTAAAAACATTTGACAGCATCAGAAAACAGTAGATACTAGATATAGAAGTTGCCCAGTGTGTGTATATTAAAAGAGCTGTCATCAGTTTGAGACATCCAGTGCTCGGCTGGCAGGCGAGGCTCTCGTCCTGTCAGCGCTGGTGGTGGGTTGAGTGTTTTTTTGATAGAATATTTATCATTATCATTCACTAATTTTAAGTCACAGGAGTTGATAAAATATGAATTCATAAATTCATGAATCACATCAAGATAGATCCTTTTAGTGTAGGTATTTTACCTTTGAGTCAGGTTAGAGGTTTATCCACTTGCTTGTCCTGAGATGAGACTATTCCTTAAGTCCCAGCACTAGATGCAGGTTCATGTCCTCCTCTGGTCATTTAGGAAATCCTTCAGGGAATCCTAATTTTTTTAGCGACAACCACACAACCAAAAATAGGCAGAATGTGTCCACTCCTTCCTGTTGTTCTTCTTTGGCTGTTAAAAGCCGACTGACTGCGTCCAAAGCAAAATTTTCTTCTTCTTCTTCCTCTTCTTCTTTCCTCCGACTCTGTCAGGAGTGTTTGAAACATTTCCACCAGGAACTCATTTAATGTTTGTGTTCACTGGACCTGGATAAAAAAAAAACAATATATGTGAATGATGTTAATGAATAAAATGCAATAGAAAAGTAGAGTAATGATGATATTCCTGCAGCTCTATGATGCTGCAGGACAAAAGTACAGCTTGATGTGAGGGTGCAAGATCCCTGACACCATCTCTTATGACTGTGTATCATGTGTGTGTGTGTGTGTGTGTGTGCATACGTAACAGCTTCTAGTGTTGATGCATGAGTGTGTGTGTCCATGTGCATACAGCCGTGACACACAGGGCAGGGTGACACTGCTGCTGGAGCCGAGCGCCTGTGTAACTTTATCTCCCTCCACACAGACAATAGACAGACGAGTCACCACTCCAAGTGACATAACACACAATTATAGCCGTGGAAACCCTCACACCAGTAAAATACTACACTTACTGCAGTTACTCTTGAGTTTCAGACACTTAGGATGAACAGTGTATCCTCTGACACCTGTGTGCAAGCTGTTCTGCTGCTGGAGAACATAAACAAATGTGTTTTCCAGGAGTGTGTGTGCACGTATTGCTTACTGCTGCTGCTGCTGCTGCTGCTCTTCTGGTTGGTGATTGCACATTCTGTCGTGTTCTCCTCCCCACTCGTGCCTCACCCCATTTCTCCTCTCTCCTCATTTTAACATGGCCAATGACTCTCTCTCTCTTCTCTTTTTATCCCCCTTATCTCTTCAGTCTCTTCTCCTCTTCTCTCTATCTTCTCCCACACAGACTCCTGGAGTATCTGTTGCTGCCCAGTGTGTTGCCCCTGACACCTGAGAAACCAAGAGGCAAGCACCTTCTATTTTAACTGCTTCACTGCCAAATATCAGGCTAATTATCCCCCGTTCCTATATATGTGATCAACCTCACAACCTGCAACAGTGTATTAGTGATGACCTAGAAAAAGCATGTTTCAGCAAATAAACTGCAATGGCTAAAAATTAAGTGTTGTTGTTTTTTCATTTTACGTTGGGCTTTTTAAAGAACACATCAAGGGACAAAGAGGTAAAGATCCAACATTGAAAAGTAAGAATAAAAGTAAAAAGCAACGTGACCATCAAAACCTCAAAACACATCCTCTACTTTGCTTGAATCCCATCCCATGTAAAATAGATGGCAATACTTCAAAGTATGTGTTAAAATATGGCAACAATGGCACATATGTCCAATATATTTTCATGGTATTTATACCATAAATGCTGATACATGAGGTATGGATACATAAATCCTTCCAGAAAACTGGTGCATTAAAATCTCAGACAGTGTTACGACAAATATCTCAAAATGCATTAAATTGGTGTAATATTTTGGATAAAAAATTAATATATCCAATTAAATAAATATGATTACTTTTGCATACCTTTCTTTTTATTTAAATACTGCAGCTTCAGTTCAGCACTGCAGATTTTAACTTTTTTAAATAATATATACTATAAACATATCAAAATCACATGACATGTATTCTTATATTCTTTATATTCCTATATTCTTTAATAAATTGGTGTATATTTGGAGTATACTGTAAAAACGGCTAGGCTATATATTAGCATACTAGTTATAATCTAAAGTTACAATTAAAATTCGCAGGACTATGTTGAAATTAAAGCAAACATTTAAAATTATATATGGAAAATAATATGAGCAGGGGGTCAGACAAGTGAGAAGTGGTTTGCTGACTTTAAGAAAGTAAAAAACTGAAAAATATGAGAATAGATACAAATGACATACGTATTATTTGGAGTTGAGTTTTTCTTCTATCGACCTTCTCTCCTGAAATCGAAACATCGGGGATCGGCTACGCATGCGCAGTGGCAAGTCGCCGTCAAAAATGCCGATGTGGCTGCTGAAATATTAAACTTCTAGGTCGCCTGTGGGATTTACAGCAAACTGTCGCAATGAATGTTTTCTTTCTGGCTTTGTTTTGTGTCTGCGGCTTTGTCGCAGCAGACGAAGACGAGAGGCTGCCGAATAAATGCGAAGGTAGGACGAGAAAGCGACACTAGCTAGCCGCCGATATGGTGCTATTTGTTTACAAATGTCTGTGTCCTCTGTCTGCCTATAAACTTTGACATGCACGCTGGTAGAAAAAAGTTTTTACGGCTTTTTAAGGTTGTATTTTCTTGTCTGTCAGTGTGTAAGTTTCTGACAGTGGAACTGCAGGATGCTCTGGCGAAAACCGGCCGCTCCAAAGAAGTGCTGGAGGTTGGAGAAGTGCTGGATACAGGCAAGAGAAGAAGAAAGATCAAATACAACACGTCGTAAGTTAACTCTGTCTGAGGAATATAACTTGAACATGGGGAGAAGACAATTATTAGTTTACATGCTGTTTTACAAAGGAGTCCATGTCACTGCTGTTATTTCTTCAGACTTTTTTTAACTTCTCCAGTTTCACTACTGATATTAAAAAATGAGGTTTATTCCCCACCACTAGAGAACTCAGCTTTATTTGTTAAATCTATGGAGTTACCCTTTAAGACGACATCTCACTCTTGCATTGTTTAGACTGCTAGAAAGCCTACAACTCTGCCGTGTGTCTATGTGTGTGAGGCCAACATTTAAACATGTGTTTTGACTTCAGGGAGACTCGGCTGACAGAGGCGTTGGACAACATATGTGAGCGCATCCTGCAGTATAACGTCCATGCAGAGAGGCCTGGCAGCCTTCGATATGCCAAGGTGAAGTTAATTTGCTCATGTTTTAACATTTTTCACACCCAGTTACATACATTGTATGTTCCTAATGGAGTTAAGAGCACAGGAAAGAATGAGAAGTTTTGATTTTCTAATGGAAAATATTAAGGATTGCTTGTAAGTAGTGTGCCTGTGTTTCCTGTGTGTTTAGTCAGTGACCTAAAGTCTGAGTTCCTCTACCAAAAACTTGTGCTTCATCATTTATTAACATCAACCATGCCCAAAATTAAAAATTTTCTTGTTTGAGTTTTTGTCATGTTCAAACATTTCTTTAACTTTGTATAGAAAACTGACTGATCGCTATTTTGTGTGACTGCAGGGAGCCAGTCAGACCATGACAACTCTGAAGAACCTGGTCCACAAAGGAGTTAAAGTGGATCTGGGCATGCCGTTTGAACTGTGGGACGAGCCGTCTGTAGAGGTGTCGGACATGAAGAAACAGGTAGGGTTGTGTGTCCTGCTGTTGTCAAGTACAGCACTTGTGGAGCAGTGGGAAATGGAAAATTGGAGCACAACTAATTTATTTCAGAGACCTCAATATAAACTAAATATCTGATCGTGTGTGTTGTGCAGTGTGAGACGATGCTGGAGGAGTATGAGGAGGTGGTGGAGGACTGGTACTTCCATCATCAGGAGCAGAGACTGGAGAACTTCCTCTGTGAGAGCCACATCCTCAAGACATCAGAGCTAGGTAGGGGACACAGAGAAAGTGGGGTTAGCTTCACTTCAGCACAGAAACGTGTTTGGTAAAGTCTCGTCCAACACTCTTGATCTCTCCCATTATTTTACATTGTCTTTCTTTAAGAGCACTGTCTCAAACACAAGTTACAAGGTGGATCCCAAGGAAATGAAACAGGAATGAATGCCAACAAAATAAAAAAATACTTTTAGTTTTGCACATGAACTCACTGAAATCCAAACATCCCAGCCCTCTCTCTTCCCTCTGATTGAAAGCAAACTGTGTTGCTGAAACCTCTTCCTCCTCCTCGTGTTGTTTTTCTCTCCCTCTCTCAGAATGCCTTAAGGAGGTGTGGAAAGGAGACATGGGGAAAAAAGGAGGGGCCGGCGAGGCGGGGAGCGACAGCGCTGAAGAAGAAGGAGCGAATGACAACACAAAGAAAGAAGAGCAAAAGACGCATGACGCTGGGGAGCTATGAGGAAAACACTTTGGGAAAAAAAGAAAAATGCAGAAGACAACACAAAACCTCAGTTTTAGAATTTGGCTCGAAAAACTGCAAATCAATGGATATTGAGAAATTGAAATTATGTATTGAGACATGTTTTTAACTGTGTTCTTGGACACAAGGTCCAGTGCATATATTTACACTATTTTAACTATTACAGCTTTTGAATGAAAAATCTTATTTTAACTTTATTTCTGGTGCCAAATCTTGTGATAGTTTACATTGAGAGTTACATTGGTGTGAGATTATGCTTTGTACAATTTAACACTAAATTTCTCCTGTTATTTTTATAGAAATGGTGTTAGCCTTTTATAAACTGTTGCACCTTTTAAAACACTCATCTATTTGGATTAAGGTTTGAAGCCTTTACCATGAATAGTCGAGACTCTTTCAGTGTTATATCATGTGTGAACGCTGTTACATCTCTTCTTATGCCAACACTATATGGTACATGACTTATTTTTTACCCCAAACTGCCATCTTTAATTGCAATATGTACAGTTTTTCATGTTGAATAAAATGCTTTTTATACATAATAATGTTGCATTTTTTTTTTTTTCTGCAGGTTGTTGAAGAAAAATTTGCTAAAATATATGAAAGCACATTTTGTTACCAGAAGAGTTTGCCTCTCTCACATTTTCTCTGTATATTGTGTCTAACTTAATGATAATTTGATGCTACGGTTATCAAATTTTCTGTCTTTCTCTCACTTGAGCTAAACTCACAAGACCAGGCAAACAAACCAAACCCTGATGGAATAATAACTGCAGTTGGAGATCACAAGGTCAAGACCTTTTTGGTGAAATGTCAAGAGGACAGCATTGAGCCAAAGTGTCTGGAAGATCATCCGAGCACCTCTGACTGACTGTAGAGGTGAAGTGATGGTCGGTGAGCTTTGTAATAATTAAAAATACAATGTCAGTACGCCTGGAGAGTAAGTAAAAGTTGCTAAAAAAAGAGTGTCCTGTGTGCAACAAACCCTGCTAAAGCTTGATCATAGTATAGTTGCATAATGCTGCCACCTAGTGGTTTTGCTTTGTTTCACTTTTACACTTGCTTTAGTTCGCTCCTCCAACATCACCTTAAGGCCCGGAGATTGAAGGAGCTGCCATTCCTGTGCAGTGTGAATATAAAAGGTGCAGTTACTCAGACATAATGGTCTCTAGAGCTGCATATGTCCCGTTGCTGTTACGTTTTATTGTTGGTAGAAAAGCAAGAAAAATGTGGAGGTCAGGGAGATAAAAGTATATATTGTACTTTATACAATGCAGTATGTATACTGTATCAAACAAAGAGAAGTTCTAAAGTCAAGAAAAGCATCTCCATATGTAAACTGAGATAGTTTTGATCATTCCTCCTGTCTAGAATGGCCCTGAAGTGATCCCTTTGTAATTTATTTTTTCACATTACTTTAAGTGTGATGTGGGAGAAAAAGGACAGAAATCATAGACACAAGTATCACATATTTTCACTGCACTTCAATATCACACTGTGAATAAAGAAATCTAAAACACACCATACTCTAATGTGTTTGAAAAGTAATAATTTTACATTTGAATATATTTTACTTTAATTATTTCATGCACCATGGACAAGGCACTTTCTGTTTCTTCTTATCAATTAGTAACTTTCAGACTGTATTTGCATTGATGGAAGTGTGAACTAATAGTGATTTTAGTCCCTTTCTAACCCTGCAGGAGGGACACGGTGAGCATCAGAGCCCTGACGCCAACCTGGAGTCCCCCCTGATCTCTGCCCCAGTCAGGTCATCTCAACCTCAAATATCCAAATTAGGAATACATTTTCCCTGAAAGACCAAATATACTTATATAATATAATAAAAAGATGGATCGCTTGTTCAAAAATGTTCATTTTATTTTATTTAAATAATAGTTTTCTTTCTGTATGTTTTCTCTGTTTAGGTTACTGAAGCAGTGAGAGAACGTTGTCTGTTTACTTCCTGGGTGAAACGGACAGCGCTGAGGCTTCTGTAGATCATCATCATCATCATCATCATCATCATCATCATCATCTTCCTCTTCCTCTTCATCTGTATGTAGAAAGCTGTGTAGCTACTCTGACCTCTGAGTCCTGTGTCTTTAATGTCTACTGTAGTTCCTCCTATTAATTTTCCAAACTAAAACTACTTCCACTGATCACTTTTTTGGTGGTCCATGCCGGCAGCATAAATCCATCAAGTTCCTGTATCCCATTAATATTAAATGCACCCAAATTACTGATATATTAAATGCTGAGGGCAGAAGTTAAATCTGATAAGGATATGTGTGTTCTTTGCAGATGTTTTACAGACTCCGAGCTGAGCGGCTGCAGCTCTCGTTTCCCCCAGATTCAGCCCAAACCTTTTTTCCTCTGCCAGGACCACACACACACGCTGTGAGCACAGATCTATAAATTACAATTTTTATTGTCAACCAAAAATAATCTGGTCTGCACTCTGACATTAATCATGTTGTACTGTCTCCTGCAGATCTTTATTACATGTTACCTGGAGGCAGAGCCCAGTTCTAACAAGGGCCTAGTGAAAAAGGCCTGTTCCGTCATGAGTGGGAGGTCAGTTTCCTGTTTTATCCTCTTCTCTCTGCCTACTAATGAAAATGTGAGGGCTGCTGCTGGGTTCAAGAGACACACAGCAGTAGTGCCAAGTCCAGCCACAGGAGGGCACTGAGGAGCAAAACAAAGTGCAGACAAAATGGTATTGCATCTGTTACCTGTACTAGTTGTGTTGAATTTATCACTGAATATATAAAAGAGGCAGTTTATGAGTCATGGAATCAACAGAAAACGGTCAACACCATGTGCTTAACTCAAATGTGCATCAAGTAATTGAGTTAAAAAACGGTGTTTAAGCATCTGTGAGTTCTTGGCCACAAATGTGTCATGTGACAATAATAATCAATAAAAAGTGCTGTTCCAGTTTTGACCCTTTGTGTTTTATTCGCAGACAAAACCTCCAGGTGCATTTGAAATACCAACGTGCCTTTCTACGCTTTATTTAATCCAGCAATGTGATGCAATCTCCCTTGATAATGGAATATTTCCACAGTTAAATCTATAACTAATAGTAAATTGATAGTTTCCAGATGCAATGATAACTATCTCCAAAAGGTACTATCTCCAAAAAACAACACTCCCATGTTCAGATATGTTTTAGGAATTTTAATTGGAAATACTTTTTGTAACTATTCAGCATTTTTGTCTCAGGTTATGGGTGATGGTTAATGGATGGTGGGTGGGAACTGTGTCAGGTGATGGCAGAAATCTGACCGGCCTGTCCTTGCGTAATAAAACTTCAAATATGCTTTACATATGAACTGTATCTTCAAAGGAAGTCGTATGTAATGCATTTCAAAAGAGTGGTGCTGACAAATATTTATATTTAAAGTTTTATTATGCAAGGTCAGGTCGGTCAGATTTCTGTCATCACCTGACACATGTGGCACAATACCCACGAACCGTCCATCAACCACAACCTGAGACAAAAATGCTTAATAGTTACAAAAAATACTACTGGACCATACACAATATTTTTTATCATATTACACAGGAGGTCATGGAGTGTTTAATGGACAGTACTAAGTCGAGATGTGACAGAAAATGAAGGGAGAGATACATCAGAGAGGAGTTTACATGTAACAAACATCCATGGTCAATATGTTAAGCCCTGAGACCACCACGATGATATATACCTGCTGGAAGAATTTCTGGACTTCCAGCTATTTGTCATCTGTTCCCCTTCAAGGACAAGGTATTGTTATATCATCATAAGCAGAAGGTAAACCATTCTGGACATTTGACAGTGGTCTTTTTCTTGACTATTGATCCTTGAACGCAGCAGGTTAACTTACAGTGAGTTTTTCCTTTCAGTACAAAACAACATCTCCATCCAACACCTGTCAGCACTCATGCCAGGGACAAAGTGAAGGAAATGAGGAAAAACAAAGAAACATTGCATTTGGATTCATGGCAACCAGGGTCATTTTCCACTCTGCTGAGTTTGCCAACCAAGTTTAAGAGCCAAAGAACTCAATCAAGATTGTTTGTTTTTTTAAAAAGACATCTTTCTTGTTGCATTAAAACAAAAACCAACGTACTGTCAAGGATATGCTTTGTGCAGATTTCTGAAGACAAACGTCATTTTGTGTGTTTTTAGTACAAACCTTTAGTTACCAGAGGTGATCCTCCAGGTCAAAGCTACAAAGAGAAACCTTTTGCTGCAATCCCCTGGCAGGTCACAATTAAAACATACATACAATGACAGAAGAGCATAAAACAAGCATTGTAGGACACAATACAAAATTATACACTGTACATCAGCAACAAGTGTATCTAAAATCACATAAGAGAGGAAGGTCCAGATAAATATCTCAAAGCTCATAAGATTGTTTCTCCAGTATCCTGCAATAATGATACTGGATCCAGAATTGCACCCACATATCTAAATTCAATAATATCAGTTGTTCCACTGTTGATGAGATGATGTCAAAATCAGGGGGCTGTATATTGGTTTTGGACAAAAATATATCCTTTGCAATACCAGTATTCAAACTAATACATGTAAACCTTTCCATAGCACTTATTAGTTACTGTTTATGCAGAGGTGTGTAAAACAGTGTCGTCAGCATACATTTGCTATTCTATCTGGCTACAATGTTGTGGGAAATCATTGCTATTTAACTGAATAGTAGAGGACCTACCATGGATCTTTGAGGTACACCCATTGTCTTCAGGTAATTTTTTCTGTTCTCTTAAACTTCCCTTTGAAGATGGAATGAAAATGGGATCCTCCTTTTAAAACTATTAATATTACTGTTAACGTTTGTCTTATTTATTATCTCAAGATAAAAACATTCACCTAATTTCTGATTTTTTTTGGACCATAGCAACAAATCTTTCCTTCATAGAGTTAATTTTACTAAAAAATGATATTGATTTGGTTCTATATAAATAAAAATGAATTGAATTGAAATGTGTTTTCAGGTCAATACAACTACACACTCTGGCACAAAAAGTTGTATTCAGTTTTTGCGAGAGCATTAAGTGTTTCTTTCCTCCTTTACATGAGAAAATAAATGTCAACCACAGATGTAAAATAAAAAAACATAATTTCTATATACCATAAAGTCTATGCACCTCATGCCTATACAGTATCTGATAATTAAAACAAAGCATAGTGCCATATTGTAGCACTTAAAAAGTTTGAGCACAGCTAATCCATCAAAGAGACGCCCCTGTATTGTGAAATCTGCTCTTATTCTGTCATGGTGGCTTAATGTTGACTTTTATAATTACACCTCCGTGGTATTTTGTTTATTTTGATTTGAGTCTCAGCACACTCTTTGCTGCAGGGTTCAAACGTTGGCATTGCAGCGCACCTGTCAAAGACCACCTGAAGTGTTTTATTAAGCACTTAAACATTTTTCTTATTTCATTTCAGGGATGATTTCTGTTATCCATTAGCATTTATGTTATTTGAATCATTCAATAATGGCACCAATTTACCTCTACCTCCATCTTCATCTCAGCTCACTGAAATCTCTTGTGTCTTTGTGTTTATGCTGCCAAAGTGCAATATTGACGCATAAACGTGCTATTTCGCCCTTCAATTTACTTTATTGCACTTGTCCTGCGTCCAAGGATAGCATTTCTTAAGTGCACTGTAACTACTTGACACACACACACACACACACACACACACATACACACACACACAAACACACACACACATACACACACACACATACACTCATACACACATACACACAAAGCACACCTGGGGAAACATTCCTCGAGGGAAGTCATCAATCAGTTTTATGGCTTTCTCTGGGAAAGTTTCCTCCTCTCCAATCAAGCGTCTTCCCTCCCTCCTTCCCTCCCTCCCTCCCTCCGCCTCAGTTCTCTTTCTTATATTTCCATCTGTATCAGTTTTGCTTCACATCTGAGAACGATCCACTCCAGCCAATTAACTTCAACCATTTTTCCTATTCCACTGAGGGATAATTGGAGAAAACTGGAGGGTGAGCTCTCTGCCTGGACGATACAAGATAAGGCTACTGCAACTGGCTTCTCTCTGTGTTCTCAATTTTCCCGCCAGTGGTTATAAACCTGAGGTGGAGGATCTGCACAGTGTTAACAAAACGCCGTAACAAGTCATGAAATGTTGAATTAAGTCTTAAAGTCCTACTTTTCTTTTGTAAAGTGGGAAAACTGCCATGGTCTCTGGAGCAGATCAATCTGTTTCAGGAAGTTTTTTGTTTTTTTTGTGGTTTAGTTTTTTCTCCGGAGCTTGTAACAAAAAATACAGTAAAATGATCTATTTTCAGATCAATTGTTACACTCAGATTAACATAACGTGACTGTAATGTGTCACCAATGTTGGAAGGAGTACTCAGATCCTTCACTTAAGGGTCCAGGAAACATATTTTCTCAATTAGCTTCTTATTGTAAGCAGTGGGATCATGCAAGGACACAAAATTAGAACAGCTTTGCTTAATTTATATTGAGAGACTTTTGTATTTGCGTGTCTGTCTGTGCTCTTCTCACTGTTTCAAAACGGGTGGGGCTCTGTTGGGAAAAGATGAGGTAAGTTATTTTTCATGCACCATTTAGGATTTAACAACAGTTAAATCAAAATCTGATGTGGTCTTGTTTGTTTATGGTGGCAGACCACTATCCTCATTAATCAGATTAGCTGAGTTTTTTTTTTTTTTTTTATTAAATTTAACTCTTAATAACTGCCCCCCCCCAAACTTTAAAGTGACCCTCCACTCAAAAATGTGTTATGGTCATTGTTACTTCTCCTGCATGGGGCATGGACCCTCACTGTGCAGAATGATGCATGTTTAGAGTTGGGACACTAAAACTTTTTTAATTCACCTGACGAAAGAGAAAAGTTTCTCTGTGCTCACTTTAAATCAGAGTTTACAGCTTGTCCCTTGGAGCATGATTTGTGGTATCATGACTAATCGGAAGTCAATCCCGGTCCAATCCACAATTTACACCAGTGTGATGAGGAAACGTGACATCTGCATTGCACACACAAGAGAGAATTGACTTTAGGTAATGTAAGAGACATCTTATATCCAGTAGTTAAACTTTTAAAATAAGAAATAATTGTATTTTCATCAATTGTGGATTTTTCAGTGAGGGAGGAGGTGTAAATGTCATTTTAAGAATTAAGGGTATTTCTTCAAACATGTCTGGAGGGAATCTTTAACTTTGATTGTTGCTAATTTAGTCACAAATATTTAATATTGTAGAGAATTGTTGTTGTTTATGATTTAAAATGGAATTAACTATCAAAATGTATGAAATGAAATAGTTCTTTTCAGAGTGATTCATCATTATTGTTTTTACTAACGCATGTAATTCTATCTGAAAGAGTGGTTTAATGTGTAACTGTGCATCATTTAACAAGCTGACTATGGTGGGGAGAGCATTCAAATCATTTAAAGTAAAAACAGTAAAACCACAATGCAATACTCTATTATACAAAACAAAACATTACAAGTAAAATGAAAGCAGTATAATTTATAGAATGCTTAAAGGTATGATTCTTATACAGGGATAAGGGCTGCATCATGATACTAACTTTAAAGTCTGAGAAGTAGAAATATTCACAGTTGAAAAATGGCCCTGAATGCGTCATTTTTTACAAGCGGATCATGTGTTTTATGTGTAAAATCTTCATCTGCAAAGTGACAAGTACAGCTGTTAGAAAAATGTCTTGGAGCAAAAAGTAAAATCTTCACATGTAAAATGCGGCGCAGTGACGGCAGAGTAGTTCAGAAAGCATGAAAGTGTAAAGCCAGAAGTCTACTCCAAAGAATACAAATGCCTCCAATCGGTCATTAACTATAGACTGTTGCTTGAGTCAATATGTTTAGTACACTTAGGCCATTTTTTCCTGTTAATATCTGATTGGACTTTGGAGGAGTAGGCCGCATTTTGTCACATGATATTCATTAGAAAGGTGCACTGGCACTCGCAATATATTGTTTATAAGCTATATGAAAGATCAATCACACAAATAGACGTAATAGGCTGGTTAGGATGACATGAAGCAAATAGTCTAGTGGATATCAGCGTGTGGATTATCCACAGAGAGGTTACTGTGAACTATGAAAGGTTATCAGCCCAGTGAACCCCCGTTTCGTAACGTCCTGGTTTGGGTGTGATGGATTTACAGTATATCTGAGGGGCGCCGTGCGTCAGGCAGGATGTGGCTCCTCTCGAGGTGGGAGCTCTTGGCTGCAGGTCAGTTACTATAAGAAGAGACACCTCCCAGCTGATCCCGTTAATTTGTCTCCCTCCCTCTCTCCCCCCCTCCTTCCTTCAGTACCCAACGTGTTGCCCCCTCTCGGTAGGTTTGTCTTCCCGCTCTGCTCCTCTGCAGACGAGCTGGAGCTGGATGTCCGGACACTTGCTGCGCTCCTCTTCATGATCAGGAGGCATCGCAGGAGCAGGAGAAGCGGGGAGAAGGAGAATCACTGGGACGCACATGGTGAGCTTGTCCTGATTCATTTGATCCTCTTTCTAAATGTTTGTTCGCTGGGACTCTGATACTTGAGGTGTTTGTGGAGTTTTCCTCTCTGCTGAAGTCGCGCGTAAAGAGAAGCAGAGCGTGGAGGGCGAGTCTGATCTTGTATTTTTTGTCACTCAAAAAAAAAAAAAAAAAATCACAAAGATGAATCTGCAAAAATGAGACTTAAAATTATATGAGAGAAGCATTTAGCACTGCGTTATGTTTTCTGCCGTAAAGTATCAAGTAATTAAACATAATGATGAAATATCCTGACATTTAGTCTGTCATTGCTGCAACTTCTCCGTAGAAATTCAGACGATTGGCGGGTTTGTTCATCATTATTGTTTTTACTAACGCATGTAATTCTATCTGAAAGAGTGGTTTAATGTGTAACTGTGCATCATTTAACAAGCTGACTATGGTGGGGAGAGCATTCAATCATTTAAAGTAAAAACAGTAAAACCACAATGCAATACTCTATTATACAAACAAAACATTACAAGTAAAATAAAGCAGTATAATTTATAGAATGCTTTAAAGGTATGATTCTTATACAGGGATAAGGGGCTGCATCATGATACTAACTTTAAAGTCTGAGAAGTAGAAATATTCACAGTTGAAAAATGGCCTGAATGCGTCATTTTTTACAGCGGATCATGTGTTTTATGTGTAAAATCTTCATCTGCAAAGTGACAGTACAGCTGTTAGAAAAATGTCTTGGAGGCAAAAAAAGTAAAATCTTCACCCTCATGTAAAAATGGCGGCGCAGTGACGCGCAGAGTAGTTCAGAAAGCATGAAAGTGTAAAGCCAGAAGTCTACTCCAAAGAATACAATGCCTCCAATCGGTCATTAACTATAGACTGTTGCTTGAGTCAATATGTTTAGTACACTTAAGGCCATTTTTTTCCTGTTTAATTATCTGATTGGACTTTGGAGGAGTAGGCCGCATTTTGTCACATGATATTCATTAGAAAGGTGCCACTGGCACTCGCAATATATTGTTATAAGCTATATGAAAGATCAATCACACAAATAGACGTAATTAGGCTGGTTAGGATGACATGAAGCAAATAGTCTAGTGGATATCAGCGTGTGGATTATCCACAGAGAGGTTACTGTGAACTATGAAAGGTTATCAGCCCAGTGAACCCCCGTTTCGTAACGTCCTGGTTTGGTGTGATGGATTTACAGTATATCTGAGGGGCGCCGTGCGTCAGGCAGGATGTGGCTCCTCTCGAGGTGGGAGCTCTTGGCTGCAAGGTCAGTTACTATAAGAAGAGACACCTCCCAGCTGATCCCGTTAATTTGTTCTCCCTCCCTCTCTCCCCCCCTCCTTCCTTCAGTACCCAACGTTGTTGCCCCCTCGGTAGGTTTGTCTTCCCGCTCTGCTCCTCTGCAGACGAGCTGGAGCTGGATGTCCGGACACTTGCTGCGCTCCTCTTCATGACAGGAGGCATCGCAGGAGCAGGAGAAGCGGGGAGAAGGAGAATCCACTGGGAAGCACATGGTGAGCTTGTCCTGATTCATTTGATCCTCTTTCTAAATGTTTGTTCGCTGGGACTTCTGATACTTGAGGTGTTTTGTGGAGTTTCTCTCTGCTGAAGTCGCGCGTAAAGAGAAGCAGAGCGTGGAGGGGCGCGTCTGATCTTGTATTTTTTGTCACTCAA